AAGGTGTAGTAGTAGTAGTTGTAGTAGTTGTAGTAGTTGTTGAAGGTGTAGTAGTTGTAGTTGTAGTAGTAGTTGTTGTTGAAGTAGTTTTAATTTTTGGAGAGGTTGTAATTGTGTCTTGATTATATGAACCAACATCAGGAATAGGTTTAAAATTAGGTAAATAATTTATATAATTATGATTTTTATTACTTTTATCTAAATTTATGTTTGGATTACTATTTGGTAACATTGTAAAATATGAACTTTGTAGCATACGAGTATTTGAAGATGTAGATAAAATTGACATTTTTGGAACAATACCACCCAATAAAAATGAATTTGCTACTTGAGATAAATTTGTATTGTAATCAGTATTAATATTAGAAGAATGAATGGGAGGTCCAAATTTTTGTGGTCTTGGATAACCACCAATTGTACTTTCACACCTTTGTGTAAGTGAATCATATATCCAATGTGTTGCAATTCCACCATGATCAACTAATACTTGTTGTAGACAAATTTGTGGTGAAGGTGCTGTTGTATTAAGTAATGTTTCACCACTTGTTATAGCAAATCCAAAAAATGGATATTGACATTCAAATAATTCCGAATTCTTTGTATTATTATTATCTATAATATTATTCCAATTTATCATTGTCTGATTAAATTTATTTATATTGTTATTATTATCTTCATTATTTAATAAATCAAATAATTTATTTGGTATTTCATAATTACATTGACAAAATCTTGGTCCAGATACTACACTTGGTGCACTCAAGTATTCAAATGGAAGAGCATTCATATGAAATGAACATTGTCTAGATTCAGTATTATATGACCAAAGCCAACAATGTGGATCTTCTTGACATAATACATTACAATCATCAACACCATATACATTATCTACAATTTGATAAAATGGTTCAACTAATTGAGCTCCAGGAAATGCACAAAAACCATTTGTATATGTTGTATAAATTGGACTATCAGGATCTAATGAAGTTAAATTTACGCTATATATACCACTAAGATACAATTCAGGGGCTCCTTTAATTTTTATAGTGTTTAGATCTATATCATTATCTATATCTTTTGATTCTACCATATTATTCCATACCATGACCGAATCTTGATGTATATTCTGAGCTTTATTATTTACAGATATTGATAATTGTTCAGTAAATGGAAGTAAACTAATATGAATAAATATTGGTTTTCCAGAAATTGATGATGAAATTTCTTGATTCTCATAATCTTCTGGTAAAGCCTCATATTCTAAAATCTGATCTGCATAATTAGGAATTTTAATAGATGTTGAAAATCTCTCAATATCTTTTTTTTGTTTACCATATATAACATATGAGGAAGCTGTTCTAAATGGTAATAATAAATTACTATTTGGTGTAGAAAATTTTTTATTAAATAAGTTACTTGGTATTATTTGAGTTTGTATATTTTTAAATCCACTTGTAAAAAATATCACTTCACGTGATGGACATGGATTTGGGAATTCAAAACTTGAACTTTCTTCATTTAAATCTGTTGAATATTCCCAAATTGATGTAAATTGTCCTATACCATTAATAAATAAATAATTATCTGAAGATTTCTCTTTAAAATATATTCTTGTTTCAATCCATGATTCTGCTGATGGATTACCACATTTTAAACCGGAAGGTAAATTTATAAAATGAATTTCTGATTTATCATTATTTGATACTCCTGGTAATATTATTGATATATACACAGTTTCTGCACTACAATCAACAATTACATATGATAAAGAATCTGAGCATGTAAAACCAAATTTTGACATTTTATAATTTTCAACTTGACCAATAAATTGTATGGTTAAATGTGGATATATAGTTGGCAATATACTTTTTGTTACAGATATTTCACGATAAAATATTCCATTACATTTAGATACTTCAGAATCAAGCATTGAAGGTCCTGATAAAGCTGTGAAGTTTCTATCTTTATAAATATACTGATATTTTAAAAAAAAATGAAGATTATTTTATTTAATAATTTTTCTACAAACATTATTTTAACTTACAGAAATTGTCATATAATCAGGTGGTGGAGGATTTCTTCTTGTTGGATTTGTTGTTTTTTCTTTAATACTATTTTTTAACCCAAGAAATTTTCTTAGACAATCTTCTATAGCTTTATCTTCATCTAAAAATAATATTCTAGTAGATTTACTCCCTAAATAATCTTTAAAAGTTAATATTAAATTAAATTTTTTATAATACTTTAATATAATTTAGTTTATAAATGAAACTTACAAGTAGCTATTGAATTCAATAAACTTTGAGATTTGACGAATGATTGTAATATTATATATAACAAAAAAAGTGATATGATTGATATTTTCATTTTTTTTAATATCCAGCAATTATTAAGAATTTTGAGTTTTTATTTTTCAGTATTAATATAATGTAAATCTTTAATACTCGACACTCAAGACTTGCATCAAGGGTGCACATTGTGCATCTAGCCCGGTACTCCTCTTAATTACTGAATATAAAGTTACAAGGAATAATTTTAACAGATATACACAAATAAGAATACATCTCAGTAATAATATAATATTTAAATACTTAGATATATGCAGGTATAAATAAAGAATTTTAAGTGGATCACTATAGGATTTAATGTTACATGTATTTTATATTAATATTGGATATTAAGAAAATCTAAATATTTATATATTAATAGAATAAAGATTTTAAGAAATAATAGAGATATCCAAAATATTTAATTTAATAAATATTACAATGGATTAAATAATATTTGTTTATATTAATTAGAATTCTGATCTACTTTTCCAGAATACTCAATATCTACTGCTTTTTTAAGTTGTTTTAATTTAATAAATTTAGAATTAATATCAGTAGTGTTATTTGTTTGGGTTTTATTCATATTTAGGTCTCCTAGATGATTATGTGTGTCTTGATATTGATGAATAATATGATCAGTATGATTCCCTATGGATTGAGTTGTCTCAGTAAGTATATCTGCAATCATTGTTTTAGTGTTTGGTATAGTTAAAGTCGTCTCATATCTCCAAGTACAGAATTCAATTTTCGTAACCTATTTAAAATAACATTACAAATAATATATATTAATACGTTCTTATCTTTTTTTTTAATAAATTTGACTTACTTTGAATGCAACAAGAGATTGTGTTTGTTTAAAGGGTAATTTAACAACAAATTGAGAATTTACAACAATCTAAAGATAATAATTAGAAAATATGATTATAATGTAATATATAATATTTTAATAAAAACTTACAGATAAATAAGTATTAGTATCAAGGCCTATAGCAAAATGTATAATGTCTCCTAGTCCAAATACAAGGTTATCAGGATATAAACCAGTGGAATAAGTTAGAGACCAATGTAAATCTAGGATACTTGCATAATTTGTATTGATATTATAAATAACACCTGTTACATTATCTTGAGTATATCCTTGTATTTGTATAAGTGGATTTAGGTTTTGTTCTCCAACAAAATTGATTGGACAGCTTAGAATGAGGTAACTTCCAGGATTCAAACCTTGGTTTAATTTTACATATGTGGAATCAATGCAAATATGTCCTTCATTTATAATACAATTATAGGTTTGATTTACAGAGTTAAAATCTGTAATATTAGTACACTACAAGTATAATAAACATTAGGATGATTTTATAGATAATATGACTTTCAACACACCTCAGCAGTATAAAATAAAAAGAATAAGGTTACAAGATATATAAAGATAACCATAATAATACAGAATTAGAAGGAATTATATATTAGAGAGTATAAAGTTTAAGAAATAGTGATGAATATCTTCAGCGCTTGATCCCACACAAGATTTAGAGGAGGAAATGCAGCATTATTAAAAAGGATGGATTTAATATTTTGTCTATTTACATGAAAATCTTAGAAAAAAGTAAAAATAGACTAATTTAGATATTGTTTGTTTTCAAATCACTTAATAATAATATGGTTAGGAGTATATCTAATCTGTGGCTTCATCTTCTGATTCCACGCGACGTTTTTTTAATCTATTTAGATTTTCGGAGACAGGTTCTTCCTGGTGAGTATCGTGTTTATGTATAACATCATTATCAGGATATTCTGTAAGTTTCTTCTGTAAGACTTCACTTTGTTCTTGCAATCTTTGAAGTCTTAAAAGTTTTTTTTGTTCCCTTTTATTATGTCTTTTATTTTTGTTTTTATCTTTACTTTTAACTTTTTCATCTTTAGATACTTCTAAGTTCAATTGTTCTTGAATATTATTTTGATCATACTTCTTTTGTTTCCGATTTCTCTTACCACTATGTTTAATAGTATGATCTTCAATTTGACTTTTTTCACTATCTTTATATGATTCAACTTCACTAACATCATCCATACTATAATCATGAATGTCATCGCTATCTTTTCTATCTTTTCTAACTTTTTCAACATTTTCTAATGCCTTATCAGCTAGACTAGCAGCAATACTAGCAGCTTCTTTCTCAAGAGCTTCAGATAAGGCTTTTGTTCTCTCGAATTCAGCTAGTTTTTCTTGTTCCTTTCTTTTATTTTCTTCTTCTTGTTTTTTCTTAAAATCTTCACTTTTAATAATAAGTTCTTCAACATCTCTTTGTTCTTTTTCATAAACCTGTTCAACTATTGGAAGCAATTCCTCAAATCGTGAATATAATTTTCTACTCATAACTAATTCTTGTTTAATTGAATGTTCTATTGAAGGTAATACATCAATTCCTTCAAGTGGAATTGCACCTAATTTGTATTTGATATTCATAGTATTTTCCTGATTTGAAGCTGAAACATTAGAGTTGGAATTAAATTTGTTTGATCCAGGGGTATATTTTTGTAAAGATCCAATACCTAAAACATTATTTTTAACTTGTTCAATAAACTTCATATCTACTATGGGGAATGTTTCTTTTAATATAGACATCCAATGATAAAAGCTACCAACAACTTCACAAAGTATCATCCAGTACTTAACTCTACCAGGATGTTTTGCACGTTCCATATCTCCCATTTCAGAATAAACAAGACGTTCTAAACAGTATGAAAGGCCGATTCTAAAGCGTAAATCACAAGGCCATCTAACAATTGCAAGTTCTAATAGTCTTCTTGCATCATTCCATAAATTTATATCAAAACAGCAACGTATCATTGAAAGATGAAGTTTCTTTTCACAAGGGTCAAATGTTTGAGCTTGTTGAATATATTTAATTGCACTTTTAAAAAGTCTCTGTTGTTCTGGAAAGTGAGGATGAGACCCCAAAATACTCCCTTTAACTTCAATTCCATGATCTTCAACTATTGAATTTAAAGTTAAATGATGTTGCAAAGGTGGGGGATATCTTTGAACGGACACAGTTAACATTGCAGAATATAATATTCCCAAATTAGCTAGAGCAATATATTGCATTAATGGAGCACTTCCTTGCAGAGCATTGGACACATCGATCATATGTCTCCAAGTATTTAAAGCTGGTTCAATAAGTCCACTTTCTGCTACCTGAATTAAGATGTTATTGCTAGCAATAAAATTACAAGTTTCAGATTTTAAAACTTCTCCTAAAATGAGTCTAGATTGAATACATGATGAATTATAAATATTAAAATCTCCTGTATAAGTTGTTAATGCTTGGGTCTTTGCTTTATTGTAAAGTGCATAACCTAACCAAACTTTACCAATATTTGAATATTGACTAAGTTTTGATTTTACAACTTTGCTTAGTGCACTAAAGCTTTTATCCATTTTTGTCTGGCGACTGTAGATATATGCTAGAAATAAATTTGATCCATCTGGATTATATCCAGTACCACTAAGCCATACAAGATTTGAATTTTGCAAATCTGGTTTCTTTACATTTAAACTGAGTTCGCAATATTGAGCAGCAGCTTGAAAATCACATCTTTCTAAAGCTAAGGAAGCTCTTCTAAGCCATGCTGCAGTAAACCAAGGAAATTCATTTGTTAATTTCTTATATTCATCATTTGCATTTCCATAACGTCCACTGTATTCAAAACACAAAGCAATATTAAATCTAATAATTATTGAAATCCACTCTTTAGAATCTGAAGTTTCAGATAATTTCAAAGCCTTCTCTAAATTTCTCATAGAATCCTCTAATAAAAAAGTTAAATTTGGAGTATTGGAATGTTCAATAGCCATACAAGTTGCAGCCTCCAATATACAAATCCCTAAATTATTATAATATGCAGCCAAATTATTAAATATTAGACATTTACACTTTTGATCTGGAAATAAATTTAATACTATAAATGAGTTCTCCTTTAGGGTATTAGAGGTTACATCAGAATCAGTAGATTTATTATGAGTTATGCAAACAGTGCAATTTTCATGATTGTCATATTCTGCAATTTGAGTAATCTTCTTTAAACATGCTATTGAAATTAACAGAATAGGGATTGGATCAACTTCTGTTGAATAATCTGTAAAATCCTTAATAAGCCATTCAATAGATTTAGATTTAAAATCATCCTTCCTTAAAGTCTTTCTACCTCTTAATAAAAGTGCTGTACAAACTTTATGAAGTAATAAATAACTCATAATACCATCTGACTTCCCTATATCTCGTTTATTTCTGTTTGAATTATTTATATGACTATCTATATTATCCTTTGAAACTATATTATCATCTAGTTTATTCTCTCCATTATCCACATTTAAATATTCTTGATTAGGATATTCATTCTTATCTTTTGCAATAAAATCTAAGATATAGAAGAGATATTGTAGGCAAATAATCAGTCTTTCCTCAGCTGTTATTTGAGTTAGAAGAGAAACAGATCTGGGGATAATATTGGAATCTTCAATACTAGTTATTACAAGACAAACCAAAATTACTATAAAGTCATACAAAAAACAAATAGGTACATTACTCTTTTTTAAGGAATCTAAAGATCCTTTGTGTATTTTAAATATATCAAAAGATTTCTGTATATATTGAGATGCAGTATCCCATTGTTGAAGTTCACATGATGTCTGTATAACTCCCAATATACTAGCTAAAATAATGAGAGGATTTGTTTCATATTCACTATCATACAAATTCTCAACAATATAAATATATTGTGAATGAGCAGAACGAATATCACCACTTTGATGACTTCTTTTAGCTATTTGATATTTGGCAAGGACAACACTGGCACTATTTGTGCTTCTTCTAGAAAGTCTAAGTAATAATTTGTCACAATCCACATTATTAGAATTCTTATTAGAATTAGTGCCATGTATATAAAAACTAGAATCACAGTAAAACAAAGAAGCTGCAGGACAATTTGGGTTTAATCTCATTATTAGTTGCATAATATTTGATCGTTCCTTATATTCCAAATTACAATTGAGTAGGCATAATAAAATATCTACAATTTCTTGAATCTCATCAATACATTTACTCGATATAAGTTCATCTGTAAAAATTTCCATATTTAATTCACAATCTGAATTAAATATTGAACATAAGGTAATATTTCGATTACTTTTATATAAGTTAATGTACAAGGCACGACGGCAACAGTCTAGTGACTTCGGTATCTGATTCAATTTTAAATAGCAATATGCTATCCCAATCCTAATATTATTTGGGCATTTCTCACTACCCAGTAATAATAAAACAATTGAAAATAGACGTAAAGAGTGCAGGTACATTTTTTTGTAAAGTAAAACATTAGCCAAACCAACAATGCTTTGAATATCACTGAATTGACCATCTAGAGCTCTTGTGAATTCTACTTCGGCCTTGTCTAAAATCTCATGTTTATATTGCAAATCAGGTTCCTTTAAAATTGCACTTTTAAAAAGGTAAAAGTACCCCCAGTACCTGTGGATCTTACATTTAATAATACTACTATTTGAATATTCATCTACATTAGAAATGACTAAAGAAAACCGTTTAAGTCGTTCCTCACATTGTCTTACAAAGTTTTCAGAAGCTCTATAATTTGTGTCGAAACAATCAATTGCCATGTTTAGCTCCAAAATGCACAGAGTTCCTATTGCTGATATTGCATCATCAATACTCAAGCCCAAATCCTCATTAATTTCCTCCAGTAATCTAAAGTATACAATTGAATCTTGTAAAATAGATAAACATATTGAATACTCATTTATATTATAGTAGTATAGGGCAACGTTTATCCAACTTCTTAGAGATAATCCCTCACTTCTTAGCTTTCCAGTATCGTTCTGCATATACCCTTGAAATCAATCAAAATTAACTATTCACAATTAAGATACACTACCTACCTAATAATATATACGAATACCTACTGTGTGAAGAGTAATTTTTAAGTTTATATTACTTTAGCTTATTTTGAAGAATCCCCGCATTATTTCTATATGCTGATTACATACCACAGATATTTATTATTTCAAAGGGACTTAATATGTCAGGCGGGATATGACCAATAACAAAGTTATAACTGAGACGCCGTAGGTACCGCACTTTTTTAATAACAAGTTTAAGAAAGATGTAGTTCCTTCCTCCCCTTTCTTTTCTGTCCTTTACTTCCGTTTTTCTTCTTTATACTTTTGTGATAGAATGTGATCTTAAATTTAGGGAACTAAATTGCAAGTGAATTAAGGTTACAGACCTTCAATGCCCTAGGAAGGCATATTTGAAGTGCTTATGATAGTTTTTACTTTAGTTTCATCTGAAATATAAGTACTAAATAGCCAATAAGGGGTTGGAATATAGATCCTTTAAAGTTAGCTCTTTAGTTGGGCATAATTTTGAGGAATATATGACTTGAACTTTCTATATTGGGTATTTTTGTGAATAAAGGTGAACCTTTTTTCTCACATCTTACTGTGTTACTACCACACCCACACTCCCGCCGCTCTACCTTATACTACTTAAGCGGGTAACGTGAGGGACCACTCCAAATATATAGAGGGCAATATATTTGGGAATATAATATATAGTGCAATACTATATTATTATATATATTTTTAATATTGTCCCTCCAGTAAAGGAGTCTGGTCATAAAAGACGCAATAAGATAATTATAATACTTTAGTATTTTTTGTTGAAGTTAATTTTTTCATTACTAGTGATGGCCTCAAACAAGACGTGTAGGGTTTATGTTGGTAATCTTCCATGGAAAGCAAAATGGCATGATTTGAAGGATCACATGCGGCAAGCTGGTAGTGTAGTTAGGGCTGATGTTTTTGAGGATGAAGTTGGGAGATCTCGTGGTTGTGGAGTGGTGGAGTACTCCGCCCCTGAGGAGGCTCAAAGGGCTATTGCTGAGTTAAATAATTCCACAATACTAGATCGCCTAATCTTTGTACGTGAGGATCGTGAAGAGGAGACGAATCGCTTTGGCAGGAAGTCTGGTAAATGGGGTCACAATAGAGGGCATAGTTCACGAACTAGGACACATGCTCCACGTCCACCACTTAAGGATGAACATAGAGGTCGACAAGTTTTTGTGACTAATCTAGCATGGAAAACTACTAGAGATGATCTTGCAAAAGTATTTAGTGAAATTGGACCTTTAGATTCTTGTGAAGTATTCTACTTTGATGATGGACGTTCTAGAGGTATTGCCACTGTTGTCTTTAAGGATCTATCTCATGCTCAATTAGCCGTTGAGAAACTGAATGATAGGGAAGTTGATGGCCGTGAAATTTTGGTACGTTTAGATCAATAAGAGCAAATATTTCAAATCTAAGATTCCTATTAGAGAGATCTTTGGATATCGAACTAAGTTTTTGTATTATTGAGGTTTTATAGACAAACAGTCTCTGAATTTATAGATCTCTTTGTACTCCATCTGGGGTTTGGAAAGTGAAGGATCCCCCTTAGGGCTTTATCCTATATATTACATTAATTTCAAGCCTTGATAGGGCATTTAATGAAGTTATAAAACTAATAATAGGAATAATAAATAAAAATGTATTCTGCTACCATTTTGTACTTTTAAGAGAGGAAGACATGATTTTGGTTATTTGGAATTAATTAGCGAATCAACATAAAAGTTTAAAATAATTGATACTAGTGAGACTATTTTCTATTTATATCAAATTTTAGATACTACTATTTTAAATATCTTGGATAATGGACTTATCTAAATTGTCAAATTGTTGGTTCTAATGATTACCTAAATCATTTGATCTTAGCACATGTTATATAATTTAAATAAAAATCAAAAGCTTAATTGAGTGTAGCTAGTGAAATATAAATACTCTAGTAATGTTGAGACTCTCAGCGATAAAACTGAGATATATCTTTATTTGACTCTAATATCTACTGATTTTTGGTTTGAATCTTCACTATTTGTTATTTCTAATTGGTACTATTGGCAGTTATTTCAATTTTTAGATTTTGAGGGAAATCTTGAAATCTACTTCCCCTTCCCCCCTCTCTTCCCCTAATATTGGCATTTTTGACTATAATACATGTTCTAGAGCTTCAAGTTCATGAATTTTGTTTGTATTGTCATATTCTGTAGACTTAGGAGATCTTATGAACTCCATCTATAGATGTCTCACTCCCTTGGCACAAGGTAGCTAGTGTCAATTTTTAGTATAAGATACGATATATTATCAGCTGTAACCTAAGATAATATGTAATACTATGCTTATGTAATTTAATATGTACAATTATGTCTGTTCCTTTGTACTTTAGTGGCTCTATATTGCCATATCTCTGATTGTAAATTCCTTACTTTTTGCATGCACACATGCAAAGGTGCACCCTAGAAAGGGGTGTATACAGGGTGTAACCGATACAAGGAAGCTAGAAATATTAATAAAAAAAATTGAAGAACTTGTGTTTTTTTTTTTGCAGTAGCCATGTAATATGGGCGATAATGTAAAGAGCACGTGCGCCTTAGTTCTACCTGTCAAAAAAGATAGAGAAGATGATGAGACATTCGATTTTTTGGATATTGATGAGGAAGAGTTAGTTCATGATGTCCAGAAGGCCGTTTCACCAACATCTTCAAGGCCTTTAGATACTGCAGATCTACATGGAATTAATAATGTATTGAACACAGTGCCAAATACATTCCCTTACTTTGGGCATCCACTTTTATTACCTCAAAATCAGAATTTAATTAATCTTGTAGCTGTATGTGTAAGTACTCCTCCTCCATATACTACTGGACTACCTCAAAACAATCCTTTTTTTGCTAGTCATGGAGTTAATGAACATGTGAATTTCGTGCCTATTACCCCAACTCCCTTATTCTACTTTGGTCTAACTGAAGATAACTCACAAAATTGTTTCAGAGCGCCAAACTCTGGACATGATTATGACACTTTTGAAGTAGAGCGCACTGGAACTTCTGAAACAGGCTATTCTAGTAATATGTCAGCTTCAGCAGACTCTTTTCAAAACCAAAAAGTATATGGCGGTATAAACTTGCGTAATAAAACATCTCGTGCAATACTTAAAAAGGGTCAAAATGTTACTTGTGAAAAGAAAAATCGATGGCAATTGGCTGATCCACAATTCAAGTCAGGTTATAAAGGAGTAAGTTGGAATAGTCGTATGGAGGCGTGGTTGGCATTTTTTGTAGAAAATGGAGTTCGTAAATCAAAAACATTTAGTAGCCGTAAGTTGGGTTTCAATAGGGCCCGTGAAAAAGCTATAAAGTATTTAGATGCACGCAGGAAAGGGATAATTTTGCCTACTCCTCCTCCTTTAAGCCCTTCAAAGGGTATGAGTGATCGTATTCCAAATCAAAAGAGGCCAGAGGAACTTTTACTAGAGGCAGTTGGAAGAGCTTTTGAAGATGAACATAAGCAGGATAAACAAATCAATGAGGATATTAAGAGTTACTCTGAAGCTGATAGAAATATAAAGATGAATGATTATGATTATACCCCAAAATCATCTACTTCAACCTTTGTAGATTCTGCTCAATCTACTCCAACTACTAGATAATATTATAGTTAAACTGTTGGGACTTCACTCTCGACAAGTACCTGAGAATTACTAAATTATATAGCTTCAATTTTTCTCTTTTATTTTAATTTACAAAGCTATCTCATATTATAATTTTGTCAAGGGACATCAAATTTACTAAATCAATGAAGCTAGTACTTTTTTTGCTGAATTCTTATATTTTTCTTAAATTCTAAAGAAATAATTTAAACATAATTGTAAGAGCAAAATAATATAAAATACACAATTTATATGGTATCTTTAATTTAGTAAATTTAATAAAATTTAAAAAAATAAAAGACATGAATTAATGAAATACCATGAATTTCTGGTTAAAGATACTTAATATCACTTTGTAATATTATATGTGACTAATTATCTAGTTTCTAAGTAGTTCTGATATTTTAATTCGAAATCTTGTACTAATTAGCTTTTTAGCTTCTATATTTTCGTCAAATTGAGTTTCCCTACTTTGTTAAAAATAGAACTTTACTTATTTAATATAAACTAACGGTTATGAGAATGGGATATATTATTTGTAAAAAAAATTTGATAGGATTATATATAGGAATATCTAATTATTGTATTAAGGTAGAATAATAAAGATGGTTAAGTTAATAGCTGAAACATACTAAAGTCTTGTTGACTAAATTTAAGTACAAATACTAATAATAAAATTTCAGGGAAGAGTTAAAATCTATAAACTACTATTAAATTTCAAAAGTTATAACAGTTTAAATTAATAAAATTGAAGGAAATAGTAGGATATCCTATTCCAATATATAGGTAAGTTATCAATACTTCAAACTAGATATCAAATTGTCTAGTTATATAAGTTGTAGAGAATTGAAAGTTCTTCATCTGTATTTATATATTCACTAATTAGGCAGATCCTATTGAATTGAGCATTAATTTGACTTGGGCTAAATTGTGGGAAAACCCTATGGCTATTATATGGATCATAAATTGGTAGCTCCTCACACTCTTGGGTGTTACAAGATGTATACTGGACTGGGGGGCAAGATATTGGAGCATTTGTTCGTGTCCTCTTTTGAATCCCTGATCCACAAGTTTTTGAACAAATACTCCATTCGGACCATTGACTCTCACCACATTGATTTTGAGATTCAGAGTTACAATTATCACTTGATAGTTGGAATATTGATTGACATATTTTTCCTCCAATATTAGGTGGTACTTGAATAGCTCTATTCCTAATTTGTGTTCCTCCAGCATAACTAGTACAAGGAGACCAACTCCCCCATTCCCCAACAATGCAATTCTGGGTATTGCATGTAAATATATTTGAGCTGCACTCTTTAGTCTCAATTGTAGGGCCACATGGTGCCCCACTACCACGCGGTAAAGTCAGTATTTGACGTGTTCTATGGCTATAGCCTCGACCTTGCTCACATAATGCATTGTTGCATCCAGACCATGGTGTCCATTGTCCTAAGACACAATTTATACTACATTCTTCGTAGTTATTCATATTATTAGAATCTGACATAAGGGTATTTGTAGAGCCACTAACCCATCCAAGAGCATGGAAATAGCAACCAACATCACCATATACTAGATAACAGGTAGATGTTCCATTATCATTTGTTTGGGAGCTGAAATATGAACAATCACTTAATTTACAGGAATTTAAACATTCTAACCAACTATAAGCTAATGTAACTACAGTATTTCCAAAGTCTTTATTCTGATCAAAGCTACATCCCCAACCTAAAAGGCCAATATCAAACATGGGACAAGCTGAATTAGGAAAATTAGCATTAATGGCGTTTTGAGCCACTGCTCCTGATTCTACATAAGGTAGAGCACTATTTTCAGAAGATAAGGAATCTGGCGACAAACCACCCCAATTTGAAGGGCTACAATTCACAAGTTCGTATAAATGTGGACATTGTTCTAATGGGTACAAAGGGTGTTGAATTATAGAACGATTTCTATAAGTAATACCACCATAAACATTGGGAATGCAAGTACTGGACCAAGAACTCCATTCCCCCACGGTACATGTAGTAGAACAGGAGCCAGTAGGTGAAACACTATTATCACCTGCAACTACCCCATATGCATCTTCAATGCAGTGGGTATCACCATTTTGGAGGGTGCACATCCCTCCATTACTATCCCATGTCCAGTGTTCACAAGGAATAACTATAGTATATATGCCACTTACACACCTAGCTCTACACTCCTGCCAGCTATTTGCTTTCCACCAAAGTAATCCATTTGCCTTCCAGCAGAAAAGACCTTTAATTATCTTGTTATACCATGGACAGCTAGCTTCTGAGAAGCTATGACAAAATAAGAGAACCCCAAGAAATATTGTTAGGAGCAAACTATGAGCCTTCATAGATATTAGTAATATGTCTCCAGCTAAAATTGAGCTAGTCAAGTTTTTTTGAAGTAAGGTACAACCTAGATTTTAAGTTTCAGAACATGCTTTAATTTATATTTATAGGAGCCCCATAACACAAGGCGCTAATAAGATATTTTGGGGATATCAGACGTCCTGCAACATGGATTTTAAAAGATATTCTTTGTGGATGTGTGACTAGAGTGCAAATTTAACAATTATTAGACTTAAGGTTGATACATCTGTTAGAGATTTGAATTTAGAATTTGGGTTTATTGAAAGGCGTGAGGTATGCGCTTTTTATTTTCATTGGTAGTCTTTAGCTTTGTATCAAGCTTCAGACATGTCTTTAGTTCACTCCCCCCACCATATACTACAAACACTTATAATGTCGAAATTGATGGTAATACTATCATTACTGTATTTGTGCCACAATCAAAATTTTTTAATGTCCCAGGATTGGATGGTCTTAATTGCCCTCAGTATAATATAGATCAACGTGGATCTTGGTGTTCAGGTCTTAATACAGCATATACAGTTAATAAAAGTAGTTGGCAACTTTGTTCTAATCAATGCTATTATAGCCGCTATACTATATTGGGTCTTTGTCAACAATTTACTTATGATTCAAATACTAATCAATGCCTTATAAAAGATGGAGATACATCTTGTGCAGAAAGTAGTCAGGGCTATATTACAGCACATAACCCTGCAATAATAGTGGGGGAATGTAGTACAACTTGCAAAGTTTCTGAGTGGTCTGAGTGGTCTCCTTGTTCTATAAATTGTGTAGGAAATAGGGTGAGGAGTCGCTATGTAACTTCACATCCAATATTTGATTCTGATTATTGCCCACATCTTACAGAATTTGCCAACTGTAATACTAATCAAGAATGCCCCCCAACTTGCCCCCAATATGGAATTGCAATTTTGGGATGGGGCTGCCAAATGGAATCAGAATTTTCTTTTTCACCAAATGTCTTGCGGAGCATGCAACAGAATTGGTTCTCATGTCTTAGACAATGTCAAGGAGATCCTTTATGTGTTGCTTGGGCATTTAATTCTACTTCTCCAATTCCAAATATAGATACTATTGATTTTGGAATTTGTTATGTTCATCGTTATGCTTTTGGGTGTCAAATTCCATCACCTGGTTGGATTTCCGGCTATCCAAATACGGTAGGTAGTGAGTGTCCAAGTAGTCATTGTAAATACAATGATTGGTCACATTGGAGTACTTGTTCCAATCGTTGTAGTAATTCTGAACATCAAACACGATCTAGAAGTATTCAAAGTTCTAATATTTATTTAAATTCTTTAAAATGTGAAGATCAGACGCAATATAGAGTATGCTCAGAAGATCCAAGTAATATAAACTACTGTACTGAATGTTTGACATCTAGTTGGTCAGATTGGTCACCTTGCTCATCTTCTTGTGGAGGTGGGTCCAGAATACGTACAAGAAAAGTTATAAAACTTCCTGCAAATAGTAACATGAGTACTTGTCCCACTTTAAAAAGTGTTGAAGTTTGTAATGAAGAAATTCCCTGTACTATTAAGACAGAATGTAAAGTTGGAGAATGGTCTAGCTGGTCTCCTTGCTCTACATCCTGCAATGGTGGACATTCAACTAGGCATAGAAATGTAACTGGGAATCATTGTCCTGAGGATACACAAACTATCACATGTAATGAAAATGATTGTTCTGGTCAACCAAGTATTAAAGCTTTATGTAATGGTATTATGACTACATGGTCATCTTGGAGCTCTTGTAGTGAGATATGTGGTCCTGGTGAATCCTACAGGACTAGGACCTTTGATAAATCAAAAATTGGTATTTGGAATTACAAGCCTCCAGGGACCCCTAGTGAATGGAAAAAAATCACGATATTATGTAATGGTACTGAAATGTTACAATCACAAAACTGCACAACAGGACAACCTTGTTCAGATAATTGTGAGATCGGAGCCTGGAGTAAATGGACTATATGTAATTGTACAGGAATCCAGTCCAGAGAAAGATCTGTAAATATTACAAATAACCATTCACATATTTGTCCTAATAAAGTAGAAATCCGAAATTGTACTGAACCAATTGATTGCTATAATAAAACAAAGGAATATTCAAAATCTCCCCCATCTCCAGGTAAATTGAATTTGGCAGCAGCTATTGGAACTCCTCTAGCTGTACTAGGTGTTGGTATTGCTTCTCTTATTACATGGTTAGCTACTAGAAATGCAAATTCTGCTGATGATTCTGATGAGGGCTATCAATACCTTGATCATAATCCTAGTTCAGAGCAATCAGAAGAATTTGTACAGGAACTTGGCCCAGAGAGTAGTGCCTGGGCAGAATAGATTAGTTGCACAAATTAACAGTTACACGTTATATTAACTTTATTTATTTTATTGATCAGTTATCATATTAAATATGTTTATATTTTCCCCTTATTTTAAATAATACCTTTTAAGTTACTTTTTTAGATCTAAGTTTGCAATGTGATACCCGCCGAATATGTGCACCCAAATGCGTGGCCGACTAAATATAGTAAAATATGCACCCAAATTTCTGATATTTCCAGATCTGTAAACTTTAATTTTACAATGAAAACAGAATTTGATCGAGATCTAAGTATATTAGATAGCTTGGTCTCAGAAAGTTCGTTTGTAACAAATCCTTTGGTTTCTTTAAATAATGCTGCCTCTCTCGGAATAGGTTCAAAAGTCCTCTTAACATCTTCATCTACAGCTAGTTCTATCATATCATATGGTATATTTGGTTTATCAGATCCTAAAACTGAATTAGCTGCTTCTTTTTTTATTGGTTTCGGTGGTTTTTTATCTTTCTTACTAATTATTGCATTATTCCGGTATTTGCATATTGTTATTCATTCATTTAGACGTCGATCTAATCATAGTGGTAATAGATTTGTTGTTAGATCTTCAGAAAATCTTACAGATATTTATGTAACTAAGGAATTTGCAAATTCTATTCAACACCCTTATGAAGTTTAATAAGTTATTGGGAAGGGTTAGTAATACATTTCCACATTTGTGCATAGTAATCACTAAAATATAATAATCGGTAACTTACACCCCCAGCCGATAATGATTAAAAGTTTAGTGTATATATTTTTTATGTGATTATAAATAGGGGAAAAAGGAGAAATGCAATATTATAGTGATTTCAAAAATCGTCTTACAAATAAAACACTGTAGAAGTAAATAGAATTTATTTTTGAAATATATCTCAGTTTCATAAAAATAAACTGTAATATTATTTATTCCCTATAAATTTTATACTGAGTCTAGATATATTTAGTATTTTAGGAACTTTTATATTTTTGTACAAATATAATCTATTTAGACAGTTAATAGGCGCCAAATATATTTTCTAAGGCAGTATGGCGCCTATATGCTGATACTAGGAGTAATTTAAGACTGAGAAGTAATAAGACCTTTCTCTTGAAGTTTGTTGCATCATAATTTCTTATTTTATAGTGATGCAATTTGTCTTCACCCCAAGTAGTGACATTCGATCAGTTTGCATTCTCATATGTGACTGGCTACTAGTAGTTGTTGAGTACTTGAATAGAGACAAATATACTGAGCTTTATACGCAAGTCTGTAATTTAATTGGCCAAGAAGAAGATATAGATTTAACATCAGTATATAATCTAATTTCAGATAATATAGATTATGTATTTGAGATACTTGATGAGTTTAAAGAGAAGAAGGAGATTATAATAAAAGAAGACAAGAAGCGAAGTTTCAATGAACTCTACAAGGAATCTGAAGAGTTCTTTATTTTTCTGTTATCTTTACTGATTAATCCTAAATTTGATATAAACCAACTAGAGGACTGTAAATCTAAGTTTCTGGGTAAGATTATAAATAATAATAATATTCCTATGTTAAGTATCAATGTATTACAAATGTATTATGATGTACTTGGACCTAATTACGAAATTTTGAATTTAATACTAGAATATTCTATTAAAAATAAAAATACAGAAAAGGTCATTACCTCACTAGAGAATATTGATAAACACATTTCAACATGGAATTTAGATAAGGATAAATTAAGATCTTTGTATAGCCAACTTTATGAGGTTATTAGTATTAATGAATACTCAAAATTTTGTGAACAATCTCCAAATTCTATTTATTTATCTTATACAGCTTACAAATATTTAAGAACTTATTGTGAAACATTTTCAGAAAAGGAAGAAATTGAATCTAGAATAAAGGATGAAGATTTTGTATCTAAGACAATAAAATTTTTGATATCAAGTATCCTATTACCAGACATCTTATTCTTTGATTCAGTACTAGAATTACCAAGTGTTATATATATTAAAGATAATTTTATTCAATATTCTGTTTTAATTCAGCTATGTGAGATATGTTTAAATGGAAAAGTTGGACATTTTTATCTATTAAAGAATTCTAATTTAGAATATAAGAAGTTAATTTCAGAGTATCCTGTTTTAGAAGAATATGAATCAAATATAATAGATAAACTTCAATTATTAACAATATCATCACTAGCCCAACTTAACTCTTGCATCAGTCTGGAAGAACTCCAAAGTGAATTTAATTTATCTTCGTTTGATACACAAGATGTAGTTGTCAAAGCTATTAGTGTAGGTCTTATTGATGGTAGTATTGATGAAAATGATGGAGGTGTCAATATTAACTCAATTACTAAGAGACAATTTGGCAAAGCTGAGTGGCAGAATCTTGAGAAAAAACTGAACAAATGGATAGATTATCTTAATGAATTAACAAATATATTGTCTAGTTCTAATCAAAATGAATAGAGTATTAATTTAATATTAGATAATCCTATTATTTCAGAAAATAATAAATTCAGATTATTTACTTTGATCATGTAGTAATATATACTCATTCGGAAAGTGACCAAATTTTAAGGAATCTTTTTCATTTAACTCGTAATATCTTCTAGATTCAATCTTTTCATCATTAATATATGTTCCATATTTACTATCTAAATCCATCACATAAATACAAGGATTACAATTATTTTTATACTTATGTTGTATCACGGCATGTTGATCACATATTGTTGGATGTTTAATTTCTATATCAGCAATCCGCTCATTACTTCCTAGAAATGTCAGAGGATATTCAATGAAGACAGGATAAGTTTCTACATGTAATCTGTCTAGTGTTGATCTATTAATATTGTAAAAAGTGATCTTACCAATTAAATAGGTTTGTTTCTCATAAATAGATATAGTTGAAGGGTAATTATCTATTGGGTATTTGTTAGTATTATTGAAAACATAAAGTCTCCACTTATACTTTGAATTACAGGTATCTAATGGTATCGAGTACTGATATAGCACCAAAAAGTAGGGGTTTTCTTGTAAATTATGGTGGTTCCTAAGATATTCAATAATAGGTGACATACCTTCAAGAAAACTCCATTGCACATATTTGATTCCATAGCTAGAAGCCCAGAGGGTTCAAAGCTTATAGTAGTATTGTAATTTTGCTCATTAGGCATACTGCTGAAAATATCAAATATAAAGTTGCAAGGTATAGGCAATTATTGCGCCGTCTAGATAAAGATATTTTGTGAGGGCCATTAGTGAGGGCCACTAAATATTTCATGCAAGTAAAGTTAGGTAAATTATTGTGGAAGTTTTTATAAATTTTAAGTATGATTCAATCTAATACTCATACTCATTTTAATGAGCGTATTGTTAGAGCATTAAGAATTTGGTCTAAGAATCTTCCTACTGAAACTGAAAAGTGTATTTCCAATCTATGTAAGTAGTTACTTTATTATTCATACTATTATATAACCCTAATATCTAATTATATATTTCTTAAATGAATTTAATATTATTTTCAGTTGTCTATTAGGTGGTCTATTTCCAGATATTAGTAAGGAATTATGTGAACGATTGGAAACTCCTCTTTTAATGATATATGATAAAGAAGAATGTAAATATTTCATTGGTTGTACTACTAATCGTATAGGAAACCTTTACAGATCTCCATATTCTGGGAAATTTTATTATTATGAAGATAGCTTTGATACTAATAATGATATTGTGGAACAGGAAGATGCAGATTTAGACTCTATTAGACAATCACTTGAATATATAAAGAATGATATACAACACTTATCACTCTTAGAAAGTGAATATCATCAGATATATGAACAATATTGTAAATACTACTGTGGATATGGTATTGGGCTTGAAAATGATAAAAGTGAGAATGGAATTTTATTAAGTAATGTTTATTGCTATGATATAGCTGGTGACTCTTTTGGAACAACTTTCACAATGAAACATGTGACAAATCCTTTGAATATGTTAAATTTAGATTCTTCTGAAGCTTCTAGTTTTAATAATTTAATATATTACTTGGATATAATTCATAATGTAGAAACCGTAGTATCTCATGTCTCTGGAACAGCAATATATCGTCTTGGATCTATTTATTTTTTTGGATTCAAAAAAATAGATGATTCTGACCCTCCAACTAGAGATTCAATGAAGCTTGATGCATGCAAAACAAATTGGATAGAACATAAACAAGATTTTAATATTACAAATCAAAATCTCATGCGAACTCAGACATTGGGAAGAGCTACTACTATGACAAATTCTCTGGATAATAATTCTAGAAATACAATAACAAATAATACATTATTATACCACTTAAAAATAATTGGTAAATTAATTGAAAATACAGATAATACAATGCTAAAATATATACAGAATGTTTTAATTGATAGTTTAATTAATATTATTAATAATATACATACTGTTATAATATAAATAAAATATCCCTTAATTATCAAGAATACTAAAAAATTGTTAATTATCTTCAGTAATATCCATTTAAAGTCATAGCTTCTATTTCATCTTGAATAATAGATTGAACAGCTAATATATCACCCTTATATAACGAATTCTTCCAATTAAATTCTTGCCTCCTATAAGCTGATTGGAAACTCAGAAAGGTGTAATATAATGCATCTCTTCCAATATCTGGATCAACTCTAAATTTTAATTCATAATCTGTCTTTTCTTTGGATATATCTAGAACAATCATATTTATTATACTTATATTCCTCTTATGATTTATAGTACATACAAACTCATCAAAACCCAAAGTTAGAGATTTCTCAAGTTGTTTTTCATTGGGTGGCATTGAATTAATATTAACTTTTAGATTACTATTAAAGTTTATTGAGATATATCCATTAATTAAATCAATATATATAACTCCCCAGAAAGCTTGCTCTTTTATTGCTAAAAATTCGGATTCATCTTCTTCATTGATATTCTCATCTGAAGCCTGATCTTGTTGAGTTTGTGTTTCTTTATTATCTTGGGTTAGCTTTGGATTACCAATAATCATTACTCTACATTTAAAAGTTACTTGATTTAAATTTTTTAGAACTTGATGAGCTAAATAATCAGGAATCAATACAGGCCTATTTTCATAAAAAGGTAAATATATAGTTATTATTTAAAATTTTCTTAACTTACCCAATTACCTTGCTATAGGGTACCCAATTTTCACTTGCCTTTGGAATATAGGCAGTCTCATCAATTGTATAATTACAATGTAAATCTTTTGCTCGAATAATACTTGGGTTCTTTTTCAAAACTGTTTTACTGCGATAAGCCACTACCTGTATATAACGTCCTATACATTCTCTAGTCAAACACCATTCATAACCTTCATGATGAGGCAGTGGATTAAATACTATTGTCTCATCTTTACTTAATACTACAGAAGAACTAAGAAACCACCTAACGGTTTGAATGGGATTAAATGAACTACAACTGTTAACATCTTTTACTTTGATAACTGAATCAGCTGCTACTTTTCCATATATACTAATTTCCTTTTCTATAGCAGTATCATTCCCAAGCCATTTATGTAATCGTTTTTCATAAGCTTTATAAAGATATTCACCTCTAATAAGAGGTTGCTCCATATGCTCTTCTTTTTTAGGTGTCTCATACTCCTGTGGATGAATAGTATCCTCAACTTCAATTTCTTTTACTTTCTCAAGTGCTTTTCTTAAGTTAAACTCTCCTTCTAGTTCAACTTCTTCTACTTCTTCTGTATATTGTTTTTTTTTGAGATATATTGGAATTATATGATCTATAACATGGACATATTGGAAACGCTACAAGGATTATAAAAGAAGTCTATTATAGAATAAATATAAGAAATAAAAAATTCCTACCATTTCACATTCATTTGTAATTTCTATTTCCTAAAATGATTAAGAAACAATTTTAAATATTACTTCTATTGTTTTAGATTCACATGTATTTGTAGATTTACCTTTTTATAAGGTTCAAATGTTGGAACCATAGTTTCATCTATCCCAAAGCGAGATTTAGGAGGTTCTACAGTTCCTCCTATTAGGTTTCCCATATTTTATTATGTTTATGATATCTAAAAATAACTATTTAAGTAAGTAGTAAAGATGCACCCGTTAACAACTTGAAATTTAGCGCTAAAATGTCTATATTAACAATTGTTCTTAGATAATAAATCCCTTTATTTTCTCTCCAAATTCTACAGGCTTCTTTTAGTATATGTTAAATAAATCCATATTTTATAATACTTCATAGGTTTTAAATAATCAAACTCATTTAACAATAATATTGAAGATTTACAAGTACAAATGGATCCTTGGGTATATTGGCGTGATATTTTAGGATCTCCAAAGACGGTTCTAGCTCCAATGGTAGATGCAAGTGAATTAGCTTATAGATTATTATGTAGAAAATATGGTTGTGATTTAGCATTTACTCCAATGTACCACTCTGGTTTATTCTCCAAACTATCAGGATATAGAAATACAAATTTTCAGACCTGCGATGATGATAAACCACTTATACTACAATTTTGTGGTAATAACCCTGAAGTAATACTTCAAGCATCAAAATATATTGATAATAAAGTACAAGGGATAGATTTAAATTTTGGATGCCCACAAAATATAGCAAAAAGAGGACATTATGGAGCATTTTTACTTGAGGAACCAGAACTAATGGAATCTCTAGTGTCAAAATTGGTAAATAGTGACTTAAAATGCCCAGTATCTTGCAAGATACGTTTAGTTTGTAAAAATGACTTACAAAAAACAATAAATATTATGTATAGACTAGAACAAGCGGGTATTAGTATGTTAACAGTACATGGTAGAACATTAAAAGATAAGGGTACTTTAACTGGATCTTGTGATTGGGAATCTTTAAAAATAATGAAGCAAAGGTGTAATATACCATTTATTGCTAATGGTGGGATTCATACTTTTGAGGATATTCAAAAGTGTTTTGATTATACTGGAGCTGATGCAGTTATGTCTGCAGAAGGTATTTTAGAAGATCCATGGCTATTTTATAGATTTAAGAATAATCAAAATATAAATAGACCATCACAGTTTGATCTAGTTGGTGAATATATTGATGTATGTAAAAAGTATCCACCACCAAATAATAGTATTGTTAGATCTCATTTATATAGAATTTTTCATACTATATTAAATACTCCTGGAGCTAACAAGTTTCGTGATAAAATAAATGTTGCAAAAGATCTAAATGATTTTAAAATTTTTAGTCAGGAACTATATCATTTCTTTATAAATCTTCAAAATAAGTTTCATAAAGATATCCCACAAGTAGGATTTTGGTATATTAGACATAGAATTGATAGACTTGAAAAGCAAGTAAGTAAAGATCTAATCTCACTATATAGACAAGAAAATATTCCATTACCAAGAACATTACAAAAGGAAACTCAAAGATACCAAAATAAACAAGATGATTGCCAAGGAATTAGTATGAATAATCCATTATTTAGTTCTATATCACAAAGTACATTACTCTATAACATGTAAATTCTAACTATTTAAGATATTTATTATGGTTATAACTTTAATTCATACAAAATCATTGTCTTTGAATAAATTGATCTTATTATAAATGATATTTAATATATATAAAGTCTTATATTTAAAAAATTTCAAAGTTTAATATTTATTGCATAGAATTATGCACCATATAGGCTCTTAATATATATAAAATAAATAGTAAGCTATATAATTAAATAGCATGCAAAGTTTTCTTAGATTATTCCCGCTAAAAAAAAAAGAAATTGACGTAAAAGTGGGAAACTTAACTTCCAAAATTTATTATTTTCTATCTCTTACTAAATAAATCCTATGTTATAATTCGGAACTTATTTATTTTGAGACAATCATTTTAGCCATAATAGATTAAATAAGCTATATATTTTATTTTTTCAAATGTTAATATTAGTAAATGAATAGTAAATATCTGGCTATTTTTTTAAGCATCTCCTTGGGAGTAATAATTACTTCTGTAATTTTATGGTTAACAGTAATAAATTTTCCATGTTTCTCAAGAAAAAAAAAAGATCTTCAAAATTCTCTAACAACTTTTAAGTGCCATTTTAAGTGATACAATTTAAATATATAATTGATTTCATACTATTTACTTCCATAAAGTAATAGTGAATAAATTTTATAATTACTATATATCAAATATATCTACAAATTGATCTTGTATTGTATCATTTCCATACAGATTTATTAAGGTTTTTAATAATTCGTTTGAAATTGGAATTTTTTTCTAGTTCTCTTTTTAATATTAATATTTTTAATTTGATTCCACTTTTTGTCAATTTGATTATGTATTAAATCTACAGAATTTGTTTGTGAAATTTCTTTGAATATCATATATGGTGTAGGCCATAATTCCAATAGAATTTCAGTGGCTTCAGGTCCACAACCATGAATAGCTCTAAGCTGTTTCCCAAATAGTTGCTGAACTGTTAAATTAGATGATTTTTTACTATTATTTTCCCAATCACAAAATAAAGGACGACTTTTAATAATATTCTCTAGTATTCTTAATGATAAAGTTTCATTATAATCTTGATTTGGACTTGCATAATTACTGCATTTATTATTTATTTGATCCCATCTATTTTTTACAGCTTGAGATATCATATTATGAATACCTATTAAAAGTGTTATTGTATGGCCTATTGATTGGCTCTGAACTATATGAAAACCAGCTACAAATTGAGTATGCACTTGAGCAGAACGAATAATTTGTTTTGGTGGTACTCTACCATTACTTATAGGTCCACCAGTACTACTAGACCAGACAATATTTTCATGAATTGAATTTATATCTTCTATCAAAAAAATGATATTTTCAGCACCCAATGAACGCATTAAACGATATTTTTGTTCATCATAACGTCCATCCATTATACTAGAACATAAGTCACTACCTGTCTTCCTCTCTATTATCCATGGAAGTACATAACATTTCTCAATAGGTACAATATCATCTGATTTATTAATTATTGGTCTTACTACCCAAATTATATCACCTACAGGTAAACTTCTTAGCTCAATTTTTATTCCATTATCACATAATCGTTTTATTAAATATTGTGGTATTCCAGAAGATCTATTTCCTATAGAATAATTTTTATTATTAATATAATTATTTGAAAATATCTCATCATTATTATCATTAGGATTAATATTTGAATTATCAAAAATCTTTGTATTAACTTCTCTGTAGTCAACAATCATAACTATTTCATAATCTGTATATTTATTCATTGTTTTGTCTAAAGCTATTCTTTTTAACTTCTCATTTATACTCAAATCATTATTTTCACAAATCCTTAAGTAATTTTTAAGTATATACACTATTTGGGAATCATTACAACAACAATTATATGCTACTACATATCCTTTTTCAGTCAAATAATACTTTTTTTGCTCAGAACCAATTGGAAAATTATCTAAAATATTTCTAGTAATATTTAATTCTATTAAATTTGATTTTATCAAACTTTTAATATTCTTTTCTATATCCTTAAAATTCATATTTACACTAAATGAATTCTTAATATAAATACCAATAGATTCAATTGATTTCTCAGTACAAAATGAATTTTTACCTAATTTCTCATTCAAATATATTGATACTAAAATACTCCATTTTGAACCATATGTTATTGGAATACCTCTTAATGAACTAGTATTCTTTTGTATCTTAAAATTCTTATCCTCTTCAATATTTTCATTCTTATTTTTATTATCAGCTTCTGAACATATTTGTAATATTGGTTCTAATATATTATTAAGTTCTCTAATTTTATATTCACGAAATTCTTTGCATTTATCTTTATATTCTTCATTATCAAAATTAAAAATATCTGATTCTTGTTTATTTATTAATTTACTTAATTTTGAAGCTAAATAATTACCTATACCTTCCAAACTTAAAAATTGTTGTTGGTTATATAATGGTAATGGATAAAGTTCTAGGCTCTTCATTGCCTTCTTAATTATTGCAATATTTTGCATTGTTTTTGCTGATTTTCTAAGTTCATTAAGATATTCCAAATACTTTATATTATATGGATGTGCTAATATAGTCGAATTTCTATTATTTATAGATTTCCTTGTCTTTTTAAGAGGTTTTTTCATTTCATCTTCACTATAGTCTTCTTTATTTTCAACTTCATCATTACTACTTAAATTTCCATCTGTTAAGCTAATCCTTTTCTTATTAATATAATTATTTTTATTATATGTATCTTTATATATTTCCATTTATAAAAGTAGTTACTTTTATTTTCTCAAGTCTCTATTTACTTAAATATACTCTACATATATATATAGTAACTACTATAGTAAATTCCCTCTCTAACTGACAACTTTCTTTAATATATTTAATTGAGATATTTATATTAATAATCCAATCATTGAAATCTAAGAGTAAAAGTGATTAAAATAAGTTACTCACAAAGGCCCCTTCTAAAAAATATAAGACACTCAGCGCGCATGCATTATAAGGCGCCGGTATCCACATACTTTTGTGTTTTACGAGCTTAAATTAAATAGCTAATAAGTTAAAAATATAAACTAGAAGTAATCAATATGAGCTCTACTCTTGTGATATATCCTGTGACTCATTCTGATTATTAATTTCATTATTCAGCCATAAATTCTCGAGATCATTGAATATATGAAAACATAGCTGAGATCCTAATTGCATCTCAGACAATGCAATATTTGTTACATCATATATCTTGGGTAATATTAATTTCTTGAATATAGCCTTTAATTTAGCTTGACGTCTATTAGTTAAGTCCTCAAAGTATTCTATTAAATAAATAAATAAATAAATAAATAAATAAAATAAAGTATATATACATAGGAATTACATAAAAAAATCCAATAATATATTCACTCTTCCTAATTATTGATTATATATACTTGAAATAATTAACACTTACTTCTTATTTTATTTCTTTTTCCATTGAAAGGATCATTCTTTAAGGAAAAGAAAATATGAGCTATCTCATAAAAGTGAAAATTAATATCACCAAACGCATATCTACCTAGCTTTTCCTCTGTTTCTAATAGGTTCTTTAATCCATCTACTGTAAGCCATATAGGAGGTACTACATGACACCAATCTCTTAAATCTAGGTATTTAGCAATCCACAATGGAACTTTACACTTTTGAAATGGTACAAAAGGCCCAATTTCAACCTAGAAACCACAGAGATAAAAAAAAATCCATATAATACAAAAAATATTTAAAATATAAATAAAAAATCCATCTTATCCCAAAATATATAATATTATATCCTACCGTAAATATCAATTTCTTAGTCATATTTATAGTTGGAATTATATCAACTATACATTTCTCTTCAGCAATGAAGATACACTCCTCAAATGTTAATTTCTCCCTACTTATATTCCCATTATAAATATGTTTATCATCCATCTTAATTAATTAATATTTTTAAAATAGGGGTTGGATTTAGTAGGAAATTTAATTTTATATTTATCACAAAAATATACCCCCCTCTTTGGCGCCCTTAGCGCCCATATTATTATATGGGTACCGGAAATATTGTATATAATATTTTATAATAAGTTACTCTCTAAAATATCATTAAGAATCTTGAATTAAGATCAACCTCTGTAATTAGTTAACCATCTAAAAAATTTATCCTATGCTCTAAAAATTTCACATATAGAATACATCTATTTATTGTAAAATTACAACCTTTGTAGTGTATTACTAAATTTCAAAATTATACTTCTATTAATATCAATATTATTCCAGTATATAATAGAATTCCAGGTATTAATTCTAGGTTTTATAGTAAATATGATCAATTTTATTTTTACCGAATTTAGTAATTTATGGAAGATATTGTTCCACTATTCTTCTAATAGTTTCTTCAGTTTCCTTTCACCTAGACCTGCCTCATAATTTAATCCAACTGAATATGCTAATTGAATTGCCATATTTAGTTCTTCTATACTTGCAGCCATTCTTAATATTGACCGTACTTGACTACTTTTATCTTCATCAGATATATTATTAATAAAACCATTGGCGCGCGCGGTATTTTCTTCAATATAATTTATATTATCTATTTTATTATTTTTTGAATATTTCCTCTTTGTTTTAGGATTATACATAGAATTATTAAAGGGATATTTATTATTTCTATGAAATAAGTAATTTCGATCAATTTCCTTATTTGGAGATTGATTTTTTTCTGTTTCTTGATATTCATTAACGGGAATTAAATTAGTATTTGTCCTATTTACTTTTGTTGTTTTTCTATCCTTTGGGGTATTTACTTTTGTTTTCTTTTTATTTTTAGTATTAGATAATTTACATTGCGGTAATGGAGGTATCCCTTTGGATTTAATTATTGAGTCAATTACACTATCCTCTTTTGGTCCATATTTATTAAATATATACTCCTTTATAATCCCAAGAGTCTCTCTGTATACTTCAACGTCAGTCATGATAATATACAGAACTGACAATGAATTTTAAGTTTTCAATAATTTTTACTCTAGCTATAAATAAGGTAGATGTCTCATTCACCGCCTTAGATTTTTACAAATGTTTTTTTTTCTACCCTAGGTCAACTCATAAAAAATAAATATCCTAAATCATGGATGAAATGATGAATAAAACAATGGAACTAATCCAACAAGGATCTAAAAAAGAAAATTGTGGTGAATATCAAGAAGCTTTGGATTTATATTTGATGGCATTACAACGTTGGAATCATATGTGTAAATATCAAACTGATCTGAAAATAAAAAATATTCTTATTTCTAGAATGGAACAATTAGTTACTAGAGCTGAAAATATAAAAAAAGTACTTAATAATAATTCTGAAGGTAATAAATATACTATAGATATAAATAATAAAAATAATACAAGTAGTAGTAATGATCAACTTAGGGAAATGATTACTAATTGTATTGTTGTAGAAAGTCCTAATATATATTGGAATGATATAGCAGGATTAATAACAGCTAAAGCTTCATTAAAGGAAGCTGTTTTACTTCCTATAAAATTTCCTCAACTTTTTAAAGGTAATCTAAAACCATGGAAAGGTATTTTGTTATATGGACCTCCTGGAACAGGAAAAACTTATTTAGCTAAAGCTTGTGCTACTGAACTTAATGGTACTTTTTTAACTTTATCAAGTGCAGATTTAACAAGTAAATGGCAAGGTGAATCAGAAAAATTAATAAAATCTCTTTTTGATATTGCAAGAGAAAAGGCACCATCTATTATATTTATTGATGAAGTTGATAGTTTATGTAGTAGTAGAAATGATCAAGAAAATGAATCTAGTAGACGTATAAAAACTGAATTTTTAGTTCAAATGGATGGAATTAATAGTGGAATATTAGATAATAATAAATCTATACTTGTTTTAGGTGCAACTAATGTACCATGGGATTTAGATATTGCTATAAGGAGAAGATTTGAAAGACGTATATATATACCATTACCTGATTATTCTGCTAGAAAACAAATTATATTGCAAGGACTTAAAGATACTAATCATAATTTAACAGATGATGATATTTCTTATATTTCTGAACAAACTAATGGTTTTAGTGCTAGTGATGTTTCAATTTTAATTAAAGATACATTATTTGAACCTATAAGAAAATGTAGTAATTCTAAATGGTTTAAAAGAATTGAAAAATATAATGAAAAAGAATCTACATATTTTTGGACTCCATATTCACCAAATTATACAGATCAAGAAGATATTAATAATGGAAATATTAAACAAATGTCTTTATATGATATACCAAATAATCAATTATTACCACCTATTTTAACAAAACAAGATCTAATTAATGTCCTTTCGAAATCTAAGTCTTCAATTTCTATAAGTGATATATCAAAATATGAAGATTGGACAAAATTATTTGGATTGTCAGGTGAATAAAATAAGTTTATAATGAAAAGGAGATATTTTATCTTTGTTAATATAATTTAAACAATTATATAATTCTACATAATATTATTGTATATATATATATTTGAAGATTTATAATTCATTAAGTTAAGTTTATCAAAATAAATATATTGAGTATATTTTAGATCTACTATTTTTAAATTGATAAAATTTAAGATTAAAGCTTTTTTTTTTTTTTTGTTTCATTTTAATCAAATTCCAAATAAATTAAAGTTCTTTGATACAATAATATAAATCATTTTAATTACAATATATTATTAAAAATTAATACATATTATTATTATTGGCTATCAGAGTCACTGTAATTAAATATACTTGTGATATTATGGTGCTAAGGTATGCCTAGATTAATTTTTTATTTAATGAGTTATCTGTTATAAACTGGCACCTTTATTCTATATTTGCCAGCATCAGATCCAAACTTATACAATTTTTTCTTATTCAAATTTATTTTAAATATTTTCGAAAACTATATATATTTTGTCTCCTATATTATGTAAGTCATTATTTATATATTTTGTATTTTAAAATAGGATATTTGGAACTTTCTAAAAAATTAATTTTTAGATCCCATTACTATATATATATATGTATATATATTAATTTAGATAATTCTGGATATATACTAATATATTGATGTATACTAGTAAAAAGTAATGAACTGAATCTTTATATTTTATGTAATCTTATTCTGATTTCTCTAAATTATACTTTTTTTTTCTTATTAAATATTAATGGGTGCACTTTTAATATTAAGATGTTTCTTTTAGCGCTACATTTCCGTTTATTGATAGAGTATTATGGTAACTATTACTAGCCTACTATGAAAGTTCTTTATACAAAATTAGTACATAATTATACTTCTTTACAAGAAAGTGAAAGTTTGGAATCTGAATATTTAAATGAAGGTATAGAACATATCTCAAATATTCAAATTGATTTCTATTATACATTTATACGTTCTATTGGAGTTTTACAAGTTATTGGAATTCTGGCATATAATATACTTATTTGGCATAATTTATATTTGGGAAATATTAGCCCTGAATATGTATTGGTAATAGATATATTTTATTTATTTATAATATATATAATTTTTTTACCTAATCTTAACTTATTGATTATACTTGGATTATTAGGGACTTTATCACCTATCTTACAGAATTTGACTTCTTCATTTAGTTATGACACTATTATTGTATTAATATTAATTATATTTACATTATACTTATTATCTTATAATTGCAATATTATATATAAAAAGACAGATATATCAGAAATTAGACATATAGCAACACATAATATAGCAATGTTTGGTTCAATTATTCTTGCTTCTAGACTTAAAAATATATTACAAATATATTCTTTTTTATTTTTTTCAATTGAGAATTTATATTTTAGTTGTCTTATTAGAAGGAATATATGGATTAAGTCACCTCTAATATACCTATATATTTGTACTCCATTACTAAATATTATACCATTATTATTATTCAATTATCCATTCAATATTTTATATTTACTTATTTGTATTATTATTATTATTGGATCTTTCCAATATGTTTATTGTGCATTAAAATATAAGAATATTATTAAAGGTCCTTGGGATATAGCTGAGATACAATGTTAAATATTAGAAAAAAGATTTAAGTATTCTTATTATAAAATAGTTTATAATTATAAAGATAAAAAATAAGGGAGTAATCTAAATATATAATCTGTAATTTCTTATTTCTAATATTTTCTTTATTACAAAAATATTTAACTAAAATGTAATAATATAAATAGATAATACAAAACATTAATATAAATAATAATATATAATAAATATATAATTCAAAATATATTAGAATAATAATTTATAACAATATTTAATCATAATATTAATTTTATTATTATTATTAATCATTTTATTAGATTATATCATAAAAAAAAGTTATAAATTAAACAATTCTAAATAACTTTTTTTTTGTCCTTATTTTATAAAATTATTTTAATAATTACTATTTATTATGATATAATTAATCTAATGATAACTCCTTTGCCGTTTTCTTATATATTGTTGTCTATTTGTTATTTGACGATATAATACAGATATATTAGATTGATCAACAACTTCAGGGTATATCTGAATAGCATGATCAATAACTGATTTAGGGGGTAATCCCTTTCTGATTAACTCATCAATTAGAGGTAATGTATGTTGTGGGAGACCTGAAATAATAATAAAAATAAATATAAATTAATTTTTCACTAATTTAATTTAAATTACTTACCTGGTCTTTTGTATTGTTGTTTCACTTCTGTATGATATCCTCTATGTTGTACATAACATGTTTCATGTGAAGTTAAATATATTCTCATTTCATATTGACAATCAACATGTTGTACACATCTAAAAAAAAAAAAAGTCATTTCAATATATTATTATATATAATTCCAAAAATAACATACCGATATACAAAACTAACAGCTCTTGGATCCCTATAAACATGCCTCATACGATATTGACTAGTCTGAACAAAATGTTCTGCATCTTCAACTGTAGTCTTAGGTATAATTGTATGCCATGCTTCAATCTCACCTATAATAAATAAATTCTTATATTTAATAAATTATATTAATTAAAAAAAAAAACAAAAGTGAAAAAATGACATACCTGGTCTTCTACGTCTTCCTCGTCTTCTTAATTTCATTTTTTCCTCATCAGAACATATATCAGAAATAAATAATTCATTATTTCCATTTGATTTATTCGTATTCTCTATTGAATTGTTACTTTCTTTATCTAATATATTATTATTATCATTAAAATCATTTTCATGTTGAATATTTTCATTAAAAGAATTCATGTCATATGATAATTCATCATCTAATTTTATACAATAACTAGAAACTGTTGATCTAGATGAATTATTACTCCAACGTCTACCTCTTCCTGAATCTAATTCAGTTGATGAATCATATCTTGAATTAAATTCATATGTTATAGGAATTGAAAGATCTACTTCATTTTCATTTGTAGTATTATTAATATTTATATCTCTATTTAAACAAACACGCTTAGATGTTATAGGACTACTATTTGAATTTAACTTTCTTTCTCTTGTATTATTTAATCTATTAAAATTTAATATACTTTGATCTGTTTCATTTACACCAAGTAAACCTTTTAATAAATAATTATGCATATTATCATCTACTTCAGAACAATCATAAAAATTATTTATTAAAGATTCTCCACTTTCACAATTTGATTGATCATATTTCGATATATTTATATCTTTTTGTTCTTCAAAAGATTCATCTCCATTAATCCATCCTACTTGAGAATCATTATCAATTGAAAATTCATTAGGACATGATTGTATCCATAATTCATTATTTATAGATACATTAATAGACATCCTTTATCTATTAAGCTTTAATATATTTTCTAAAAATTTAACTATATTTAAATCAAATGAAACTCGTTATTTTTAAGCTTAATATATTTGTATAATAATAATGAATAATCTTCTAATTAGTCCTCAAAGTATCCAATTAGTAATCGTTATTGAAATATAACATGCAAAAGTGCTGTAATATCGCGGTGTCGCGATGATGTCGTGATTATTTTAAAATTAAAAAAAAAAATAATACAATTAATTAATTAAAAAAAAAAGAAAAAGGAGAATTTCCTTTTTTTAATATATTTATCTATATTAACCTTTAATATCACATCATTTTAATCTACAATATAATATTTCTTAGATAATGAATTCCACTTTACATGACCACCTTTTATAAGATTACGCCAACGATCTTTTAAACCTACTTCATCACGACATAATTTAGAATTAGCTAATATAACTCTCCATTTACCTATACCATATTCATTTACACCATCAACTAATAAAGATGTTTCATCATCTGTCCATCTACGATATTTTCTTGCTGGATTTCCTCCAATATCAGAATTAGAACTTTTACGACTATTCCTTGTTTTAGAAATATTTTGTATTATTGGTTCACTATCAGAACTTAAAATATCTGATATACCCTCAACAGATATCTTCCTACCATTTGTATCATTAGAATATAATTTTGATTTTGATCTTAATTCTTTATCTTCTAATATCTCATTATTATTATTTACTCTAGATGTTAATTCTTTATTTTCTAATATCTCATTATTATTTATATCAATAATATTCTCCATATTTATCTCATCAAATAAATTCTCTTCAAATGAAGATGTAATATTTTTAGATGTTATAAATTCTGGAATTTCTTCAATATAGTGTTTACTTGATAACCCTTTTTCTAAACAAAATGTTAAAATTAATCTTGCAGAATTAATCAATTCACGATTATATTTACTTTTTGGTTTTAAATTATCATAATATTCTCTACATATTGTTATAGCTCTATAATGTCCAGATAATTCAAATATAACATTAAATGGTTCTTTTGGATCAATATCTACTATAAAATTATCATTCTCTATATTATTTAATGAATCTTTAAATGAATATATATTTCTCCATGGATTAGATATATGTAATATATTATTAAATTTTGTAACAAAATTAACTAAAGAAGTTAATAAATCTTCTAAAGGATATGACTTTATTATGTTAACTAAACATTCAATGAAATTATTATCACTGTCTGAAAATAATTCTAAAAAATTACCATTGTATTCTTCATTATATTCTTCATTATATTCTTCATTATATTTTCCTTTAATAGATTTCCATATATTTCTTAATGATTTTGAAAATTTAAAAATATCAACTCTACAACAAATTTTATTTCCATCTTGAAAATTATCTAATGGTAAAAGTTTATCAATTAAAATATTTGTTTTTGATATTGACATTGGTCCATTAGGATTATAAAGAAAATTACTTAATAATTTATGAATCAACCAATGTATAGATATTTGATATATTAATTCATCATTATTATATATATCTATATTTCTATTATTTAAATGTTCAATAGAATTTGTTATTGTTTTATTATCAATTTCTTTTACAGATATATCTTTTATCCATTTGGTTAATTTCTCAATATATTCATCATTAAAACAATTTCCAGTTATTAATGGTATATCAATACCTGTTGTTATAAATGGTAATTCTCCTATATTAGGATTTAATATTTTTAAAGCTTTAAAATAATATTCATTAGATCTTAAAGAACTAACTAATTCATGAACTGGATGTATTAAAAGTTTAAAGACATCATTTCTTAATTTACCTCCAGGGGATATTAATTCTGAAAAATCACATTTTTGAGAACCAGTCCAAATATGAGCAGCAAATATAGATAATGGTGACATAGGTTTCTCTCTTAAAAATTCGGAATTTTGGGTCAAAAAATTTAGTGCCCATTCTAAAGAAAATATTCCAACAATTTTACCAGTCTGAAGTAATTTCTCTTCATTATTATCTTCTTTACTATTAATATCTTTATAATTATTTACTAAATTCCTATTATTACTAGAATATTCGTCACATCTAGTAGTATACATATGATCGTTTAATTTTCACTATAATTAATGTATGTAAAAATATATCCATAGAGTTTATAATAATTATAATATTTAAAAATAAACAAATAATAAAATAAAAAGTAAAAAAAAAATTAAAAAAATAAAAAAAAAGCGCGCTCATTTTAAAACTAGTGGATAATTTTTTTTTATTTTTTTAATTTTTTTTTACTTTTATTTATTTATTTGTTTATTTTATTAATTAATAAATGTGAGAGTAATCTTTTATATTAATATTATAAATATAATAAATGTTATTTTTATATAAAATTTTATATAAGTATAAGTATTATTTTATATTATACATATTTACTTATTTTATTTATAATGTAAATTGTAAGGCTATACAACTTATATCTATAAAAGATGATGGAAAATTAGAGCTTATAAATGAAACTACAGAAATGATTAAAAATATAAAATCTCCAATATCAATAATATCATCAGTTGGTCAATTATCATCAGGTAAAAGTTTCTTATTAAATCAATTACTTGGTATAAAAGATGCATTTGATGTATGTAATTCATTAATGGGATGTACAAAAGGTATTTGGATATGGTCTGATACCTTAATTAATAAAAATAATAAACATATTTTAATATTTGATACTGAAGGGATATTTTCTTCTAATTCATTTAATTATGGAATAAAGATATTTTTTATATCTATTTTATTATCTGATAAGATTTTAATAAATTCTTATAGAAATATTGATAATATAATAATTAATACATATGATATATTAATAAGACAAAGTTTATTAATATTTACATTTATGATTGGAAATATAATTGAAACAATAGAAAAAGATAATAATAATACATTTATAAAATATAATATATATAATAAGAATTTATTGGAATTATTAACGAATTTCAAAAATAAAAGATTTAATTTTATAATTCATAATGTTTTATCTAATATAAATTTAGAAGAATATAAATATTGGATTAATAATTTAAATAAAAATAATGAATTAAATAAAGGATTTTTTAAAGATCTAGATTTATTAATATTACCTATAATAGATAATAATCTAGAATATAAAGATATAAATAAGATGGATTTAATAAAAGATATTAGAGAAAATATATTGGATATAGATAATGAAGATAATATATTAATAAAATCAGGTTTTGATTTAGTTAATATTCTAGAGATAATAATTGAAATAATAAATTTATCAATTTTTCCAGAAATGTTGTCATTTGAGAAATTATTAAATATAGATATAATAAGATTTAAAAATAATTTAATTAATAATTATAATTATCAATTAAGAAATAAAATATTAGAATTAAATATACCAATATTAGAAAAAGAAAGTAATAAAATATATAATAATTTAAAAAATTTTATATGTTTTATTTGGAGTAATATAATTGGATATAATAATGAATATAATAATATATATGAAGATTTAATTATAAATTTAGAAAATATTTATAACAAGATAATGCAAGAAAATTGTAAGAAGATAATGTTATATTGTAGTAAATTAACTGATTCTTATATATCAATAATGTTAGATAAAATAAATAAGATAGAAGAAAATATACCATATAATGAAGATGATCTTTTAAATATAATATTAGAATTACGTAATAATATACAAGATAATTTTATGAATTGGATAATTATATATCATAAAAGTGAGAATTTAGAAATAAGTGAATATGAGAATAGTAAATGTTGTAATTATAGTATGGATAATCTATTAAATATAATTAATAATAGAATAATAGATTTGAAGAATAAGAATAAATTAAAGATTGAAGATTTTGTAATTTTAGGATGGAATAAAAGTCAAGAAGTTATTAAAGAAATATTAAATAGTGATAATAAATTTTATATGGTAGATAGGATTAAATTTGAAGATAATATTAATGAAATATTTGATCATATTTGGGGATTATTTTCACAATACTCAAATATTACAATAGGTAATAAATTATATGATAAATATAATATACAATTGAATAGTAATATGAATTTAATTTTTGAGAAGCTTAGATTAAGATGGCTACAAGTATGTAAAGATATATCTTTTTCTACTGCACGTGGTTTATCAATAAAATTAAATATGAATATTAGAAGTAAATTAGTTTTTCCATGTACAGATGAAATGATATTTTCTATTATTAAAGAATATCAAGATAAGATAATTGAGGAAATGAAGAATTTATATTGTGTAGATGAGATTCCTTGGAATGATGCTATAGAAGATCTTTTGAATACTATAAATGATGATAAAGAGCAATTATTAAAAGAAAATATTGAAGCTTTTAAAAATTTATTATATAGACCTTTACAATATGCTTTAAAGAATGTTTCTAATTTAGTAAATTTTTCATATAATTGGGATAATTTTGCAAAAGAGGCATCTTTAACAGCTTATAAAATACTTAATGAATCAGTTAATGAATATCCAATTTATATTAATGAATCAATTAAGGAGAAAGTAATTGAAATATGGTTAAGAGATGATGTTGGATATTTATATCATATAACTTTATGGAATAAATTAGAAATTATTATTAAATTTATATTTTTTTTAATTGGTATTATAATATCATTGATAATAATATTTAATAATGATAAATCTCATATTTTTATAATATTTAATTTGATAATATTATCATTAATATTTTTTATATGTTTTCATATTAATATATTATATAAATTATTTTCAAGATATTTTGAATATTTGGTTTTATTAAATTATGGTATAATTTTGGAATATTTATTCATTACAAATTTATATTTAAAGATAATATTTATAATAATTTTATTTCTAATAATTACTTATATTATATGGAAATATTTTATTTGTAATTTATTACAAAATAAAGTTGAAAGACCTTATGAAAATAATATTGTAGTTAAAACTTTTAATTTTTAATAGAAATATAATTTAATTATTTTTGTTAGAAATAAAGAAAAAAAAGTATTAAATAATATTAAATTTTAATTATTTGAGTCTTAATAAATTTAATATTTTAATATATAGTATATAGTATATAGTATATTTAACTAATTATTATTAAGGGGGAATATATATTATAATAATCAAAATACTTTTAGATAAATACTAAATATTATAGATTATAAAGATAATATGATCATATTATCAAATTTTCATCTTTATTTTTAAAAGATATCTAATTAAATAAATCTTTCAAAATATTCTTTTTTATATTTTTAAATAATCAATATTAATATTAAAAATTCAATACTTCAAGTACTATTAAGTATTTTTAGATGCTAATAAACGTTCTGCAGTACTGCCGTGTCTTTCTCCTTTACAATCTTGTTTGAATGCATAAGAAACTGTAATTTGTCTATTACCAAAAAATTGTCCATTTAAAGTAGCTATAGCATTATCAGAAGAATTAAATGAATCATAGCTAACAAATCCATATCCACGTTCATCTTCATTATTCTCTTTAAAAATAACTTTTGTTGAAATAACATTTCCAAATAAAGAAAATATATCATGTAATAATTTTTCATCAATATCAGGAGAAAGATTCCCAACAAATAAATTTGCACCAATATCTAATTGTTTACGATCTTGGGAAGCTTTACTACATCGGATTGGTTTACCATAAAGCTTAACTGAATTAAGAATTCTTTGAGCATATTCACAGTCTAATACTTGTTGAAATTCAATAAATCCAAATCCAGAATGGGTTCCAGTAACTTTATCTCGTGGTATATATACAGATTTAATAGGTCCTGTTTGTGCAAATAGTTCAGCTAATAGTTCTTCATCAACTCTATTATCTAAGTTACCACAATATAGTGTTGCTTCTTGATTTTTATCAAATATCTGTTGTATTTCAGTTACAGGACGTACATAATGTTGATTTGTATTTTGTGATATCATAGACCCATTTAAGATGAAATCGATAAAATAGTAATTATTCTAGTATTATAAAAGCGGTATTATAGAGATAATAATAAGTTATTATATAATATTATTAGTATTACCCAAATAACCCTGCACTATAATAATTAATTTGATATTAAAAAAAAGAAGGAAAAAGGAAAAATTTTAGTTATTTAATAATAATCTATTTAATATTAATATTAGATACTAATAATTTAGAAACTGTTAGAATAATAATTATAATCCCTAATCTAAAATTATATCAATAATAATTTTTGAATAAAGATCAAAGTTATTTTGAATATAAAAAGTTATAATCAAAGATCATATTAATTTTAATTATATATAGACTTTATTAAGAGAAAAACGCACCCGAAGGGACTCGAACCCTCAACCCCAGCCTTAGGAGGGCTATGCGCTATCCATTGCGCCACGGGTGCTAGGCCTAAGGGGGTGGCTATTTTCATGATTTACTTATTTAAAATAAGTTTTAGAATATAAATAAAATTCTTATTATATAATTTAGAATTAATAAGATTTATCTTTATTTATTTTCAATATATATTATATATATAAATTTAGATATTATTTAGTATTATATAATAAATTAGATAAATAGATGATTTTCTTTTTTTTTAATATAATCTATAATATACAGTACTATTTAGTCTCTAGGTTCTTTATTAAGTAAAGAATTATTGTTAATATTGTTTAGTAGATAACATCTAGCTTTTGATCAATATAATTAATAGGAACTAAGAGATAATATTTTCATTTTGGTTAAACCAATTAATAATTTATAACAATAATTGAATATAACTCCCCTTTTATTAATAATTTGATAATCTTATTATTTTGAAAAGAATAATAATAATAAAATATCTCAACTTTTTTTTTCTATTTATACTAATATTATAATTCCCTACAAAATTTTAGTACGTAATTTTATATAAATTAATATGATTTTCATTTTTAAAACAAAGTTATAGAATATCTTTAGTTTACTAAATTTACAATTACTTATGATCAAATAGAATTTAGATAGCACTAAGCACTATGCACTATTTTATAATAAATTTAAATAATATTGTATATATTTAAAGAATCTGTACTAAATTCTGCAAATATATCCACATATTAGTTCATTTATATTCTTAATATTAAATTTCTATACAATATTATTAATTTAGAAAAGATAATAAAGTGTAAATTATTTTATTCAATAATAAACTCTTTTTTAATTTCTTTTTTTTCTTTTATCCTTATAAAATTATCCCCCAATATTATTTTAATTAAAGAACAATATTTGAATATCTTATTCCTTGAAATAATATTTTAAAAATTAAATACTTTGCAATTTTCTGGAGTTTCTCTTACGAATATTTTTTGCATTAATCCTTTCTTTTTCTTCTTGACAAATATAGTCCCAATCTTTTTTAGAAATTTGATTATTACAAGCCATATTTTTTAAAAGAAAACAAAAAATTCCACCCATTGTCTTTTTACGAGAACCATCAATTGTCCAAAGTCCACCATTATTTTCTATCTTCATTGTCTGTTCAAAAATTTGTAAACAAACCTGAGGACCAAGTAATTTTACTGCTCTTGTAAGAAATCCTGTCTTAGGTTCCTGAAGTCCTGTAATAATAGTTTTAAGTACAATAGATTCCAAAGTATCTAAATTCAAACATCTTGATTGCATATTCTTTGATGTAATTGGTGAAAGGAAATCAATCATCTCAATATGTCCTCTAATTTCTGCTAAAGATAAAGCTGTCATATCCCAACAATCTAATAAATCTACAGAACAACCAGCATTTATAAGTTCTTTTGCAATATCTACATGACCAGCTATTGCTGCAATATGTAAAGGAGCTCTTCCACTTTTATCTATAATCCTTACATCTGCTCCATTAGATATTAACCACTTAATATATAATATATTTTTTCTAAAAGATGCATAATGTAATGGAGTTTTACCATCTTCATCTTGTTCATTAATTGATGATCCATATTTTATTAAAGTATCTGTAATAGTTGAATTTCCCTTAATAGCTGCAAAATGTATTGCTTTACTACTAATAGGCCCACCCCTACAAGGTGCACATGTATGAGGTAATAAAAGATTAATATCTGCACCTGCTTCAAGTAAAATATTTACTATCTCTGGAAATTTTTTTGAAACTGCTATATGTAGAGGAGTCCAAAATTTTTGATCACGCATATTAACATCACATTTATATTTTAGTAATACTTTGACTATTGGTAACCAACCACAGGCAGCTGCATAATGTAATGCTGTACGTCCAACTTTGTCAATAAATAGGGTATTAGCTCCTTGGGTTATACAAAATTCCAAAAGTTCAATATTTCCAAGAAAAGCAGCACGTAACATATGATTATTCCAATCAAGTATCCTATTTGTTTTGATTTCTATATTAGAATTCTTTGAATATAAATAAGATTGATTATTTTTATCATTTAATAAATTATGATCTGATATATTTTCATTATTTTCGTTATAAACAAAGTTAGATTCATAATTTTCAGATTCTGATTGTATTAATGTATTCTCCAAATCTTGAGTAGCTTTAATATCTAACTTTTTACCATTAAAACCAAATGTAAGTAATTCATTATCTGAAATATTCAAACAATGGTTAATAAACTGATAAATTTCATGATTTAATTCATCAAATTCTCCATCACAACTTGTAGTTTGTTTATTAATATTTCTAAAGTCAAGATTACAGCTATTTAGAGTACGTTTTCTAGCCATTTAGTCTACATTAATATAATTCTCCCTCTAAAGAAAGATCCAACAAATATTAATTTACCTATAATAGTTAAAATAGGGATCTTTTTATTAAGGAAAAAAATTGGTATTACATATACAGAGATTACTTTTTACTAGAGGTAATTGTAAAATCGCGAGTTTATATTATCCCACACTATGTTACCCGCTATTTCCCTTTTTTAAGTTAATACTTCTTTAATATTTTATTAGTAAATATTTTGCGGTAATATTTTAGCGCTTTTTTATTTTCTAGAGTTACACTTAATATTTTAGAGAATAGGAATTTCCCAAGTCTAATAAATTAATCATATTTTAATTTTTTTTTTTTTTCTGGAAAAAAAGAGAAAGAGAAAAAACTAAACTACAAATAATTTAAGACTTTTATTTTTTAGATGTTATTTTAGATATTCTCTTTTTAAACCTAGTAATATATATATATTGTAATATAGTAGACTACTAATAGATATCTATTGAAAATGGTCAATTTCAACATAAAGTTATTGTTAATAGTAAAAAAAACTTATACAGAGAGATTATTATGTTCAATTTTATTAATAAGTTTTTTGTAATATTGGGTTACTTTAATCTTATTATATTGTATTTATAGGCCAAGTGAAATTAATGTGTTTAATAAAGTACATCCTTTAATATTAAGAATAACTTTTATCTAAAAAAAGGCTTATGACTAATGTTTAATGGTGTTATTAGTTCATAACTAATAAATATAGGAATGAAGTATAGAATCCAAAGTACTTAATAGGCAATTTTTAATATTATGATCAATAATTAAATAGATTCCATTATATTACTAAACTGTTATAAGATTAGTATTGCAATTATTCATACTTTGATAAAATTAGCACATCTATTGTATTTCTTTTATATACTAAACAAAATAGAAAAGTATATATTTCTATAATATCACTAGTTCTACTATTACCCTACTCAAGAATTATAAAATTATCCTAATATAATTTAACTTTTAAAAAAAGAAAATTCGAAATATTAAAGTTATCAAATTTTGAAAATAATGATAATATAACTAAGAATATGTGTAAACTGATATTACTTTAGGGGATAAGAGGGGTAAAAAAAAAAAGAAAAAAAGAAAAAGAAAAAAAGCGGGATAACCTTAACCTTTAGATACCCTTAGGTGTCTTCGATTTATAAGAAGAATATTTTTGATTTTAATAATTCCACTTTAATCTTATGCTCATTGTATAGTTATGGGTTTTGCGATATATTCAAGATTAAGTTTATTTCTATTAAGTTTCCTCTTCTTGTCTAAATCAGATTATATTAGCTCATTATATGTTGAATTTATTTGCCAATGTTATTGCTCTATATCAGAATATGACATATCTTCTGGCACTCCTAAAGTTCAATCAGTTGAATTTCTTGCCGATGTAAGACCTATTATTCTTCCTATATCTGGATCAAGAGGAGTTGCAAATATAACAAATTTACAATCTATGGTTAGAACTAACTCGGGTCTTATAAAGGAGTATCGATTAGGTACAGTTGCTATATGGAACTCAGATTTTGATTTATCAACATTTAGTTCAATGGATCAACCCAATGATATGGTTTCAATTTTTAATGTACTTCCAATATTTGATGATATTTTTTTAAAAGTTAATAAGCTTAATTCTTCTTATTTAAATTCCGGTTCTAAACCAGCTATTATATTTCTCAAAGATTATATTGATGATGAAACTAAAATAGATAATTTAGAATATAACCCAAGATATCAGAAGAAATGCCAAAAAGTTTGCGAACGTCCTAATTCTACTATACAACCATTATCATATTCGAAAGTAGAATATGTGGAATTAACACATGGAGGAAGGATATTTGATCAATATCCAGCAAAAGATAAGTATTTATATAATAATCTTAATTTAGCTATTAAAGATAATTTAGATTTTGGTAAATGTAATCCTTCATATTTAGAAACAAAAGGAATCCCAACAAATTGGGTTGATATTTATAATAATTTGAGATTAGAATTTGCAAGGAAACAAGCTGATGAAGAATTTGCAAAAATTTATCCAATATTGAGTGTACCTGTACAAAGACCATTAATTATTGAATTTACAGAATCTGCAAGAAATTCATTTGAAGAATCAGCTTATTCACGTTTAATAACATTTCAAAGATATATATTATCATCTGGAGTAAAACCTATATCAGGTTTTCCTAATAATGTAGCTGATTTCTTTGAACAACAAATTTCACCTTTATTTCAATTTCGTGCAGTTTTAAGGGCTGAAAATTCAAGATGGATTGTGAAAGAAATTTATAAAGGTAATCCGGGTGATTATGGTTTTAGTGCTGAATTTTTAAATATTTTTCTTAAAGAACAAGAGATATTGTCTATAGAATCTAGACAATCAGATATTTTGGAATCTTGGGCAAACTCTTTTTGGACAATTGATGGTACTAATACATATACTGAACCTACAGATCTTCCAATAATACAAGATGTTGAGAGATATTCTGATGAAAATAAACTAGAATCTTGGCTAAGAGCAAAAGAGAAACAAATTAGAGAATTTGAGGGTGATATACCTGTTTCATTATTACAAATATTCAAAGGATTTAGGGCAGTATCAAATACTCAAATACCTATAGCTATCTCAGGCCAATTTGTTGTTATTAATGAAGATGATGAGAATAAAGAACAAGAAAAGATACCAATAAAAGGAGTAGAAGAAATTCATATTGTATATTATGGTATGCTAACTCTTAATTGTTTTACTTCTATAGATTTAAGTGAAAATAATGATTTTCAATTTAACAACAAGATTGTATTTGCAACATTTCCAGATAAAGTATTTCTTCGAACTGATGTTTTAAATATTAAGGAAGTAAGTATTCCAAATGAGATTAAACGTTGGCATACCATTGAACTAACTACAGGAGCATCTAATGGAATAGATATTATATTGACTAGTTCAACACATCAATTTGCTCAATTATTAGCTAAAATAAATCCATCAATATATCTTGCTTTATTTAGAGATCTTAGACATATGTTTATGATATCTAATGAGTCTACATTTATGAAGAATGTGTGTACTATTCCTACTAACAAATCTCTTGTAGAATTAGTATATGAAGATGAGGAGTCTCTAATCAGATCCCCAGTAAAATTATTTAATATTAATTCATTTGGTCATATTTCTTTGGGATATGTAAAGTTCTCTGATTCAGATTATTTCAATTATTTGACAACATTATTTTCTAAATGTTTTGGTGTTGTACCACCTAATTCTAGAATTAGAATCAAAGAAGAGTTCCAAAGAAAGATATTCACTTCTGATTTAGTTTGTGCAGTTGATGATGATATTCAGAATTACCAATTACAAGTATATTCACGCATTAATTACTAATATATATTACAGCGTACATATTTGAATTTTAAGTTTTTATTTTTTTTATTCTTAATTTCTATTTGTCAACTAAATTTACTGTCTCCAAATCTATTATATCTTCTGTATTCTCACCTGATATTGATGATGCCTCAAATGAGTTTGCAGCAGTAGATGCTTGACTCATCAATATATGCTTTTGTAAATTATTAATATCCTTATTTATTTCACGAGGTCCTCTTATTGAACAATGTGTACGATCGTTAGATGCATGGCTTAGCATTATTATTCCAATAATAACTGCAATAACACCAAGTATAAATCCAAGGGAATTTCTTGGTGTTTCCTGATATACAATAATAGCCCCTGTACTACCAACTGCTATTAATACAGAATTTACAACTGGTACAACAAAAGTTGCAGGATAACGTAATAAAGCCCAATTTAAATAAAATACTTGTATTATGGCCATTGAAATACATACAAAGATATTACCCACTAAATAAGGGTTAAAATATTTAAACCATTCTCCACTTGCTGCAATTTCAATTAATAATATACCACCCTTAGCAGAAACACAGCATGCTGCACCAGCTAATCCTGAAACTGTTGTTATACAAAATCTTTGTAATTTAGTCCAAAAAATCAAAGGGTTAATAGGTAATGATAAACATATACATATAGCTAGTGAAATTCCTAAAATTGCATTATAAGCTATGTATGCATCAGTTATAGAGAATTCATCAGTATTAATTTTTATATATTTTGCACCACAAAATAATGCAACTGTAATTCCCACTGAAATAATTCCAAATGCTACATAATCTATAATTCTAATATGTTCCCCAAGAATAAAATGTGCAAATACTAATGATAATATTATTTGAAGTCCTACAAATGGCATAACAACTGAAGCAGCAGTAAATGAATATGCAAATAGGGTTATTAAAGGATTTAGAATTATAGTTAGAGTCATTCCACATAGCCAGTAAGGTCGAAGTAATAAGATTCTTCTTTCTGATTCTGGTAAACTCTCTTCATATACAAATGAATAACGTGTTAATATATCACCCATTGCTGCAGAAATTGCAGAACATATAGCTGAAAGTGCCCCTATATACCAGTAATTAACAAATATAGAGCTTAGAATTACTGAAAAATCCATTTTTAATGGGTCACTAGGGTTTTCATTACTTAGAAATACGATTTTATTATTATAGTACTATTTTTGTACTTTTTAAAGGTAAGAGTCAAAAATTCCCTGTTACTCTGTGTAATTGCACTATTTTCAGTACGCGGCTTAGAAGTGCATGCTCTATCTGAATTTTTAGTTATAATCCAAATTATTAATAATATTAGCTAATACTTTCTAGGAATAATTATTTATAATATTTTTGTAAATATAAATTTAGTTTAAAATAAAGAAAAATGGTAAATATTAAAGATATATAGTGTATATTTTTTCTTTTTGATTTTGTTCTTTTAGATTTAGTAGAATTAATTTAAAGTATTTTAGTATATATATAGTAAATTAGCTATAAACAGAATATAATATTGAATTTCAAATAAGTTTTATATATTCAAAAACCTAAGGTAGATGATCCTTTTTTATGTCTTAAAGATTGATAATTTAAAACCTTTAACGTCTTAAAATATTAAGGTATATTTCTTAATATGCAAATAATATATTATTCTAATTTTTTTTATTCTCTAATTTCATTTTTAGAATAGTTTTTTCTTATATTAACAATATTTTTTAGCCAAAGCGCCAAATTATTTTATAATCCATGCCCAGGCGCGTGCATGCAGAGATTTCTTGTGAATCTTTTTTTTTTCTTCCTTAGCTTTGTTCCGATTCTCTATAAAAAAATTTCTTTGTTTATCAGTATTGCTGAACTAAGTAACCTACATATATTATAGGGAATTTATTCCTGTGAGTCTCTAAATCTCAACAGGTATTTTAAATATATCAAGAATGCCCTTCAACAGAAGTAAGTTAAATTTTCTGTTTTATATATTAATATTAAAAACTGTATTCTATTAATGATTTTAGCTCAACGTGCTCCTGATAGTGGGGTAGCCACTGCGATAGCATCTGCAAATCAACATAAGAAGTTTAAGAGAATGTTGTTATTTGCTTTTCGTTCTCTCAGTGATTTCTGTGTACCCCCAACATTGCTATATAAAGAAAATTCCTTTGATGCAATGAATCGTGGTATCCTACCATTAATGGGTGATTCTCTTAAGCAATTTCCAGACGATGAAGATATTTCTGTAAATTGTATGAGAATTCTATTTGGTATCTCTGAATTTATGAAGGAAGTTCAAGATAATGAAATAAATCAGATGTTCATTAAAGATGAAGGTCCAAATACAGTGATGACAGCAACTTTAGCACTTATAGAGTCTAGTGATTCGTCTATAATTCATATTATATGTATTACGCTAGAGAATTTATTTCGAATTGGAGTTATTGGTGCTGATTTAGTTGCATCGTCTACTGTTAAGTTCTATGACAATAAATATTTGTCAAGTACCGAATTATCTGAATTGACTGGGTTACTAACTGTTGTTGCTAATACAGGGAATGGAGCTACAGCACTAGCGAACGCTGGTATCGGTACAAAATCGCTAAAATTTGCCCAGAATTGGACAAAAACTGATAATAATTCAATTATCTTAATAGAGAATTGTCTAGAAATTGTTAAATTATGTGCAAGCTGTGGAGATATACCACCAGATGCATTAAAATCAGTAGTGCATATAGTTGATCAATATAGAAATCATCGCAGCATAACAGAAAAAGGAGGTTCATGTTTGGAAATTTTTATGAACTCACAGAAATTAATGGAATGTTTAGTTATAATACGTTCACCTACTTCAGATATTACTCAAAGGGATGATGCCTTAACGATGTTATCAGCAATGGCTTATGTTTCATCTTTTGCAGATGAAATAACAAGACAAGGTGGTATTTCAATGGTAGTAGAGGCACTGAAACAAGGTATATCAGAGTTTCAACAGGGTGGTGATAGTGAACATTTAGTAAAGTCAAGTCGAATATTGATTGGTTCTTTACGTGTTTTGGCACGTGTAGCATCAAATCCAGCAAGTATAGATGAATTAGTTCGCGCAGATGGAATTTCTACAATTTGTAATGCATTTTCTATATGTACATCTAATTTAGAGATTGAAACTGCTGCTTGTCAATCTTTATATCCACTATTTATTAGAGAGACTACAGCTATTTCAGCAGCACCTGTTGTTGGTGATCTACTTCAGCTATTTTATTCTAATGTTGAAAATGACAAGGACTTTACTAAATGTGCTGCTGATTTGTTAGCTGCAGCATCACAGCATGCCTCACTTGCAGAGGCATTAATAAATGTTCAGGCAGTGGAAATTTTAGCAACTTGTTTAAATTATTATTGTGACGATGCATCATACCAATTTGCATCTCTGAGTGCTTTGAATAATCTTGCTCCATTTATTAAAACTTTAAAGTCAATAACTGAATTTGGAGGTATTTCAGGTATTGAAAAATCAATCATGGCAAATATTAATGATGAAACTTTAGTAGTCACTGCAACTCAGTTGGTTGAGAAACTATCTACAATAACAGATAGTGCAACTTATTTAAACCAAGGAGATATGGTAGATACTATTCTTGAAGCTATGCTTGTACATAAAAAAAATAGTTATATTCAAGACGCAGGTCTTAATATTTTAGAGGCTATTGCTACTGAAAAAGATGTAAATCGCCATATTTCTAATCTCCCTAAAGTTGCCACTACAGATCCTAATGCTGCATATAAAGATCTTGCAGCAATCTCCGGTTTATGTAAAGTATCTTCATTAACACCATTATTTGCAACATTAAATATATCTGATGATATTTTGGAATATACAAGAAATTGGATCGCTGCAAAACCTTTTGATCAACAAGAGAAGTTAATTTCAGCAGCTTTTCAAACAAGTATTTTACGTTGTGAATCTTCATCCGAAGAATTAGGTCGAATAATTATTCAATTACTAGAGATTTCAGTTTTACCTCAGATGAAGATATTTGCAGAACATAATACTAGTGATAACCCTGTTGTTGAAAATATGAAAGCTGTAAAAAATTTAGTATCTACAAATCGCATTGGTGACAAGAATTTAGTTGGTGTTGTGAATGCTCTTGTTAATACTATTAGAAAATATATAGAGAATAGAGTTGTTCAATTACAGTGTATGAAGATATTTGCTCTAATTGCTGAATCTGAGACAGGTGCAAGATGTGAAGTAGATAATGGTGTTATAAAAGTTTGTTTGGCATTTCTACAAAGAACTAAGGTTCTTATTGAATGTCAAATTGCAGGTTTTACTTTGTTATCTCTTCTTGTGCGTTATTCTCCTGATGCAGTTGAAATAATGAGGAAATCTGGTGCTATTGAGATTGTACAGGGAGCAATGAGACTGCACAATAAAAATTCTGAGTTACGTTTAATAATAGCACCATTAGCTCTTGCATTAGTTCCAATAGCAGAAATAAGAAGAATAATTTCTGAGAAGGTAGAGACTACTAAGTCAGCCTTAAAGTCTGGCGATTTGAAAACTATTCTTGAGGCTTTAATAGTATGTAATGAGTTGTCTGTTACACCTGAAGGTGCAAAATTTGCTATATCAGAAGGTTTCTCTCAATTATTACCAGAAATAGCTAATCTAGCTATAAGTAAATTTAGTAGTGAAACAGAAGTTGCTCAATCTGTTCTTTCTGCCAGTTCAACTTTGGCTTCTCTTCTTTCAGTTCCAAGGATAGGAAAGGTTGCTTTAGTAAAGAATAATGTTGTGCCTACACTAATAAGTATTTACAAGACAATGTCACAATGTACTTTAACAGAAGAGTTAGAGACTGGTTTAGTTGACAACTTAGTAGCATTGGCAACATTAGTCAAATTTGATATTAAAGCAGCTGAGTCATCATTTGATGGAGGAGCTGTTCTTCTGATATGTACAAGTTTAGATCATTTCCAAAATAATGAAAGAATTTTGGGATCTGCATGTAGTGCTATTGCAGCTATGGCCACTACACCAAAACGTGTTCAAGCTTTACTTGCCGAACCATCTTTCAATAGCTTGTTGACAAAATTGATACAAACGATAAATGAAAGTACTAAGGCCGAGGTGCGTATTCGTTGTCTTAATGCAATTAATGACCTTATTAGCAGTCATGATACATCACTTATACAACTTACCACAGATCTTGGAAGTATAATAGCAGCATTTGGAATTATTGATAAATATCCTTCAGAAACAGCTCAGATAAAACCAGCTTGTAGAGTTCTCAATTCAATAGGAAATTATGTTGATCTACGTGCATATTTTGAGCAAGACCTTCATAGATGTATTGAAATTGCATTGAGAGCACTAGAATTGCAGAAGAATGATGAGGAATGCGTAGAAGAATTGTTAACTCTTATAAATAATTTGACTAACAGCTCAGATCATTCATTATTGAAAGATTGTGCTATTGTTGAAATTTTGCAAAATATCATGACATTACATAACAATAATCCAAGTATAATAAGTAAATGTGGTGAGATATTGTCAAAATGTGGTGCTGATGAAGCAATAAAGACTCTAATGATTAGAATTGTGAACACTCAACAAGCACAAGGACCTGATTGGACACGAGAGCTGGATCAGCTTTGTCGCCAATTATCTGTATTTGTTGCTGCTCAACCAGAAAATCCAGAGGATGCACTACAGTATACAGAAGCATGTTTGCAATCATTAGTTGCTGCAATTACAGCAGATCCAACAGATATTAGGCTACTTTCAAGCATTGCAGTATTAACACAAAGAATAAGTGACCGTGGATTTGATAATTCTGAAGATTCATTTGGGGCATGGGCTGTTGCAAGCTCAGGCATGATGCAGCAAATAGGAGATATAATTGAAGATACATCAAGTAAAGCTCTCTCTGCAAAAAGATTTGTTACATCAAGTGTTCGTGTATTATCTGGCTGTGCAAACAATCCCTATACAAGGAATTATATTATTGAAAGATGCAATAAAGGTACATTTTTGGCACATATTGATGAACTATCAACTAGATACCAAAGTGATCCAGAGGTATTAGCAACAATACTTGAATTTTTGAGAATTCTTGCGGATGATAAACAAGGTGCAGAATTAGTTGCAAAGATGAAGATGGGTGATATTAACAATTTAATGGAAATTATAAGGAAACAACGCAAAAGTGATAATATTGTCTCTGAAGGACTAAATTTAGTAGGAAATTTAATTGTCAATGCAAATGCTGATTCTTCTGCCATATCATCCATAAATGGATTACATGAAGCTGAAGGATTTATTGAAGGATCATCGAAACCAGATATTAGAGAAATTGCTTTATGTAACCTTGTATCTAAGCTTCTACAGTCTGGCAATCAAATATCTGATAAGGGATTTTTAAGTCGCCAGATGCGTCGCTATAAAGCTTTTGATGAGGATCAAGGTATTCCAGAAATTCGTCGTCAAAATTTAGCTGTTGCAATAGCAAAATTGATGAGTACTTCAATAACTAATGATCCCCAGCAAGATGCATCGAAATCAGACATCACTTCTGAAATTACTTCAATGCTTCAGACATATCCTAATTCAGGAGAGGTTGTTCGCGAAATAGAAGGAGTACTTCAAAAATTAGTACAAGTAGATGAAAATGCTGCATCTGTTACATTAAATTCTATAATGCCAATACTTTCGACAAGTTGTTCACAAGTGATATCATCGGATCCATATGCAGCAGATTCTACAGCAGACCTTCTTTTGACACTTGCTCAATTGCAAGGAGTTGGTTCTCAGATGGGGAAACAACAGGAAGTTGAAGATCTTCTTGATTATATAACCCAATTGGGAGATTACTACGGAGATGAGTTTGGTCAACAACTTAAAGATAAAGTTGAAGCTGTCAAAAATGCTATAGCAGCAGATATTCCTCTTGAATTGTCACTTAAAATTATTTATGAAGTATTCCAGAAGAGAATATCTGAAGAGCAAACTTTAAATTATACTGAGTCTGCTCTCATACAGGAGAAAATTGAATATCTTAATAATAGAATGTGTGAATTAGTTTCTACTTCTATGGATGATGCTTTAGCTTCTGATTTCTTATATGGATGTATGGCAATACATCTAATCTCTAATATTCGTGATGATATCGAGTTCTTAGTAGAAAATCAGTGGCCAAAAACAATGTTATTAAGTATACCAAACCAAAGAGAAGATGTCCAACAAAGTCTTATTAATGCACTTGGTGAGGTTTCAAAGACAGATAAGGCTGCAATTCAATGTGCAACTACTCCAGGAGCAGCAAAACTTATTACAGATCTATTAGAAAAAGTTCATTCTAATACTTCAGCTTCTGTAGATGAGAAAAGTGAATTCATGACCCCCAGAATATTTTTAGTAGAGAAAACAGCAATAAATCGTCAAATTTTTGTAGGAACTAATATGCTAACAGTATTATTATCTATCTGGGATGATTACGATAAGAAGTTATATTCAATCGAAGTATTAAGGCATGTATTCCGTGCCTTGAGAAGAACTATATCTGATGATTCTGTAGCTACCTTACTCAAAGCTGATGTATTGAAGAGGCTTATAGCAATTGTGAAAGCTAAAAAGGATATTGTAATTTTGCCAGATGTATTATATTTACTTGGTTCACTTGCTATAATACCTGATATTAAGACTCAAATTGGTGCTAATAATGGAATAGAAGCAATATGCGATTTATTAAAGGCATCTCAAAAGATGCAAGCTGATCAAATAGCACCTACTGTTACTAATGGGTGTCTATCGTTAGCCAATATCACTATTCAACATACAACAAATAAACAACATTTCTCTAAATCCAAAGGACCCGATATTGTTAAAGGTTTGTATTTGACATTTTTAGAATATTGGGATGTTATAAATGCCCTTGGTATGCTTGTTGTAAATTTAGGATATAAGAAGGATGAAACAAAAAAAGAATTGGGAGCAGCAGGGATTCCAGGAGCAATTATCCAATTTTTAAACAACTATCAAGGTCAATTAGATAAGTCTGCAACTAGGGCATTTGTATCATCTTTAAAAGCAGTGGGTAATTTGTGTATCTATACTCCTAATATATATGTTTTTGCATCAGGACATATAGAAAGTGTTTTCAAGCACTTAATTGAAATATCAACCAATTTACCTAAGGAAACTATTGAGATGGAACTCCGTACATTATGTAATATAACATCAGAAAATGATCCTAATCAACTTCAGGCATTTGGTATTCTTTTAGACTCACTTGTCAAGCTTATTCAAGAAACTTCAGCTGATAATTCTGATATTCAACATCTTTGTTTTGATGTTCTTTCTATGTTATGCAGAAGTGAAACTAATTCAAAACAATTTTATTCAATTGGAGGTGTTGATACAACCATAAAGTGTTTGATTAAGAATGACTATGATGTTGCACTAATGACATCGGCAATTCACCTTTTAATATATCAAACATCAGTTGTAGAACAGTTGGATCACCTTATTTCAGCAGGTATATTCCGTGTTATAGTAAACATAATAGAGAGTGATCAAGATGGTAGTACTGATCTTAAGATAGTATCTTTCCGTCTTTTACGTAGATGTATTGCTGCACCAGAAAATGCTTTAGATTTTATTAGTGCTGGTGGAGCTCAATCTGTATGCCAATCAATAAAGAATTGTTCTGGCCAATCTATAATCTTAGTTGAGGCTATTAGAGTACTTTTAGGACTGTTATACTGTGGTAGTCCTGATCCATCATATAGTGCACCAGATGCTCCACGTGGGTATCAAGTTTGTCAAATGGATGTAAATGATTGTAATGGAGTTATTGCATCAATAAATAAGGCAGTTCAAAGTGAGTCAAATGAAAGACATTTAAGACTTATGAGAGTAGGCTTTGGACTTATGACATATTTCCTATCAGAAAATATGTGTATTGAGTCCGTAGCAACAAGTGAAAATATTGCAACTATAACAAAAGTAATAGATATGTTTTCATCAGATAGTGACATTGTCGTAGTAGCATGTGAAATATTTACTTATCTATCAAAATATGCCCCAGATATAGTTCCTGGACTTTTTAACGCAAATTTACAAACTGTAATAGAAGCTTCAGCTCAAAAAATGAAGGGGGAACAAAAAAACTTCGTTACAAATGTTAGTACTGCTCTAGAAACAAGTAATACATCATCTCTAGCTATATTGGCTCCAACATTTGACTTTGCAATTACACATTGGGATGAAGAACCATATCCAAATGGTGTGCAAGATTTACCAAAAGAAATTAAGGAAATGTTACGTAATGGTGGACGGTTAAAGATAGTTTTAGATGGTAAAGTTAGGGAGGAGTTCAAATGGAGAGCTTCTCAAGATTTGTATAAATTGGAGTGGAAAGTTGGAGCTAAAGAAACTGAGTATAATCAGTCATTACCTATTGTTAAGATTAGAAACATTTGGAAAGGGCTTCAGAGTACTATTTTAAAAGCTGCAAACATGGTAGAACCAAGAAAAGTAACTAGCTCTGTATGCTTTGTAATAGTTGGACCACCTACAGAAGATCAACCTCAAGGTATAGAGTTGTCATTAAAAGCAAAGTCTAAAGGTGAAAGAGATACTCTTATTGAAAATCTTGTAATGTGGAGAGAAGCCTCTTCCTATCGCTAAATGTCAAGTATCTATTAGTGAAATTACTTGTGAATAGTAAAATATTAGTAATGTTAGATTGTGACTGAGTGAATCTAAAGTTGAAATCCTCAAAAGTTGGGAAAAAAAAAGTGAGAAAAAATAATCCCCTAAGCATATTCACTAATAATCACAATTAATCTGAATCTACATTAGAAACATTCCGAATATTTTCAGATGATCTTCTATTAATAAAATCAGTTGACTCTAAAAATCTTTGTGCACAACTCCAAAGACAAGCTTGTTCTTTTTGAGATAGTGACTTTCCCACGTTAGGTACACAATGTTTAAAACACTTAGATGTCATCTTCACCACTATTTTTTGAGACTCAATAATTTTCTGGAGCACTTGTAATTTCTCTAAAGCTTGAATTGATGATTCTGAATTCTCATTCATCTGAAAGTTTAACTTGAAAAATTAACTTCCCAATAGTAAACATTATAGCGCTATAAGACTAATATAAAGCAATTCGTATAAAAATAATCAAATTCCATAATAAAATTGTAATATTACTTGCAAATACTATAATTAATAAATTTAAATTTTATTTAATTATTGAAGAGTATTCTTATTCTTGTAATTCCAGTTCTTCTGTCTCACTTTGAGGGGCAGGATAATAATAATAATATCCACCACCTGGAGCAACTGAATAGGGATAACTATATGGATTATCAACTATTGTAAATGGAGAATATTCAGGTGTAGCTTGCAATCCAGGTGGTCGTGGATGTGTTGCTTCTGGATTAAACATGTTATTACTCATAGCTGTATCAATATTTCCTCCATAACCACTGTGAAAATAGGGTTCTGTTCCTAGTAATGGAAAACCATATCCAAAAAATGGACGATAATAATATGGGTATGTAACTCCCATTTCACCACATCCATATTTACAAACTGCTGCCATATATGCACTTTGCGTTTTTAGAGAGTGATATGATGAAGATTTGTATGAATTACTAGATATTAATTGTCGTACTTGTATATCTTTATTATTATCTCCTTTATACTTATTATTTAACTCATTATTTTCTAATAATATATCATTATTTTCTGTTGTAAATGTAATTGTATGAAGTAATATTCCACTTTTTTCATATAATAATGCCTTGTCCTTTCCCAAAATTAAGGATTTTCCACCAGTTAAATTTAACTTCAAATTAATAGGAGATGAACTGTTAATGTTAGATCCATATTCTTCTAAAGGGACTTCTCTAGATGCTGATTCTATATGAAAAAGGTATTGTACTTTTTTAGAATTATTTAATGAGTTATTTCTATCTAGAATTTCCAAAACAATTGCATCTACATTTTCAATAGATTCTAATGGTGCACTATATAACAAGTGAAGTGGAAGTATACTAGGTGATTTCTTTATATTCATTGGTACATTAGATATTGAGTCTGGATAATATCTTAATCTCCCATTATTATTTACCCTATTTTTAGTTTGGAAAGAATTACCATTATAGCTAGTTGAATTCATACTGCCAAATGAAATGACTGTGAATACTACAAGACCCATTAGAATTATATTAATTATAACTACTATAATCAATGTGATTTGTACATAATATTTATTATATCTTATTTTACTTTTTCCATATCTATCCTCTTCTTCCTTAAAATAATTTGTAGGTTTCATATTGTTGAAAGACTCACAATCAGGAGTATAATCATTAGCTGTACTGTGGCTAACTATTTCAGTGCAAAATTTCCTATTCTCCATATTTAAAAACTTTATACCCAGTAATATTTTAGGTCTGAAGCTGAATAAACCCATTATACATGCAATACATGCAATACATGCATGAATTGCCATAAAGTTATTTATATTTACAAAATCATAAGTATAAGAAAAAAAAGTTAGTACAGACTTCGGATTAGTTATTTAATTTACTTGTACTATATGATAGTACCCTTATAAGAATTTATAAATTTCACAAACTTTAAAAAGAGAAAGTTCAGAAATGTTCTCACTCTTAAAACTTTAATATAAGATGGAAATATCAAGAAAAAAATTAACATTATTAATTAACTAAATATACTACTTCCTTAAATATTCAAAATAAAAATTACAAATTAAAATACTTTGGTTAAGATATATTAATTAGCTACAATTGGTGAAAAGAGCTATATATTATACATTATTAGTATAAACCAAAAAAGATATTGAATAAATTAAAATTTAAAATATTGGTATAAAATGATATATAAAAATTATTGAAATTATTTATTTATATTTAATCTTTGATAAAAATTAAAAAAAAAAAAATATGAGATGGGTGCTTTTAGAATAGTGTGCATTATTTTTGTGTGCATTTACGTATAAGAAAAACAAAGGAGTACCGAATTTATTTAAATATTAAAAATTAATGAGATTTAAATAATGAGTAAAAACATTTTTTAGCTTATAAATTATATCATAAAATAAAATGGCTATTGAACCATCTTTTTCTAGAATCATACAGAAAGATGATTGGCCAAAAAAGTATGATTTTAAGGAAGAAGTTTCACCATTATCATATAAATGTATAAACTCAACAATTAACTATAGAAATAAGACAAATAATGTAGAAAGAAGTGATAATTTAAATATATATGATAAGTATATAGATTTTGAGACCTTTATACATATTTATTCAAAGCTTATGTTAATTCTAGTCAAAGCTGAGAGTGGATATTGTAATCTTGACATAAAAGATGAATTAATGGAAATAAAGAAAATAAGAAATTTTAGTATAAAATTAGAAAGTAGTATATATCAAATGCTTGACAATTCTAAGGGTATATCTATTTCTAAATCTAATAAAGAGAAATATGTTATAAATAATATGAATATAGGAAAATCTATAAATGCTGAGACTATAATGAGTAGATTAGATTCACTTATTAAGTCTGTAGAAATTCTAACGTGTAAAGTGGAGAATTACTTCTTAAATGAGACAGAATCCCAGATAAATAATAATGAAACTAATGAAGATTTTGTGGTTGATGAATTAAATTTATCAGACATGAATTGTAATTATAATACTAAAGATATAACTAATCCAAGTAATCCGCATAATTTAGGTTTATCAGCAGAATTAAATATTAAATTAGATGATTATATAGATAAGATGGGAGAAATATTGAATTTTTTGTTAGCAAATTATCCTAAATCATTAGATGTTAAATACGACTTAATTCTAGATATGAAAGGCAGAAATTCAGATAATGGGACTCAACATAATGTAAATTTAGATAATGAATCAGAAGAATCTAAAAATATCAATAGTTCAGAAATTGATAATAAGAAGAGTTTAGAAATCCCTGAGGACTTGGATAAGAAATTGTCTGGTGGTAATATAAAAGACAGTGTGTTAGCAGATAAAAAGGTTCAAATACTTCAACATCGTCGTACACGTGCATCTATAGTAGGAAGTAATATGGCTCCAATAATTACAGCAATAAGTGATTTTTCTCCAGCACCACGTAGACATAATCGGTCACAAACAGTTAATAATACATATTTAGATAATTATTATATAAATAGTGAACATTTATTAAATATAAGGGGTCATACTGATAGAATAGCTACTCCCAGGTTAACAGACTTTTCAGTTATAAACAATCTTAATGAAAAGTCTAAAAGTTGTTGGATCTCCCCTTCTAAAGATCAAGAGGGAAGATGTCATATTCCAAACTTACTGCAAAGTGATATGAATGGTTACAAGAAAACACAAAAATAGATTTTCAAATAAATGAAATCAATACTTTTTATTAATTTCTATTTAGATTATCTAGAAACCTATTAAGTCCAATTCTTTGTCAAGATCTTCATGGTTAATTAGATCAATGGGACATTGATAAGTTAAACTAACTGAATTTGGATCTTCTATTTTATCATTTGATATATTATATTTGTCAACACAATTCATAAATAAGAATTCTCTAATTATTGAGAGAAAAGATGGGCCAAATCTTTCAAGTTTTTGCTTAGCACCCCATCCAGGAAGAATAGAGAGTTTATCTATGCTTGTTGGTAAGTAATTTATTAGATTATCAATTGCTTCTTTTGATGCAATTGACGATGTATTTGAAATTCCATATGAACTTGCCAAATTTCTCCTTAATGTCATTAGTTTACTTCTCAAATCTTTGAGGGATATTTCTGAAAATATGTCACAATTAGGTAAAGTATCACTTTGGAATTGGGATATATTAAATATAGAGAGGTTTTCAATAGATTCATTCTCAGTATTATGTGTAACATTGTCAAATTCAATAGATGATGAAATTTGACGTCTTTTAGTTGAACCCCCTGAGTTTTTACTATTAACTCTCTTTGATGCTAATCTAACAGTACTTTGTTCTGAGGTCACTGTTTTGCCACTATTTTCAAAGGAAAAGTTAGATAGAATATTTATATTTAGATTGTCAATTTTAGTGCAATTTCTTGCTTTTATGTTGTCTAATAATGGAGTTGGGTAAGTTGTTTCTAAGGTAATTGAAATTGAATTAAATTGTGGATTTTTTCCTAGTTCAAATATTTCGTTAGCTAAAGGGCCTAATTGTAAATTAGCCACTATAACACCACTATTAAATTGAATTACTCTTTCAGACAAGAACTGATTAATAACCATCATGTGAATAAGACGCTGAACATTCTCTATTTTCCATATTTCATTTTCATTAAGAATACCATAACATCCTCTTAAATACTCATCATTAAATTTACCCTTTTTTTTTTTCCCCTTCAAAATATCAATTAAGGAAGAAATTGTTAAGAAACCATTATTTTTTGGTCTTTGTCTAGAATATTCATAAAAATGTTTTATAGATGTTATTATACATTCAACAATTCCCCTCACTTCAATATTTATTGGTTGTTCAATTTTTAATCTGCGACAGTTATCACACTGAACTCTACATAAACCACCGAAAATTTCTCCAAAATGTCGAAGTATAATTGATCTTCTACATTCATATTGTTCTTCACAGTATTTTACAATACCTAATAGAGCATGTAATGAATTATCACCTCTATTTTTTGAATCATTATTACGTCTATACTTCTTATTAGAGTTTTCGACATTAATATCTGTAAGTGCTTGTAGTCTTACAACATCCTTATAAGAATAATATAAAATACATAAAGACTCCATACCATCTCTTCCAGCACGTCCACTTTCCTGATAATAATTTTCTAGTGATTTCGGCATTGAAAGGTGAATCACTAAACGTACATCTTTTTTGTTAATTCCCATTCCAAATGCAACAGTTGCAACCATTACCTGTTTTTCATCACTCATCCATTGTTTCTGGGCAATATTACGTTTTTCATCTTTCATAGACCCATGATAATAAGTGGCGGAGATTCCATTTTTGATTAATTCTTTGCAAATATCTTCACATTCACTACGACTGAGGCAATAGATTATACAAGTTGAATGACTAAACTTTGAGATTATTTCAGTTACTTCTTTGACTAATTTTGCTTTATTACCAATTTTTGGTCTAACCTCATAACGAAGATTAGGGCGATCAAATGATAATGCAAAAACCACAGGATTCACCATATTTAATTGACGTATAACATCTGCTAAAATATCACGAGTTGCAGTTGCTGTAAGTGCAACAATTGGAACATTGGGAAATTTTTCCCTAAGTCTACATAATTGTATGTAATCTGGTCTAAAGTCAAATCCCCATTGACACACACAATGAGCTTCATCAATCACAAATCTAAGTAATCGTGATTGATTATTCAAAGTATGAAGTATAGAAAATAGTACCTCAGAATGTTTTAGCTTTTCAGGAGTAACAAATAGGAATTGAGGACATGTTTGTGGATCTCCATTACGTAAGCTATTATATATTGCATTAACAACTTCCTTATTCTGATTGCTATTCAGTCCTGCACATTTAATTCCAAGTAAATTCAGTTGTTCAATTTGATCCACCATTAATGCTAGCAAAGGCATTACTACTACTGTAACACTCCCGTGTGGATTTTGAGGGATTAAACCTGGAAGTTGAAAACATAGTGATTTTCCACCACCTGTTGGCATCATTACAAAAACATCTCTTTGGCTTATTATTGCATTCATTATTTCTCTTTGATTTTCTCTAAAAGATCTATTGCCAAAAATTTTCTCATTTATCCTATATAGATCCGAGCTCCAATCAAATTCATTACTTTTCCAGTCTTTATCATCACTGTTTACCTGTATACAGCTAGTATGTCTATTCTCTATAAAGTTTGATATGTCCCTTATTTCAAAGTTATTTTGTCGTCCTGACCTCTTATTATTTGAATTATTTGAATTTGATACATATTTCTCTAGCTCAAGTCCTCTATTTGTATTTGATTTCCTTAAATTTAAACTAGTATTTTCATTAATAGAACAAGACTTGCTCCTACTTTTTTCTCGAGGTATTCCTGCAGAATTTTGTGAATCAATACTTATAGTACCTTTATAAGTACTATGTGTTGTTTTACCATATTTAATTGAGATCCTTTTCTTAGATAGAGATTCGATAATTGCTGATAAGCTCTTAGATCCCTTGATTACAGTACCTATATTATGATCTGTTTGTTCACAGGTTCTGATTGATATATTTTCATCTTCTTCTAAATTAGATTTCAAGGATTCTATACTTTCTTCTAAGCACTCATTAAACACAGATATCGAAGAACTATGTAACCATTGTAAATGGGTATCGATATTATTAAGAGCCGAATTTTTACTTTGTTCTACTTTATTATTAGAGGATTTAGACGACATAGACATATCACTACCTTATAAAACCATCAATATTAACGAATTTGTTAGTAAATACTCTAAAAGTATTCATAATTTTGTGTAATTTGGATCCAATTATAAAATAGCTTGCATCATGTATAAAAAGTGGGGCAGAATTAGGCGGGCAAAATGGAACCCTACTTGTATTTTATTACCTAAAAGAATTCACTATATACAATGCAACAAAGTACCGATAGATCATCAGTAATTGGGTTCACAAATGAAACTAAGCCTAGAGCACTGCAATGTTTTAAGCAGCATCTTAAAAGATGGGGTAGACCTTCAATTATATCTAATACAAGTTCTGGATCATATGAATTAGATAAATCTCTAACATCTCAAAATATTGATATGTGTATAGTGGATGTCAGATATTATAATGGAAAGATGCCTACTACAAGCTCGCCATTATATAATCAGTACCCATATAAATTACCTACAATGAGGAAACGATGTTCAAGTGAAACAAGTACACGGGCTGTAGAAGATTGTGAAGATAATATGAATGAACAAGATAAAAATACCAATATTACAGATAGTGGAGTAGCATGTGATGTTCCTATTATTCAACTCTTTTGTGTAACTAAATCAGGTTATAGTATATTAGTCAATGTGCATGGGTTTTTCCCTTATATATATTGCGAAGTATCAAATAAATCTAGTCCTAAACCATCAGCAATTGTAAAATCTATAGAACAACAATTAGGCAATTACTCTGAATATCAATCACGAGTTTTAGATGTTGAAATTTCAGAATTTGAATCAATAATGTATTTTAAGAAGAGTAAGGAATATTCTAATGATGGTATATCTTATAGTCCATCACTATTTTATAAAATAACAATGCTACTACCTAAGATGATCCCTACTTGTCGTTCATTAATAGAAAATGGTAATATAGATTGTATTCCAATAGCTTATGAAGCGAATATCCCATTTATTCTTCGATTCTTGATTGATAAGAATATTAGTACTGGTTCATGGATTTCTTTAGATAAAAGTAAAGTATTTTTGCGAAATTCAAATATGAGTGAAGTAAATAACTTAACTAAGGAAGTATATAATATGAGTGACCAATTAAGTATTAGTACAGTTCAAATTGAATTTGATGTATTTCCCGACTGCATTAATGTTTATTCAAGCTCAGGAGAATGGCTAACTCCACCTCCTGTTCGCATTTTGTCATTTGATATTGAATGTGTAAAAAATATAGGAACTGGATTTCCTGAGCCAGAAAAAGATCCTGTTATTCAAATTTCATCTGTTGTAACATATTTAGATTCTGAAGAGCCTATTTGCAATATAATATTTACTCTGAAAGAGTGTGCAGCTGTTGCAGGTGCTTTTGTATTATGGTTCGATAATGAACAAGATTTACTACTCGCATGGAGAGAATTTATAATATCTATTGATCCAGATATATTAACTGGATATAATTGTATTAATTTTGATATGTTTTATCTTTTTGAACGCGCCAAAATATTTGGCTTAAAAAACTTTTTTTACCTATCGAGAATTACAAGTACAAAGAGTGTGATAAAGTCTACTAGATTTTCTTCAAAAGCATTTGGTATTCATGATAGTAAATCGTTTAATATTGAAGGTAGAATATTCTGGGATTTATTAGAGAGTATCAGGCGTGAATATAAACTTAAAAGTTATACATTGAACTATGTGTCAACAACTTTTTTAAAAGAGCAGAAAGAAGATGTTCATTATTCAATGATCCATAGTTTACAAGAAGGTACACCAGAAACAAGAAAAAGAATTGCAGTATACTGTCTTAAAGATTCACTATTACCATTAAGGCTAATGAAGCATTTAAAGTTATTTCCAAATATTATAGAAATGGCAAGAGTTACAGGAACAACTCTTGATATACTACTAAGTAGAGGTCAGCAAATTAAAGTTACTAGTCAAATTTTACGTAAATGTAAATCACTTAACTTTATAATGCCAACCCTAAAACGGAGTGGTGAAAGTGTTGAGGATCAATATGAGGGAGCAACAGTTCTAGAACCAGTTAAGGGTTTTTATAAAGATCCTATTTCAACACTAGATTTTGCTTCTTTATATCCATCGATTATGATTGCTCATAACATATGTTATTCAACACTTGTGCCTAGTAATGATGCTGATCATTTATCTGATGATTTTAAGAGAAAATCTCCAGCTGGTCACACATTTGTCTTGTCATCAGTTAGAAAAGGGATTCTTCCCCTAATTGTTGAAGAGCTTATTTTAGCGAGAAAAAAAGCTAGAAAAGAAATGTCTGTGACAAAGGATCCTGTACTTTTATCAATATTGGATGGTAGACAACTTGCATTAAAAATATCTGCAAATAGTGTATATGGATATACTGGTGCAACGACTGGTGGTCAATTTCCTTGTCTTGAAATTTCAACCAGTATTACATCTTATGGACGCTCAATGATTGACTTTACAAAGATGGAAGTAGAGAAAAGATATAATATTGCAAATGGATATAAACACAATGCTACTGTCATATATGGTGATACTGATAGTGTAATGGTTCAGTTTGGAACAAGTGACATTTCCGAAGCTATGGATTTAGGCTTGAAAGCTGCAACTGAAATTAGTGATATGTTCTTATCCCCAATAAGATTAGAGTTTGAGAAGGTCTATTGTCCCTTTTTACTCATGAACAAGAAGAGATATGCTGGGGTTTTATATAAGAATTCGGAAACTTATGAAAAAATTGATTGCAAAGGAATTGAAACTGTCAGACGAGATAATTGCTTATTAGTTCAACAAGTTGCTGATATTGTATTAAAAAAAATTCTTGTAAACAAAGATGTTGAAGGTGCTAAGGAATATACGCGGAATATTATTGCCGATCTTCTTAGAAATAAAGTAGATCTATCTTTATTAGTGGTGAGCAAAAGTTTAGGAAAAGATGATTATACAGCAAAATTAGCCCATGTTGAGTTAGCTAAGAAACTCAGACAAAGAGATCCTGGTTCTGCTCCAAATGTAGGTGATCGTGTTTCATATATAATAATTCGTGGATCTAAGGGGCAACCTCAATATGATAGAGCTGAAGATCCTCTTTATGTGCTTGAAAAAAACTTGGCTATTGATACACAACATTATGTTGATACTATTAAAGCTTCTTTAATTCGTATATTTGAAGGTGTTATGAAGGATCCTGAAAAGTTATTTGTGGGAAGTCATACGAGATCTGTGACATTACTAAGTTCAACAAATAGTGCACTCTCTAGTTTTGTTAAGAAAGGTTTGCAATGTTTAAATTGTAAAACTTCCGTAAAAGAGGGTGCTCTATGTAAAAGTTGTATAAAAATAGAAAATCAAGTTAGTGCCTCTCTTATATGTAAATTGCGTGAATTTAGAGAAAAAGAAGTAGAGTACAATGCATTATGGACTCAATGTCAAAGATGTCAATCAAGTCTATTCCAAGACATAATTTGTACTTCACGAGATTGTCCAATATTTTATAAAAGAACTAAAGTAAAAAAAGACATAGCAACAATTGGTGAACAATTAGATAGATTTAAAATAGATTGGTAAAATCTGTATATATTGATATCTAATAACTTCGACCAAAAATTGTAAAGCTCTTAGCAAACTTCTTACAAAAAAAGCACTTTGTATTCTCTTCCAATAATGGTTGCTCAAGTGGAATGCATAGAGACTTCATTGCACCTGTCAAACCTGATGAGTCTGTAAAGTTTTGATTACTCATCTGTATACTTACATTTGTTGTCTCCTTCTTAATATCTTCTTCACATTCCACAGACTCACACCATGGTGCAAGTACAAGTTTCTTCTTGTTTAATAGAGGTATAACTTCACTAAAACTCTTTACTTGTACAATAGATGAATAAAACTTCTCTTTTGCTAAATTATACAATCTTTTCTGTAAGTCTTCTAGTAATTCAGGTATTTCTTTTTGAAGGCAACTAATAGGTATATCCTTCTTTGCCCTATTATCTCTTATAACAATACGTACACTCTTTGACTCAATGTCTTTTGGTCCAATTTCGGCCCTAATACAAACCCCCTTTACTTCCCAATGATTATATTTCCATCCAGGGGTATAATTTGGACGATCATCAATATGTACTCTAATCCCTTCTTCCTTAAGTAATTTTTCCACTTCTTCACACATAATCTTTTGTTCTTCTGTTATTGAACTCTTGAATACTATTGGAATTATCACTACCTGAATTGGAGCAACTTTTGGAGGTAGAATAATACCATTATTATCACCATGAGTCATTATCATAACTCCAATAGACCTTGTTGTTAAACCCCAAGATGTTTGATATACAAATTGTTTCGTACCTTTCTCATCCTCAAATTCAATTCCAAACATACTACTAAAATTCTGTCCAAGGTTATGAGATGTAGCGGCTTGAATAGCTCTTCCATTTTCAGGAATAAATCCTTCAATTGTCATAGTCTCATTAGCACCAGCAAATTTTTCAGATTCTGACTTAATTCCCTTAATTATAGGGACTGCTAATAAATCTTGATATATATCAGCATAATCATCAAGAATAGTCCTTACCATCTCTGTAGCTTCTTCATTAGTAGCATGTGCTGTATGACCTTCTTGCCATAAAAATTCTCTAGTTCTAATAAATGGGGTAGGTTGTTTAAATTCCCAACGTACAGCAGATGTCCATTGATTTAATTTCAGTGGTAAATCTCTATGAGAACGTATCCACTTTGCATAATGAGGATGTATTATGGTTTCAGATGTAGGTCTTATTGCAATTGGTTCTGCAAGATCTGATTCACCAGATCTTGTTACCCAGGCTACTTCTGGTGAAAAACCTTCAACATGACTTTTCTCTGTCTCTAATCTCTGTTTTGTTACAAATATAGGAAAATATGAATTTTGAACACCATAATTTTTAATCTTATTGTCAAATTTAGATTTTATTGTTTCCCAAATAAAGTAACTCCATGGCCTTAAAATATAACAGCCTGATACATCATAGTAATCAATCATCTCAGATCTTAAAATTACTTGTGAGTACCATTCTGCAAAACAAGTTTCTTTATTAGCAGTTATTCCAAGTAAATTTTCTCCAGATTGTGGTGACACAATTTGAGGTATAGTCTCTTTATTCGTTATATTATTTTCAACATTAAACCAATTTACACTCTTTCCACATGATTCAACAAACTTAACTAAATCATCAGTGGATATTGAAAAGCTCTCAGTATTTGTTAATGGATGTACAAAAACCTTACTCCCTCTTAATTTTTCATCAAAAAAAACTTCTACATTTGCACAATTCTCATTAGATAAAGCTAAGGGTGTTACACTACCAGGATATACCCCCAAGTTAGAATATAAAATATTTTCATCTGCAAAACGTAAATTTCCTGATGAGCAACCGAGAATTGGACCTAAATTCTTCATTTTAGTATTAGTATCATTATGAGCTGTTATAAGATATAAAATATCTTTATTCTTTGGTTTTAATACTAAATTTTTTGCAAATAAAGTATTTGTCTCTTCAGCTTCTTTCCTAAGTGTATTAATCATAGTCTCCATATTGGGGGTTGCAACGTGTTTAAATGCATCATAGTTTATTGATAATTCTTTTAACCTTATAATTAACTCTTTATAATTCATCTCAAATATATACTTCAAAATATATTAATTATCTAATAAGTGCCAAATTATTCTTCTTAAAAAGTACCAGTATATAGCTATATATTCTATATATTCTTCGTAATACGCGGTACCCGCGCAATATAATCTATCATAGTTCATACCCCGCTCCTTATTCATAATAATGTAATTTACTATATAGAGTTAAACAGTTGAAATAATCACAAAATATACTTAAGATTTCTAGATTTAATACATATATAATTAATATTCAGCTTAGTAGATTCTGTATATTATCCCAACTAGTCAATCTTATTATTATACGAACTATATAATACAATTATTATCTACAAATATTGTGATTTCTGGTTTATTAATATTGACCTTAGTTTAATAATAAATTTTGAAATTATATTATTAATAGTACCATTTATAATGTATTTGTAATTATTATCTATTGATTATTTCGTTATTATCTCTGATTATAATTAGGATAGTTATTAAATTAGATAAAATTGAACTCTAATTTATTATAAAGTAATATTTGATATATATATATATATATATATATTTTATGATAATTACATACATAAAATCTATAAGATCTTAAATTTAAGTAGTTATAATTAAATCTATTATTGAATACTCATTATTTATAGATATTTTAACTATTAACTGATTATTTTGCAATATAGATAATGATATAAGCTAATATCTAAGAAATTACTTAATTATAATATGAAATATAGGAATATAATAGTTAATATTATAAGGATAACTACTTGCTTAAATTAGTATTAAAATGTTTATATGTATAACGTCATTTAAGTTAGTAAATTACACTTTTCTTTAAAGAAATTTTATAATAGGCTTTATTTCTTATTTTGTAAAAGTTAATATAAATTTAATAAGGACAATAAGTAATATAAAATATCTGGAATTTATTTTGTGAACTATAACCTTAATTAGTATATGTACTAACCTTTATTGGAAACTTTATGTTCTATATAAAATATGTTATTAGATAGAAATTAATATATAATCTTAATCTTAATATTGGGAAACTTGATATTTAGGTATTTTATTGTCTATATTGTAAATATTTAATAAAGCTCCTAAATTGAGTATTAAGGATCATTTTTAATATTTATAACAATCTTATATAACCTTAGTAGTAAATATATCCGATATTTAGTACTTAATATATATTATACATTAAATATAAGGTAATAAATTAAACATAGAGGGGGGATTTTGAAATAATTTTTAGTATTGCCTAAGTGTTATAAAAATAAAAGTTGTCCTATATATAGTGCATTTGTTATGCTGTATCCACACAGAGACGCGCGTCATTTATAGATTTCTAATGTCTCACTCTTAAGAGAATTTTCGCAATATAATTTGATATTAAGTAAAATTTAGACTTTAAATTAATAATAATGCAGCAAGCTCTGAACTATTGGTCTAATGGTTTGTCAAACTTTTTCACTGGTATAGGCAGGAATCTAGAACAACCTGATAATAATTACACTCATAATGCTACAAGTGATACAAATTATGATATGAGATTTCAAAATTTTAATAATCACAATCATATACAAAACAATATACCGAATAATTTATATAGTATTCCTATTAATAGTGTGGCATTTAATACAGGAGGTTTTTATGGTTTTAATCCATATGATTTTTCTCAATTTTCTCCACAGATACCAAATCCATCTACTGCTGCTATAACTGCTTTATCAGGAATGAAACGGTTAATATCAGTTGTAGATATTGGGAATATAACTGCACATTATTATGATATTGAGAAATATGTAGGTTGTGGTGGTTCAATTAGATTTTTTCTTTTATGTAAACAAGTTAAACATAATTTTGTAAATATTCCATTGGATAGTGAAGATCTTCATCATGATTTAGAATCAGTTTTTGATGGGAAGGAAATTAAATATCATTTACCTGTTATAATACATCAAGATAATAATTTATTATATGAATTATTACCTAGTTTAAGATATCTTTCAAGGAAAATTGGTGAATATGGTATAGATGCATATCGTGACTATGTAGTAGATTTACTTGGAGAAAGGATTTTAAAGTGGAGAACTCAAATCTCACTTGTTATATTTGATAAGTTGGTAAAGGATATGTTAAATAAGACAGATAAAGATAAAACTAGTAATTCTGAAGATGAAAAAAATAGAAATAATAAAATTATAAATAATATGAAGATAATAATGAGTGAAATATTAGGTGTAAATAGTGAAGATATTAATAATTCTAATGATTTTTATTTAAAAGATTATTTACTAAGTCGCAGAGATTATTATTCAATGGCAGAATCAATATTATCACTTTACAAGGCAAACCCTTTTATTCCTCTCAAGAGTGAACTTTTTTTATCAAATAACTCAAAACCAGTAAATGAAGCTTTTGAGAAATATAATAATAAAAGTACATATTTCAATACTCCTAGTTATAGTGAAATCTTACTATTTAGTATTTTATTTGATGATATAAAGCTTTCAAATAGCCAAGATGAAGAATCGGAAAATTTGAAAATGGATAGTAATTTAATTAATGAATTTCCTCATCTTAAAATTTTATACAGTGTTATTATGGAATTACCTTTAATATCACAATGGAACCGTGAGGTTGAGGATATTATAAATGAAAATGGAGAAATATTCGGAGAGGATAATGAGAAGTTAAATAATCAGTCACATACTTCATTATTTAAGGAGAATGAGATAAAATCAAATAAATTAGTAGATGAAAGAAACAACAATATAACAGAAGATTATTCTACTATGCCTCATTCATCTAATGTTGTTACATATAAGTTGGCACCTCCAGTATCACAGGTTGTATTCCCAAATATAACCATAAATAACATGTCAAATAGTAATATGAAGGCTTCTCAAACACCAGGAATTATGAATACAAATTCAAAGGGTATAACATTTATACCAGAACATACTGCATATCGTAACAATACATTAGTAAATAATCAAGGAATACCTAGTTTAAAATCTAATCCAATATTAGGATCAACATTGAAAAGTCAACAACCAGTACCACAAATATATAATAATATTACATTGTCATCTAATTCTAATTTTAGACTTAATCAAGAACCATCACAGCAAACATACTACCCCATATTTAGTCAAACAGCACGCAGGTAAAATTAGAATTTATTTACTAGGATAGTATCAAATTTATTACCTTTAATCTCTCTTTTTGACTATATCTAAGTTGATTCAATATTTTCAACTAATTTATTTGCTGCTTGTGCTATAATCTCTTCTCTCATTTCAAGTGCAATAAATGCCTTTGGATCACATAAATATGATATAACAGTAGAAGCCATAGGGGATGAAATAAATTGGTCTTTATAAATTCGTCCACTAGAATTACCAGGACATATCATATCAAATATTTCATCACATATATATTCTAATCTTGGTATAGAATCAATAGAAAAAGTTTTTTCAATACAAATAGACATATCTTTCCAAAATAAGTTTATTATATCAACATCTATATATTCTTTTTCATTTAAATTTAATATATTCCAAAACCAACTTATTGATTGAGGAGTTTCCCTACATTCTAATGCAAATAGTAATCTCAAAATTGACTTTAGATTTAGAGCTAAACGAAAATTACCACTAGAATCCATTACAGTCTGACCATAGTAACCATGAACTTCAAATATACGAGAAATTACTAAATCAGGTATAATATATTCAAAATCTAATAATAATTGTTTTAATGTATCTGGAAAAAATAATAGATGAAATCTTTTTTTCCCAAAATCATCAACTCCTGGTATATCAATACGATGACCACGAAATTCCATCCATTCAAATAATTGAAATAATATTTGAGGATAAAATGGATTATTGTCACTTTCATTAACATCCGCATTACGAATTTCAAGAAATCTATAAAATGTATCCGATAATATTAAATCTTGTATACTTAACTTATTCCCCTTAACACCACAAAAAAAAAAAATTCTTTCAGTTACATAGTTAACAAAGAATTCTATAAATGATGAATTATTGTTACATAATTGAGTAACCGAGGAAAATTTAGGATATGAATTTTCATGTATTAATGAGATTATCCAATTACTAATATCACTACGTTCTATATATTCATTATATGTATTCAATAACCCTAATTCAGCACGTATTTGAGATGTGTATAAAATTTTAATACAGCAATTTATAAACTTTGTAGGAGAGATAAATCCACTACAATCTCTTAGTATCTCTGCATATATTGATGGATTAAAAAATTCTCTAAATATTGGGGGTGAAAATTTTGCACATCTTTTAAATTCTTTATAACGTAAAGCAATTCCATTAGAATATGATTTAACACGCCTTTTATATAATATTAAGCAAAGCTTAGGTAGAGATTTACTAAGATCTTCCCAAAATGATAATGATTGATTCATAATATCATCACAACGAAACAAATAATTATTTAGTGCCATTTGAACTGCCGTTCTATGCAATAATTTCTTAATAGGGGATGATTCACAGGGTTTATTATTATATAATATTGATAAATTATCTTCCAATGTAGATTTACACATAATGGAGTAAAATTAGACTTTTTTTTTTTAATTCCTCTACCAAATATTACATAATAGATAAAGTATATAAATTGGTAAATATTGTAACATGAGTATTTGAAATAATTTAACTGTGTGGTTAATATACTACTATGGCGCTGTACATATATTTAGGTACTAGAATCTCATTAGTAAATATATTTGTAAAGTAGAATTATTAAAGTATTTAGTAACTATTAGTATAATATTGACAGTTACTATTAATATTGGTTTTTTTTTTTTTTTTTTTTTTAAATATCACCTGTTTATTATTTTCTTATAATCTTATTACATTTAAAATTACAAGACCTAGTATAGTTTGGAATATATTTGAAACATATACATTGCTTTAATAGAGTTAAATTTATTCATGTTAATATAAACAGAAATTTTGGATATTATTTGTAATAATTTTTACTCCAAGCAGTAGACTAATACTTTATTGTAGTTGACCGCTGATATTATCCGATAACACTCCTTTTTTTATTTACTAATGAAATTATGAAGTCCAATATAACCTGATGTTTCAGAGAGACGCACCACTTTTTGAATCTTATCACACTTTGCAATATGTGGCATCATCTGCATCACAAAATTCTGAGTCATATAATAAACCAACTTATTATTTGAATGGAGTAAGTCAGATTAATAATAGAGCAAATAATGTAAACTATTATGAAAAAAGTGATATGGATACAAGTTTATTACCAGGAATGACTACTGTATATGTTGGTCAAATTCCCTTAAGTATTGCAGATGTTTATATTCGTCGTCTTCTAAATGAATGTGGCCGTATAATGAAATGGAGTAGATCAGAAGATCCCACAACAAAGAAACTCTCATCTTTTGGACTTTGTGAATTTGACTCTCCTATTGGAGTAATTAATGCTGTTAAGGCTTTAAATGGTCTTGAAATATGTGGTAAAAAGCTTTTAGTTAAATATCAACATGGTATTGATGCATTGATAACAAAGTGGAATAATAATAGAATAAGTGCAATGGTTAAAGAACGTGGAGGTGACTGTACTATTGAAACAATTTTAATGGAAATTTCAGCTGAAGATACTCGATTACGTTCTACAATTCAAAAATTAGTAAATATAATAGCTCAAGAATGCTCCTTTGAGCCTGATATAAAGTCAAATAATGAAGGTACTACAAAAGGTTCTAATATTGAAATTTCGACTTGTTTAAATATGAAAATTCTTTCTGATAATTATAAAGTAAATGAAAAAGAGATTTATAGAGAGAAGGCATTTCTTGAAACTCAAAAAGAATGTTATGTAATTTGTAGAGATCTGGATATGTTAAGATATAAAATAACTAGGGATATACCAGGATGTTTTCATAATAAACTTCCAGATTTAGAACATTTTCTTTTTAATATGCTAGAAGAGAATTTTGAAGATTTGGATGATAGAAATTTTGGTCAGGTATCATTGATAATAGATATGGATTTAGAGAAAATTACAAACAATAAAGAAACTTCTTTTTATAAAGAAGATGATAAATTGTGTGATCTATATGGTTTGAAGGATTCAGATAATGTTGATAAATCTAAAAAGATTATCCTGGATATTCGCAAGTTGGATAGTACACAAACTTTAAAGTGTGATAATATAAAGTGTGAATATTTTCAAGATCCTTTAGATTTTCCTAGCAATTTAGAAAATACAGATAATACTTGTGACAAAATTTTAGAAACTACTGATAAAATGGATAACTGTAAAGGACTAATAGATAATAACTTATATTCTAGTAATTTCTTTACTGATGCATTATACAATTGGGAACAACTTTTAGAAAATACATTAATTGATAAATATACTTGTTTTATAAAAGATCAAATGTCAATAATTATTGGAGATTCAGATAGTGAAGCTTTAGATATTATTGTTAATTTTATTCTTGGTCAACTACGTAATAAAGTAGGGTTGCTCGAACTTTTTAAGCTTTTAAGTGATCTAATTGATGTAGAAGCTGAGCCATTTCTTAAGATTTTGTATAATAAACTATGTGAAGATGGTTAATATAACTTGGTAAATATCTAAACAAAATTGAGGGATTGTGTGTAAATAACACTGTGTGAAATAGACTTCTGTTAATACTTTTTTTTTTTTTTTTTTTTACAGATCCAAAATAAAAATAAAGGAATATAAGGTATAAGGAGATATAGAGAAATATTAAAAAAAAAAAAAAAAAGTATAAAGAAGTCATTTTTATATGGCAAAGGAGAAACTAAGATTTGATATTAACATTGCAGCACTTTCTGCAAGTGCAGGTGGTATTCTTTTATTAATGTTAAGTATTTTTTTACCATCATGGTTATATAATCCAGCTGGACGTAGTTTCTATCCATATCCACGTTACTGGGGCCTTTTAACTGTTGTTGGGCGCAGGATACAATCTCACAGTGAAGTATGGGAAATTGCTTGCAAGACTGCAGCAAAACTATCTCTTGGAATTGATTGCATTTCACCATTATGCCTTTGGTACTCTTATAAATGTGATGCATATAGAATAGTTAAAAATATATCCTATGGAGTAGCAACAACATTCTCAATAGCATGTGGAATGATAACAGGTGCAATGGTTTGTTCTCTACGAAGTAATATTTCGAGTTTAAGATTTTCAACTGCATTCAGCTTCATTGCATCCCTAATATGTAGTGTAGCTATCGGTCTCTATACTATTTTAATGGATCAAGCATTCTCAATCATTAATAGTGCAGGATACTATCCTGTACCCCAACCTAGTACATCATATTCAATTGCTTTAGCCGGTATTTTCCTTTTACTTGTTGCATTTATTGCCTTTGCAAATAGATATAGAAGAGTCAGAAGCGAGAAGGATTTCGAAGAAGATACATGGTATCAATATCAACAATTAAAAGGAGAATACTACGGGTATTAGTGACAATATTCTTCAGAATTATTATATGTGACTTAAAATTATTGTAGAGGTTAAGTGTAATATATCCATTATGAATATAAACTTAGACAATATCAAATATTAGAGTATTGGAACTAATATTTCTTTTGAATAATTAATATACTTTTAATGTGAATATAAATAATAAATGTAAATATATATTTACTATAGGTTTGTAGATTTGTAGCTGACGAGTAGATACGATATATATAAACCTAACTATTATTACTATTTATTATTAAAATATTGGTATCAGTGTAAAACTAACCATATAAAATGGATTTTAGTTCTTAAATTCTTAAAGTTCAATTAGTAGATATATGCATTAATTGTATACCATATATTTAGGGGTTGCTGAGAACTTTTTGTAGCCACGTACGACTTTATTTATAGCTTCCAATAAATCTTTTTCGCTAATACTTTTTCTTCTAGCACGAATTGCAAACATCCCAGCTTCCGTACATACAGATCTAATATCTGCACCAGTACAGTTCGGGCAAAGACGAGCTAGTAATTCAAATCTTATATCACGTTCCATGTTCATAACTCTTGCATGAATCATAAATATTTGTGTTCTTCCTTCCAAATCAGGTAGACTAAATTCTACTTTTCTATCTAATCTCCCAGGCCTTAAAAGTGCAGGATCTAATGTATCAGGTCTATTAGTTGCCATAAGTACTTTGATATTTCCCCTTGCATCAAATCCATCTAGTTGATTAACAATTTCTAGCATAGTTCTTTGAACTTCGTGATCTCCATGAGCACTTTCTTCACCTCTAGCACCACCAATAGCATCCACTTCATCAATAAATAAAATACAGGCTTTTTTACTACGGGCTAACCTAAAGAGTTCTCTTACCATACGTGCCCCCTCACCTACATATTTTTGTACTAATTCAGAACCAATAACACATATAAAGCATGCATCAGTTCTATTAGCTACAGCTCTAGCAGTCAATGTTTTTCCAGTGCCAGGAGGTCCATATAATAGAACTCCTTTTGGTGGATCTATACCCAATTGAACAAACCTCTCGGGGTGTAATAGTGGCATTTCCACAACTTCTCTAAGTCTTTCAAGTTGTTCTTTAGCACCGCCAATATCATTGTATGTGACATCTGGTTTATCTTCCACAGTCATCATAGCAACTGATGGATCTATTTTTGGTGGTAATGGTATTTGAATCTTGTATTTATTACGGTCGACTCCAACTCTCATACCTTCTTCTATATCTGTTGGTGCAACTTTATCACCAAGTCCGACGACATATTTTGCCATTTGTTTAATATTAATGACATATTTAGCTTCTTCTGTACCTGGATCAATAATTTTTGTACAGCGAGCTACTTGTAGTGGCTGTTCCATCTGCATCATCTGTCTATCTGCAGCTAAATCCCATTGTGGAGGTGGTGCAAGGCCTGTATCTGATTCTCTAACACTATTTAATTTTGAAATAGACCGTACTAAATCTTTTACTTCCACCTCAATTTGTCTTATTTGAGTAACATATGGACCCAATCCGTACTTTCTCATTATGTCAATATCAGCCTGATCTAGAGGTTTTGGCTCATCTTCATTATGATCCTCCCTGACCTGAGTTCTAGAATTAGGTTTCACGACCATATTTTGTTTTTTCTAGTGTTAAGATACTGTATAACTATAAAATAGCTGAGTTCTCTCAGTAACACTTTTGATAGCGCTAAATATCCCACAGGAAAAGAAAACGTGGAATTAGCGCGATTACTTTGTAGATTGAAACGAGGTAATATACATTGATGTCACTAAAATTATAGTCAGCTATTATGATATAGTTAGTTAACTATAAGTAATATAATATATTATATCTAGTAAAATTTTAATAGATTCTATGGAGATATATCTGAGTCATTCAAATTATTCACTATTCTACGATTATATCTTTCTCCCAAAGGCTTTTTTGGGGTTATTAATGTCTCTTCAATCACATTAATACTTTTCCCACGATTTTTTACTATGTTTGAGGCCTCTGAGCTATAAATTATAGAGTTATTTTGGTTATTCCCTAAACCATTATTACGTTGTCTACGTTTCATAGTTGCTTCAGTAAAGTGTTGTACATCATCTAAGCATGCAAGCAATTCATCTCTCTCAGATCTTAAAATTTCTAATTCTTTATTTGATTCTATTAGTGCATATTGAGTTGCCTCTAGTTGCTGTGCACAATTTTCCCATTCAGACTTCACTTCGTTCAAACTAATATCTGCAGTATTTCTCAGCTCTGCAAGAGTTGATCTTAGTGCCTCCACTTGAGTTGTTTTTTGTCTAAGCCTATTTAATACTGTACGTACTTCTTCTTTAAGGGTTCTTCTTTCAACAAAAAGTTCAAGTATTCTTCTTTGGAGAGTTGCTTTGTCATCTTCAAGAATTTCTAGATTTTCCTGTAAATTATGATTAACTGCAACTAAATCAGAATATTGTTTCTCTAATATAGATCTCCTATCACCTGCATTTACTGATAGTAAATTATCCGGACACTTTGGAGATGAATGATCTGTATATTGAACAGTTCCATCAGATGTTGAGAGTTCCCACATATTAACTACTGACAAGTCTGAATCTACATTACTTTTTGACTTCTCAGTAAGATTTTCTATTTGTGATGTTAGGGATATATTTTTATTATTAATAATTTGATATTTTCTTTCCAATTCCTGAATCTCTGATTTCAAGTTTAAATTTTCTTTTTGGTAATTTAGACTATCCTGCTTTATTTGTTGATAGTCTATTAATTTTTGACTTAAAGATTGTTTATATTCTTCGAAATCTGCTAGCTTGTGTTGAAGTTTAGTTTGCACTTCTCTATATCTCTCTATTTCCTTCATACAATATGCTCTTTCTTGTTGTCTATCTTCTAGCTCAGCTGAAAACTGTTTTCTAAGAGAAAATAAATCATTATCAGCTTGTTCTAACATTTTTTCAGTATATTGCACCCTATTACGTTCAATTTGTAATTCTTGTTCTAATTTCAGGATCTTTCTTGTAAATTCAGACTTTTCTTGAGTTAATATTTCGGCAAATTTACTTGTTTCAGCAGCAGCTGATGATTCAGTAAGTTTGATTTTATATTCAAAATCACTAATGATTCTGCTATTTTCAGAATCTTTTACTTGTATTTCCGACTCAAGGAGATATATTTTAGATTCATATTGTATATTTTTTTCCTTTAGTAATGCTAATTCAGCTTTGGTATCTGCTAAGTTATTTAAAACTTCCTTATAATCAAGATTATCTGAATTGGAAATATCGTTATTTTTCTGAATTTCCAATGAATCTAGTAGTTTCCATAACTTTGAAATATTTTCAGGGTATTTATTTATATTTTCATCTTGATTATTCTGTACTTCTAATTTTTTACTATTACATATAATCTGGTAGTTTGTAAAGTTCTTTACATTTACTTTAGTTTCGTCACTAATTTGGGAATCTGATTTTTCAGCACTCTGAATCTTTACCTTTCCAACATGATTTTCTACTTTTTTTTTATCAAGTAACTTTCTAAATGCTTTTTGTATTATAATTGCTGCATTAATACGTGGTGTTAAGATATTGTTAATATAGTACATTCTTTCTTTGAAACCTCGATATGACGCTTGAATCTTAATTGAACTCTTCTTCAAAAGTAAGAAGTGTTTTCTACTTCTATACATACGCCAATAAGATGTAATACGAGTACAATAATTTAACCATGTTTGTGATACACGCCTTTCTAGCTCAATTTGAAGGTAATCTCTAATAAATACTTGAGTTTTGCCTATTTGCCATGAATATCTCCACATTTCAGGGTTCTGGTTGATTTCTTTGATTTCTAATTCTTTTTGTAATTTTTCCAGGATATTTTTACATATTTGTACATAATTTTTTGCACCTGTAAAATCTCTTGAGTCTATATTAGGGTATAATAGCTTGTACCTATTGTAAAACTCGACAAACGTTTTTCTTACACTATAACCAGATCTTCTAATCCTTATACTTTCCAGCATACCTGCACATCTTAACTGCCTTAAGACATCTATGCTATCAAATTCATGTGCAGACTTAATGCTATTTGGTTTAATACAACGTACATAGCTTGGTATAGTAGAATTTAGTATATCTAGTAGGCCATTGAGTTGTTCTCGGAAGGCTCCACTCACTGTTGTTAATATTCCTTTGGGTCTGGAAGAGGTACCAGTTGATACTGTAACTCTATCGCGACTAATTAGATTTCCTGCACCTAAAGAATCTATTGAATTAAAAAGTTCAATTAGAATTGGGGATTTGGATGCCTGTAAAAGTTCTAAAACATCTATGTGTAACTGGTCACGATTCTTCTCAAGAAAACCATATACATTATAAACTACCGCACCAGCATAATGTTGCACAGCAAATGTTCCATTTGCCATTTTGGTTGGTTTGAATATAATATCACAATGTGGCACATTACTTGACTTATCATAAGTGGATTTACTATTAACTTTAGGGTTAAATGGAGCAGCTATATTTAATATTTTATTCAAAAATGATTGATCACTTCCTTGTGGCATAAGACACTCTGAATCTAAAATTGGAAATATCCCATTTGGTTTCTTTTCTAATGAGTCAATTATTACTTTATTATCAATAAAGTCTATATGAGCCCAATCAATACCTTCTTTATTGTAAACTTGTTGTTCTGCTTGAAACATTTGATGGTTAAATTGTTGTTGTAATTTCTCATTGCTAAAGTTAATGCAAAATTGTTCAAAAGAATTAACATCAAATACTTCAAAACCATAAATATCTAAAAGTCCTATTGAACGACCTGAAAAAGATGTTTTTGGTTTACCCATCCCTATTCCAGATGGATCCTTTACAGAGATATTAAAGTCTGTTGATAGTCCACATGCCATAGATTTATTAATACGATATACTAACCAATCAAAAAGTTTCGTGTATATAGCCTTTGCCATTGCATCTCTTGTATGGTATACAGCATCTAGAGATAGAGGCATATATATAATACGATTAGTTTCGGGGTCTTTTAATCTTTTACATTGAAATATACTTAATAGTGACTCCCTTGATAGCTTAAACAAATTTAAAACTAATTCAAAACTTTCAGTATAATTAGAATCAATTTGTGGAAATTCATCTCCAGATTTTTTTACAAACAAAATATTGCATAAATGTAATATACCAGCACAAATTCTAAATATTTCATGCTGTTCCTCCTCACATATTCCAATACACTTTAAACAATTAATTACTTCATGCATTTCTGCAACATCATCTCTTCCTGGAACCTCAGTTGAAGTTCTTAGTACTAAAAAATCCTCTACATCTTTTAATTTCATCTCATCCAGTAAGGTTTTCGGTAAAATATTAGATCTTACTGCACAGGAGCATAAGCCATAAAAAATGTGGTAGTTTCTCTCACTATCTTGTTGAAAAGTTAGTCTACATTTTTCAAGAAGATAGTTTGAAATAGATGCACCTTTTAATTTACCAGTGGCATCAAAGAAGATTTCAATAAATTTCCCAAACCTAGAAGAATTATCATTTCTTAAGGTTTTAGCATTACCAAAAGCTTCAAGAATAGGATTACTTCTTAAAATAAGACATTCAATAGAGGAATTATTTGAATAATCCATAATATTTGTCGATAGAAATGATAACTTTCCAATATAGTTAGAAGTAGGAAATAAAAAGGATAAATCTTCTGGAGATTTATGTAAATTTGCAAGATAGCATAATATAATTTTCGTTGCTTCAGTTTTACCAGCACCACTTTCACCAGTAATTATAATGCTTTGATTTTTTTTATAGCGAAACAAAGCATCATAAGTATTTTGAGCCATTTTAAATACATGAGGTGGTAGTTCACTTGAATCAAGACTTGAATCTACATTATAATCTCTAGTGCTATTCCTATAAAGTTGAAATGTCTTATGACCATAAAGATCGTTTATAGATTTGTAAGGGTTAATGCTTATAAGAATCAAGTCACCAATACACGTGTAAATCTTGTCTTGGTAATATCTAGTACGGACATTATGTAAAAGAGCTCCTTCACAAAAATCACCAAGAGTAATTAGATTTGGTACTCCTGCTAGACTTGATTCATCAACAGGATGTTTATCTTTGTGATCATCTGTTATATGTACTTCTAAACCATCATCAACATAAGCAACTAGCTTACCTCCCTCCATCCTTTGGATCCTGGCAGGAGCCCAGGCTAAAGTAGGATGAGATATCCAGACTAGATTCCCATTAAGAATCCATTGATCAAAGCTCTTATTGCTCATTCTTTATTTACTTAATAGCCAATATTATATTTAGGGCTAAGGCATGTCGTGATGGACAAACCGCCAAAGTGGCACTTTGTAGACACCGATCGGTAAGCTCTTAAAATGGCCACTTACTAAGGATAGAAAAGATACATGGTAGCTTCTTTACTAAAGTAGTTTCGTCTATAATTTGATGTTATAGGGGACTTTGGGCCTTTTCTATAAATGATATTATTATATTATTATTTATAGTGCACTGTGATGCACCTTCGTAATGTTTGCCTCCCAATGAACATGGGGAAATATAATCAATAAATCCTACTTGAATCTAGAAATGCAGCTTTTAACATATGTATAGTTGGAAGTAAGCACTAATTACACAGGCTACTATCAATTTAGTGCACTAAGATAAACCTATGATACTTATTTTTAGATCTCTTACTTAGAAATAGAATTATATTAGAAGTTTAATTTTAGTAGAGGATCTACAAAAGATCTACAAGAGATCTAAAAAAGATGTCTGCAGGGAATTACAGAAAACAAAAGTTTTAAGTATTTTACTGATGTATTGGTATTTCATAAGGCATGCTGAATCCACAAATAATGCAACTCTCAATGATGACACAACAAATGATAGTAGCGAATTCAATAATAAAAGGGCCCCTGATCCTAGTCTTACAGAATTAGGAATTAAACAAGCAACAAGAACAGCTGAGGTTTTATTATCTGAATCTAGCTTAGTATGGATAACTCATGACAATAATATAAGGAAGCTTAAATTGGGTATGCCTAAATTTAATACTATATATTGCTCACCTTTAAGGCGTTCTTTAGAAACTGCATTTCTTATTCAGAAGAAAGTTAACTGTAAAGTTATAGTGTTGAAAGATCTTTGTGAAGTTGGAGGTGTATTTCATGGTAAACGTCTATATTTACCTGATATGAATGATTCTATATATTGTTCTGGTTTGTCACGTAGCGAAATATTAAAGCTATACCCTGACTTTGAATTGGAAGACAAAATTACGGAAAAGGGATGGTGGAATCAGCCACAGGAGTCAATTAAATGTGCCTTAAGTAGGGCAGATAAGGTTATAGAGTGGATTTGGTCAATTAGTAAGAATGATCTACAAGTTCACGACAAACTAACAGACTCAGCATCTATACTCATTACTCACGGCTTATTCCAAAATATACTCATGAAGAAGCTACTTTTAGGTAAAGGTGTAGAGATATCACCAAATGAGAAGTTAATCTTTCCATGTGATAACTGTGGTATTAGTCAGTTACTGTTTTGTCCAAATACTACAGAAGACAATTCAAAGAGTGATGACAATATAGTTGTATGTCTTAAGTGGAACTCAACAGATCACTTAGATCCCAAAATGCGAACAACAGTAAATATAATAAAACGAAGATAGCAATTATATTAATTCCCAGTACTACTAAATTATTTAATTCAGCATATTTATAAATATTGCTAGTCTAGTAAGTTGTAGATAAGGCGCTATAATTTAAGTAAGAAGTTAATACGTGTCACATAGGCGCTATTGTTTGAGACGACAATAATGCCATAGACGAGTTCAACTTTTTTGTTTCAGTCATTCATTACCTATACCTTACTTGTAGCGCTTATTACCCAATAAACGAATTTGGTATATTTCTTGTTGTAATTCCATTTCATTTTAAGGTAAGTTCAAGTGTTAATATCACTGTCTTTTTATTATGATACTTGAAAATTTATATTTTAAGGGTGGTATCTACTCATTAGGGCAATTTCGTTTATTTTAACTTCTTTCTATTTGTAAGATATTTTGTAGGATTTTTAAAGATGGCAGCTTTCTCTACATCTGAGGTGAAGTTATTTGGTAAATGGTCTTATGATGATGTAAATGTCTCAGACCTTTCTTTGGTTGACTACATTGCTGTTAAAGACAAAGCTTGTGTATATGCTCCAGTAACTGCTGGCCGTTACCAGGTTAAAAGATTTAGAAAAGCTTTATGCCCAATTGTGGAACGTTTAGTATGTTCTTTGATGATGCATGGGCGTAATAATGGTAAAAAGAACCAAGCTATTCGTATTGTTAAATCTGCATTTGATATTATCCACCTTATTACTGACAGAAATCCAATTCAAGTATTTGTTGATGCTGTTAAAAATGGTGGTCCTCGTGAAGATTCAACTAGTATTGGGTCAGCAGGAGCTGTAAGGCGTCAGGCTGTTGATGTTTCACCATTAAGACGTGTAAATCAAGCTATCTATTTAATATGTACAGGTGCACGTTCCCAAGCATTCAGAAATATTAAGACTATTGCTGAATGTTTAGCTGACGAAATTATGAACTGTGCAAAGGAAAGTCCAAATAGTTATGCTATTAAGAGAAAAGACGAAGTTGAACGTGTTGCAAAAGCTAACCGATAAACATGAAATAAAGTTAACATACTATTGTATCTTAAGTATACTGATAAAATTTGAGAAGTAACAGGATTAGGTTTTATATTTACAAATTTTTGTATACTACTAAAGATATGTACTTCAAAGCTAGTTAACTAAGGACTGCAATACTCATAGCTTTACCTAGAAATAATCTGATCTTAATAAAAATTTTATTTCAAAGAAATTGTGCTTTATACATCATATTTGCAGAATACATCCAACTTCCCATGATCTTGGCTGAACAATACCTTTGTATGAATGAGAATATAACTTAGAATTCGTAGAACTTGTTATAAAGGGCTTTATATCAATATGTTTGATTTTCGGAGTACTTGGTGCAAGTGCCCATCTAACAAGTTGATTAATAGCTGAGTTATATTTAATTGAGAATTCATTATCTTTCACTAGTATTTCATGGGAACTAGTTAAAACGTGAGATTTATTGCTACTTTTTTTTCTAGAACTTTTACTCTTTATTTTATTTACTCTATAGACAGGAAGTAGTGTCAAGTTAGGATTTTGGATGAATGTTGACTCTTTACCACTTTTAAGTTGATGATGTCTCTTGTTAAGTGATTTTTCATCATTAATTTCCATCCATTGTCTTAATGCAAGACGAAAAGTAATTGGTTCTATAATTTTGCTTACATCACAAGGGTGCCACTGCTGATAAACAACTGAAGTATTTTGAATATATTTTTCTATAGGTGTATTTATGTAGTGAGACTGTTTTAAAATATTGGGAATTGGAATTTCCTTCATTATAATTAGTTGTATACTATTTGTATTGAATAGACCATTTATAGGTGTTATAGCTTTTAGATAAACATTTACGGATGAATTTGGAAGTAAAGTCAAGTATTTTGTTGTAGGACCTATCCAAATCAGCTCTCCTGAGGAAAGTATTGTGCAAGTACTTTGATCTGACTTTTCTAATTTATCATGTTCCAAAGACATTGAGCTACTACTTAATTCAGTTGAAAATGGATCTATATCACTTTGAGGAACAAGTAAATCTTCATGCTTTTGATCATTAGATAATTTTGGTGTGGTACAGATAAGACTACATAAAGTGGTACATTTCTCAGAGGTATTAGTTATTGATGCTATTACATTCACAATTTTCAAATGCCCATTACTAAAATTTCTACATTTATCTTTTATTATGTCTAACCTAAATATTAATGAAGACTTTTTATCTTTTATATTTGAAGTTAATAAATTAGGAGATGTCCATAATTTCAGATCAAAAATACCACATTGACCAAAACATTGAAGATTACTTAATTTCTCACTATTTAATGGATAAAGTGACCACTCAAGAATCAAGTCAACGTTTAGGACCGAAGAGATATTTGTTAATAAAAATTCTGGATAATTCTCATCTATCTGTACAAACATTTGAAAGCTTCTACCTGGAAAGATGATCTTGTCACTATTTTCATTTCTTATTTTACTTGTATTGCTATCCATATTCTTCAAGCAATTTTGAGATCGAGATATTTCTTTGTTATCAAAATCTTTAATAATTATGACTGAGGGTATATACTTTTTATCTTGCTTATCTTCTATTTCTGTGTTTTCAATCCATTTACTTGGAAAAATAGACAATTTATGCATATTTAAGGGATAAATTGAGTTATTAATACAACGGATAAATATAGATTTACGCATACCTAGTCCATTAGAAAAGACCGATGCATACATTGATATTGATTTATTAATTTTGACATTTTTTTTTGCCATTACAATCAGTCTATGGGAGCGCAGCTTGTTCTGCATTAATCCAGAGCACTGGTCACTTTGATTTTTACCTGAAGTTACTAAAATAATGTATATAGAACCTAGACACTCAGAATTTACCCAAATGGAAAATGAAATATTTTTTATTTGACCAGCACCAATACTAGGTATATGATAAAGAAGTGGTTCATTTGATGATGTCTTTAGTTCATTTGGATTTGTTTCCAACCATACTGAAATATTAAACCTCCTACTAAATAAAGGAATAATAAATAGCTTCGTACCATTTACTAAATAGCTAGATGAATTTTTCAACTGTACAGAGAAATTGTATGGAATTCCTGCAAGTGAGTTATAATTATTCATTTTATAACCCTCAGAGCTTGTCTCTGAACTAGGTGTATTTTTAAATGAAAAAATATCAATTAGCATTGATAATTTACTTAAATCACTCAAAATAGAAATTTTCACTATTCCAGAAAAGTTGGTATCTTTTAAATTTGAGTTAAATATTATATTTGGGACTAGCAAACGATAATTTCCAATTGATTCCTTTGAAAGAATTGGTGAATTAAAACTCTGGCGAATGGGGACCTTGCCATCTAATAAAAATGAAATCCCAACCAAGAATAAATCACCACATGTGAAAGGAACAGCAATTAATCTAAATAACCTACTTTCATTTGGCTTTAAACTTATAGATTTACTAAAAAATACAAGGTTTGTCTCAATATTAATATTTTTGGCATCTACAAATTCTTCATCAAATAAATTAGATTCATCAACAATTATTGGATAAATAAGTGTCGTTCCATCAGACATTCTTAAATGGCCCCATAGGTGCAAAGATTCGCAATTAATTGAGAATGATAGTGGATTATATAAATAGAATTCAACAATACACTTATTCCCAACAAAAGTATACCTAGTTGTACAAGAATTCATTAAAAGATGATTAAGTGAAGTAGAATCATTAATTTGGATCTGCTCTATTAAATTTTGACGATTCTGCAAAAAGTATTGATATTGTAGTTCCAAAACTTCCAAATTCTCCAATTTATTCTCCATATCTAGTAACCTATCTATTGTATTCTTTATATAAACAAAGTGATCATCTTTTACAAATGACTTATCTTGAGTGTGAAATTTACAGAAACTATTATGTCCCTTTGGGATGGTTACATCAGCAGAAATGCAATATTGGTCCTTTCCATTTATGCTGTCGCATGAGCTACAACTAAGATTTTGACCTAGTAATTTGGTTAGCCTAGAGTGACTGCAAATACAATTATTGCTGGATAAATTATTACCAGCCAAGAGATCTTCATTTAATAAATTTACAGCTTTTGTCTGAATATGATCTGATTCCAATATCAAAGAAGTTCCAACAGGTAATAAAATAGGTAATGGGAGACGAAGTTGAAAACTATGCTGTGTTGTTTTATCATCTTCATTCTCCTTCTTAAGGTTATTTAAATAATCAGTGAAAGATTCAACAAATCCTTTAAAGAGTAAAAGTTGCAATTTATTGAAGTGAATAAAGTCTTCTTTGTCATCTTTGCCTAGGAATGTTGAGTTTCTAAGTAAGATATTATCCCCAAGTGATTTTGATAATCTGGTATCGTCAGCTATAGATTTTTCATTATTAATTTCAAGTGCATCTAATTCATTCTTGATATCTAATTTGTATATACATCGTAATATAATCTCATAGATCAGAGAAATAAATAAAAGCACACTTTCAGAAAAAAAGGAGAGTTTATGACATAAATTTGCTGAATGAAACCTTAGATATGTATCAATATCAGGCCATTTGATAGTATCTTCTTGCAAAAGAACATTCAAAAAACTCTGTAAAGAAATTGCTTTAAACCCTATATATTGAAAAGCTTGAGCAGCCAAAATAGAGTGGTAATACCACTTGTGACAATAGAGATTTCTTCTAGAAATAGATCCACTAGGGTGAGCATCATTTGGAAGCAAAGCCAATAATCTAGTAAATAAATCATTCATTATTGCAAAATTCAAAATACTTTGTTTACTTATATTAGTTGATCGTACAATTTGTTCATTTCTGCTTGTAGAATTGTATTCAGTTGAATAATTGCCTTTATCATTGGGTAGTATCCATGAAAAGTATTTTGAATTCATATCCAAATTCTGCATATCAATAATAACAGATTTAACCTTATCTATTATTGAATCATATATAGTGGAATATTTAACTCGAAAGCTACCAGATAGATCAGAAATTGAAAATTCACTATCTACAGAATATAGATCAGGGGAATTAAATAGTGATATCACAAGAAATATAATAGATCGCATATATAGGCTGTAACTGTAATAATCACTACTTCTTTGATAAGAATTGCAAGCATTTAATAGCAAGTTTGAGACTGCCTCTAGGTCCATGCCAGTTGCTACTTGACACACAGCTAAGATTTCATAAGTTGATCCCATACACATATATGACTTATCAAGCTTGTAGTCAGAGAGTATTTGCTTATAGTATTGAGTAGCAGAAGAAAAGTCACCGATCAAAAAACAAAGATCTGCGAGTATGCGTGTTTGACCTTCAATTGTACTAGCAGAATATATTATAGGACTCCGTAATTGTTTCTTAGCTGAAGTATCTTTATATGAAGTAAATAATGGAATATTTGATTCAAAAAGTTGGCTTTTATCATCTAAATTACTGATTGCATTAGTCATGCCTAAAGTTGACAAAAAACTATCTGAATTCATTGAAGTGTTTACCTCAGGTTTAGGTCTTCTCCAAAACATCCTAAGATGACTTTTTATCCCTTTTCTTGATTGATTCACAGTATTGTACAATCTATTCATTGTATTTTGAATCCATAAAACAAAATTTTTAGTTACACAGCTAAAAATAATACTACGGAGCAACTCCATATCACTATGAGTTAAAAAACGATTCACATTCATATAATAATCGGTAGTATCCAAATACGGATGAGCATAAGATCCAATTGATACAGGTTTATCTACTTTTTGTTCCTCAAATATTGATTCAGAACAACTACATTTACTAATTCCCTTAATATTCCACAAATAGAATTCGTTTTCAGGGAATAATTGTTTCAATTTAGAGATTATAGATTGTACATCCAAATTACAATTATCTTCTAGTGAAGAGTCACTTATTAATATAAATACTAATGGGAAATCATTCAAATAAGTTTCTTGTAAATAGTGAGATCGAAAATAACCTTGGTTATGGTAATAATTAGAGTTACCATCAATATTTGTAAAGCTAATTCCAGTTCTAAGACCATCCAATATAGTTTCACAAGTTTTATCAAGAGATTCCTCATTGATTAATACGAAAATCATACCTCCAATTGGTTGACTAATAGTTTCATGTGTTGCAAAGTTTAATTCTGAATAGAATACCTGGAACCATCTTTCAAGCCAAATAGGTAGGCCACTAATCCCTATAAATGGCACGTTATTAACAAGTGAAGAATCCTCTTTCTTCAATATTTCTTTAGCTAAAGACTCTATATATTTACGCCCTGTTCCAGAAATTATTTTAGAAACAATTTCACTCATTGAAAATGATCTTGAAAATTGTCTGCAAGACTCTACGGCTCGTACGGTCAAATCTTCATACATTTCACGTACATCTTTCTTCGTATTACATAAAGAAATAAATCTGATATTTATATTATCAGCTTTAATCATCTTATTCATAGCATTAATTTTAACAGAAAAGTGTGTATTATTTGAGAACCAGATATGATCTGAATCCGGAGGTTTATTCATCATAATGTTTTTTGAGTAAGGCCAATATCTATAATATTCTAAACATACACGTTCACGCCATTTAATATCTATATCATTATCATTAGATGTTAGATTGTTGTTTTCAGCCCAAAGATATTTACTAGCACGGTCAGTACCAAAAGGACGAAGTAATCTTGATACATCAAGTCCAAATTCAGATCTCAAGAAATCTTGTGCCTGATTGGATCCGAATACTACTACATGAGAAGGAAATAGTTCGGTTAATAACCATTGCTGAAAATTATTGTCCTTATTCATGTTTAGCAAAGATTACCATTATTGAAGAAAAGTATGTTAGATACTTCCACTCAGAAAGCGGCTCTAAAGTTCTTTAAATCCAGCTGCGCAGTATGTTATATTGGATTGAACTTATAACAAAGACTTTAATCTTTTCTAAATTGTAAACATACATTGTGCTATTATAAATAACAAATTTAATTTATTGTGTATATAAAGTGTATATATATACTAAAGAAAATATCACGCTAATCACACCAAGTCATTAAATAATATTAGACATGTAAAATATGTGTATAGTTCTATTATAATGTCAATAATAATTAGCAATATCTAATTACACTATTTATCAAAATGAGTTATTTCTTCTTTAATAAGTCAAAAGTATATATTTATTACTATGCATGAAATATTTAGTTGCAGTGTCCAGTATTATCTATTAATGCCAGCTTTCTAATACGAGATTTTAATAATTCGACCAATTTCTTCATTTCCTGATTTTCTATATTCTTTTGTGCTAATTTATTTTCCAAGTTATCTATTTTTAATTGTATATTTGGATCTTGAATATTTTCAGATGTAATATATTTTTTATTTTCTTTTATGATATTATCTCTTTCAATTGTTACAGTATTTAGACGTTTATTTAATTGATTATATTGCTTGCGGAGTTTTTCAAGTTCTTTAGCTAATTTAGTAGAGTTTTTAGATAATTCAGATTTATCAGATAATAAATCTTGTATTGCCTTTTGCTTTTTGGTATTTTGAGATTGAAGTTCTGTAATTTGTTGATGTAATTCCTGTGTTTTCTCGAGATAGTATTTAATATCTTTTGTCTCATTACTTTTAATGTTATCAATCTCTAGCTGTTGTTGTTTAATTTGCTCTTTTAAAGATTCTATTGTTTCTTTTAAAACTTTAACTTCTCCTTTACTTAATTGTAATTCGTTTCTCTTTTTTACTAGTTCATCTTCTAAATCAGAAAATTCAATGATTTTACTCTTTTCTTGTTTTATGGCCCCATTCAACTCAGATACTTCGCTCTTGAGCTTTGAATTTTCTATTTGAAGTTGTATAATTAATTGATTTTCCATACTAGAAACTTCATTAGTTGTATTGTCCTCTGGAATATTTGGTAATTTCTCAGTTGAAACGATCTTTCCAGAAAATCCATTAATTAAACCATTTTTCCCAATTTTACGTTGTCTGTTAGTATTATTGGAGTACATGGAGTTTGATCTTTCTTGGGTTTTTGTATCAATACTCTTAGTTAATACAGGATCATTCAAATTTTTATCTATCGGTTTTACACTGTTGCATATATTGTTTGAGTTTGAATTTTGAACCAACAACTTTTGATATGCTGCTATTGTCTCAAATATTTCATTTTCTAAGATTCTCTTTTCCTTTAATGCTAGTTTTTTTTCCATCAAATATTTCTCTCGTTTCTCATCAGAAATATTCAATTCATTTAATAGCCGATCACTATATGCCAATATATCTAAATAATCAATATTATTGGCACACTCTGCCTCATTATTATCATCTATATTAAAATATTGGATTGTGCCTCTAATAATAGATTCTAATACAACTTTGTGAAAAGAATTTAAACAACGTATTGTCAATGCAATCATGTCCCTTGCTGTCTTGCTCGTAGCTCTTAACACTACTTGTTGCTTATGTACATCTCTACCAGATGATATTTTAAATACATTATTACGGTCATAATCTAAATATATACCAATATCTCCACCAAAGTATTTAGCAGACCATTCAATACTCTTGTTACTTGAGTATCCAGGCATTCCTGAACCATTTTTTATTACTTTAACATCATCGTATGATATTACTAGAATATCATTTGGTATATCATTCAAAATGTCATTAGAGCTATGAGATTTTGCAATGTTACTTATATCTAAACTATTATCTAAAATAAAAATTGGGAATCTTATAGTTCCTGCTTCTAGGGTTTTTGAAATGGATTCTCTAGTTTCTTTATCAATATTAATGGGCCCTACTTCGCCATATAATATCCCATTATTAGAATCAAATTCTCCTTTTAGTTGAACTTGAACAACTATAGTGCTCCCAACATCGTCAGCCGTTAGCTCATAAGTACAATTATTGTCAGTATGTTCTATATCAATTAATCTACTTCCATATTTTCTTTTCCAATTACAGTATATATCAATTGAGTTGAAAAGTTTACTATATGGAATTACTTTGATATATCCCATGGATCTCTTTTCTACATCTGTAAACATAACAAGTCTTATACCAAAATAACTACTTGAACCATGTATAGAGCCAACTTCAGTACCTCCCTGTGAATTACACATTATATTTGATGGAGTAAATAGTGTCGAAATTATTGAAGCATGATTTCTTGATAAATTTCCACATCCAATATCTGTTACTGCTAAGTTTGTAGCATTCACAGCAGCTTTTGCAGCATCATTAATAGAGTCATTAATACTTGAAATTGCACTCAGAGTTTTTCTAAGAGCATTAACACCCTGGAAAATACTTGGAAAGTCTAAAAAGTCATTTTTTAAAGTCATCTATAAAATTATAAAGATAATAGCTGTTGACAACTCAAATAATTCTCACATGTGTATAAGCTACACAGAGTGATGATTCCCGCCGACGTGGTATTTATAAGATGTGAATGTAATCAAAAAGTATTGAATACTTAGAAAAAAGTCAATTATTAACAAATTAAACAACTATAAGCTAACCTTATGTACTATAATGCAGCGTGTTTATTTTACTAAGATCTATATTAGCTGTCTCGTAACCTATCAACAAAGGATCATTAGATCCATGTTGACGAGTCCCTAATAGTCTTTCAGGGGTTATATTAGTATGAGATACATTCAATGGTATTAATGAGCCTGAAGTAGTAGATTTATTTGATCTAGGTAGTTGATGGTGAACTACTTGAGTATTTTCATAAATGTTAGGTAGCCAACTAGATGAATTAGGACGTTGCAGTTGCCAATCAGTACTTAAATTTTGCAAATCACTTCTTGCATTAGTCCATCTTGAGTTACTATGTTCTCCAAAATTAGATGAATTGCTAGAACCTATAGAACTGAAGTTCCAATTTTGTTTTGTAGAAATAGGTGGAATAACTACAGTAGGTTGATCTTGATTACTCTTAATTCCATATTTTGGTGTACGTGTTTGTATAATGTCAGGTACATTAATACTTGCACAATGGTCATAGCCTAAGTTATCAAAATTAAGAGAATTAAGTTGAGATGATTGTTGATTATGGGAATTACTGGATGCATTAGATAAGCATGACATTAAATTTGGATGGGCTTTTATAGGAACTATATTTGTTGTTCTATTAATAAGACCATTTTGGAGTTGAAATGGCAATGAATGAATGGTATTAGATACTCTATTAATATTAGCATTCACTTGGCATAAATTTGGGATGTCAGATTTAGATGATACAGTAACATTCGACAAATTAGTTGATGTAGATATTGCTCGATTATCTACAGCTCCTCTCTGTTTAGTTATATTTAATGTAGGTAGTGGATTTGATACATCCACAGAGTTTGTACTTGCAGCATATTGTGAGTTAGGCATTCCCAGGAATGGAGTTAGACCAAATCCTAATCCTGGAAGTGAAGATATCATTGTACTTGAAAGTGATCTAGAATCATCTTCATCAATCTGAGAATCATCTTTGTCTCTATTGTTACATTTGGATAGGTGTGATTCACCACATTGTTTAGGAGTATCTAGTATAACACCTTCAAGTTTATCATCATGTGTTCTTTGTATAAAGTCAGATGTTTCACTTATATGCTTCACTTCTTTAAAATTCTGATGAAGTGTATCAGTTAAATTTGAGGGAAGTGAATATTTGACTTGAAATTTGGATGCATCTTTGTCAGGTTTCAAAAACTCCAAATACCAACAATGGAAGAATATATGTGGAAATAACCTTCTATCTGCATTTAATTGTTTATTATTCAGAAATTTTGAATCACATACGATTGGATGACCTATTTCGGACATGAACGCACGAATCTTATTAACTGAACCAGCGGTTGAGTGACATCTACATAATGAATATAATAATGAATCTCTAGTTGAATTTACATGCTTATATATTCCACACACCTTATATTTTGCTATGCAATTACTGGATCCAACAGTTACAGATTTTGCAAATATTCTATTACAGACAATTGTAGCGAGGTTTTCGAAAGATATATATCCATCATGCTTTTCTAATTGACCATGGCAAAGAAATACATATTCAGCCATTATCTCCTTTTCATTATATTGGTTAAGTAAGTTTTGATAGCTATCATCACTTTTAGAAATAAGAACGGGTCCACTAATTTCATCATCAAATGTTACTATAAGCTCTTCTTTAATATCTAATTTAATATTATTGTCATGTGAAAGCCGTAACTTTGCAAAACCTAAAATACTCTCAATATTACCACTATTACAAATAGATTCTAAATTAAGGTCTTCATATCTGTTAGGTTCCATTAAACAGTTCCAAAATGGAGGTTTAAGTATTACAGACCAAGAGTCACTATCCTCAATTATCACAGGAGTATCTTTTATAATTCCCTTTTTATCTACAGCTTTCAGAGTGTTAGGTATATCTACAATACTCTCAAACTTAATCAAATTATCTATACCCGTTATTATATCTATGAATCTTTTGTTCTGATTAGAAACTTCACTTGGATCTGAAAGAATTCTCTCACAAATTGAAGTTAAAGTCATCTCGATACATTCCCTATATATTAACAAACGATCAATTATTTTCAAAGAAATGAACCAAGAATTAGTTTTACTTTTTAAGTCACCCAAGCACCTTTCTGAATTTCTTATTGAGTATCTTAATCCAATTAAATAGGATGCTAGCCTACTACAAGACATCTCTGCTACTTTATATCCAAGTGATGTTAAACTAACTGAAGAATGACTGCTAATTAAATGCCATATATAAGAAAACAATGCTAATAAACTAACTAATTTATAACTTGTGGTTTTTAACAAAGAGACCGACTTGATATAGTCCATTTTAGGGAGTAGGTATGTTATAATTTCAGTAAAACTAGTCTTGGAAAGTAATTTAGAATCTCTCAAAATGAGCAAAGCAACAAAATAAATAACAGCACGTTGGTCATCTCTAACTATTAAACGATATATAGGTGGCTCCTTTAATGAAAATATGAATTCCAGCTCTTTATTTGGTTTATCAATATTCAGTTTGAGAGTTGCTTCACCAGTAATTACATCTTTAATTACTTGATAGAATTCCTTTAATATTGTACTTGGTTCAATATTTCTTCCTAGACAAATCATGTGTATATTTTCGAAAATCAAGTATAGGCCATTTATCCAAAAATGATATGAATTAGAATCAATTTGAAAAGATTCAGAAATATTTGTAGTTGAACTAGAAATAAGTTCATCCAAGACTGCTTCTAATAATTGCCTTACTAAGTTTCTTATATCATCGTCATTGATATTTAGCCATTGAGTTGCAATATTGTATAATACATCTGAGACAGATAATAATTCTTTGGGACGTCCAACCTGCGTAGTCTTGGAAGATGTATTGTCCAATTGAAGTCCCCCTGAAGTCTCAATTGAATCACTGGATTTCTCTAGAGATTCTAACACCTGAGATTTATTATCTTCAGGAGTATCTCCAAAATGGCATTCATTTAAGTCTGTATTATCAGGGTGTACAAATTCATCAATTCCAGATTCATCAAAAGGTCCAACTGTACCTGACTTTGTACTCCTTGATTCCAATCTTCTTTGTGCATTTAAGGCCTTCACAATACTAGACTTCTGCAAAGATGGAATTCCAGGAATCCTCTTAGATGCTTTCTTTTTTTTCTTTGAAGTTGAAATACTTGGTACATTATTCGATATTTCAGGTACCATATATTCGGATGTTTGTTTACTTATTACTTGAGAATCACTCTCTTCCAACAACACTTTAGGTTGGGATATATCTGTTACAAACTGTGAAGATAAGTTATTTAATGAACCTCTTAAAACTGTACCACCTAATATAGGTAATTTCGCATCAAGTGGAGATCTAGCAATAGGCCATGTTTTATCAAAAATCTCTTTAGAGAAGTCAATCATGCTTGAAGACGAAGTCCCATTATATTGACGAATTGGTGTACTAAAGAAATTATTCTGGCTACTTGATTTTTTTAGTTGTAAACTAGATATTATACTCGTAAATTCACTTTTAGAGAGAGATGAAGGCATTTCATCTAGAATACCCGAGTTTGTGCACAAAGCTGCAGTTAAAAATGGAGCAATGAATGGACAACCAGAAAGTAAGGGTGGGGTACTAAGTCCTTTCTGCCTTCTCTGAACAATAAAAACATCTCCGGTAGTTCTATTAATCTTCTTAATAGAAGAAGTCCAACGCCTGACATTTTGACAAACTCTAATATGGCACTCCTCCATTACATTGTAATCTTCAGCATTAAAAGTCTCTTTTGAAGTAGAGTCTGGTAATAGTCCCATCTTCCTAGCACGTGGAAATACCCAAGAAACAATACAATCTCTAAGGGGTTTTCTAGCTTCACAAACAATAACACTTAATAAAGTAATATTTAGTGAGTCAGGGTCAAACCACTTAAAAATTAGTAAGGGAGCAATTGAATCATCAGTTAAAGGAAGTTTAGTAGCTGACCATAGTGGATCAATTAATTTCATCTTTAAAAGTGAAGAATTAATTTTGGGAATTTGGCTAGTAATATTGTTATAACTCGAACAGAGCGGAGAATGAACAGTCCTAGATGGACACGGTATACATATGTCATCATAAGAAATTTCAGAGTCCTTTAATTTGGGCTTATTTACTTCACCATTTATATGTAACTTCAGTTCAGGGGGTACACAAATCAGGACTACTACATCACAATTTGCTATATAACTTGATCTGTGAGAACCATAGGCATGATTTTCAACAAAGTCATTTGGAGACATATAAGTATATTTTAAACGTCCACGACGTGTTGGATCTGGATCTGGACGTAGAGAATACAGAAAAAATAAGTCTAAAGGAGTTGAAGGAATCCATGTATTTTCATTCAACTCAACAGTTGATGAATTTGTCATTCTCTTTGTATTCTTGCTAGGTAAATTCTCACAACTCTTTGATTGAGATTGGTTTGAGATATTAATATTATGGCTAGATATTCTACTTAATGCATATTTCTGCTGATCAAACTGAGCATATAATAATTTCCTTATTGCAATATATAAATGACGTACAGTTGCAAGCCTATTTACATGTAGCACTCTAATTGCAGATACCATACTTTCAGAACCAAAACCTTCTCTTCCTATCAAGTCCTGTTCCACAACAATATTTACCAACAAAGGAGAGGAGGCTGCATGGAATGAGTACATAGGAATAAATACATAAGGATCAACAAGACTTGCTGAAACTTGATTTGTCTGAAGATGGTGAATAACTTGTGATAAAGGATTGATATATGAGACACCATTTGTAGTGTTACTTGTTGAATTAATCTTATTAGATAAAGTTCGTCTCTTTAGATTACCTGACTGTTTTGTTGGGAATTGTTCTGTTGGCTGAAGAGTAGTTTGGCTTAATTGTTCTCTGGATATTGACTCATTGAGGTCAGGAAGTGCAATATACTTCTTTGAATTTAGTAAAGTTCTATATGTTAATCCCATAAAAAGGACATTTATAATGTATACCACAATTGGTATTACAAAGTGTGCGCTTCCCATATCAGCAACAAGATGATCTGCAACACGGTTTGGTGAACATGAGAGTGTACATGATGAGCCAAATGTAGCCAAATTCCATGCATCTAATGCATCTGCAACTTGATTGACAGCAGCACTTAGTAGTTGCCCATTCTCACAATTTCTAATAAGATTTAGAGGGCAGCAGCTTGATTCAAGTAGAAATTTAGATTCTGTTAGAAATCTTGCACAAAGATCCTCTGGGGTTAACCTTGGGTCAAATAATAAATCGTCTCCATTACGAAAGAATAAACGTTTTAATCTAATCGTTATTGTGACAGGTAATAAGTCATCAACAAATTGGATCAGATTTGGCCATAAAATATTATGTAGACGATTCATAAGTAGTAAAGCGTTATCGTATAATTCAACAGATTCGCTCCTTAAAAATATCCCTTCTATAAGGTTGTTATCAATCATTAAATTTGCATATGTTTGATTTAAAGCTATTTCATTATATTGTAAGGAATTATCAGGAGGCTTATTATTTTGTTGGAACTTCTCACCTAGACTTGCTATGAGCTCTGAGTCAGTAAAATAAAATTGCTCTACCCCTTGAGTGGTGTCTTCAGATATTAAGTCACTGATTTGATGAAAAATATTGCTAGATATCTTGCGAAGATGTGGAATAACGCGTAGAACTGAATCCAGATCCTTATAATCAAGGTCAGGACCAAACATAATCTCAAGTAGTAAAGCCCATAGTTTCGGTATTGAATATTTCAAGGGTCGAAATATGAGAGTATTGCATAAATCACTTGCAGAAGGAGTGAGAATTATTTTTGCAGAGAGTATTAGCGCTGGATTAACAGCAAATGCTTGTGTTAATGGTTCAGTTAGTCCAAAATAGCTATTTATGTATGGCCAACCCCAGCGATAATCAACAAGCATCCATAAAACATTAGGGTCCAAACTAAATCCTACATCCATTAAAGGATGACCAAAGTTGCATATTGAAGAATCGCATACTGTAGCATTTGCAATTTCAACAGATGCAGAAACGCTTTCAGTATCACTTACAGGGGTTTCATTCATATAAGTACCTGATGAGTAACAATTTGCTTGTGTTGATATCCATGGATTAACATTAACCAGGTCTTCTTCAGATACTGATAAAAGATCCAATGTTTCATAATAAAGTTTAGGGTTTAAAGATTTCAAATCACAGTCTACAACAACATCACCTGCTGCAATAGAGTCGATGTAATCTTCAGCAATATAGATTGCAGCAGCACAAAAAAACCCACCATGACACTTCCATTCAGTAAACTCTATTTTAGGAATCAGACGCTCGACTAAACCATCACATATCCGAAACCATGGACCATCCTCTTCTGGACGTAATAGTATCTGATAAGATGTTCTAGGACCACTGCTACTATTTGATGTATCACCTTCACGTATAATCACTCCATAAAGAGAGTACCACTTCTCTAAAAACTGATTCCTAGGACCAAAATACCCCTCGGACTTTGCTACCTTATCATCTTTGAAGTCTCTATTCAATCCATCATTTGTTAGTTCTGGGCTAGTAGAAATATCATGTCCATCATCAAAACCATCATCTGAAATATAATCTACAGAATAATCATCATTTGAGTCTGCAACACTAGGTAAGACACAGCTATTATCTAAACTTTCATCAAGTAAGTCAGTCTCTATACCTTGAGGTCTTTTAGTACGATTCTTAGATTTGAAATCTCCAGTAAACTCCTTAAACATTGCCTCATCCTTATCTATATCATCATTACTATTGTATTTACAAGCTTCTGTATTTGGGTCCAATTTTACAGAATTTGTTTGGTCATTTTCAAGTAAAAAAGATGCTTCTAAACGAAATGGAACATCAAATAATTCACCTTTCTTTGCATTTTTTGGAGGTGAAAAGTATATAAATAATACTTCAGGAAATCTTTTAAGCTGATTATTATAATGTTCAATTGCCTTAGGAACAGAATGTATATGTTTTGCACGTAGGCAACAGGTTGAATAGTCTAGAAAGCAGTCACCACCATCTTCTGCAACACTAGAGAACAGAACTCTGCAGGTATTATCAAATTCGGTTGGTATACGCAAATATTCCTCCAACTCCAACATAGAAGATGCAGATATGTTTATATTTGGTTCATCTCTTGACTGGTAATTGTCTTTTACTACATCATTATCTAAATGGCCAAATTCATCACTTACAAATGCAGATCGATGATAAGCTGCAATTTGGAGTATTGAATGGGCTGACTCCAAATATATTGCTCCAAATAAAAAACAATGAAAGCGCATCAAAGGATCAGGAACATCTATACGTTGCAAATCACTCATAAACAATGTCTTCATTAACCAAGTGCAATCAGGTTGTGTAGGTAGTCTACAATAATGGCAACTCCAATCTACATCTTTCAAGTTATTTGTAATGTTATTATTTACAACTGAAGTATCGTTTTGTATATCTTTATATAATATGGTATTTTCTCCACATTTACAACATCTATGTGGACACCATTTATTAGTGAGTGGATCTGAGTTGACTGTTTCCTGCCATTTATAGCGAATAGAACTTTTTACTGCATAAGCAATAGGCCACAATGTCATATATGCAAATGTTCTCTGTAGAGCTTCAATAATAGATGATTGAGAATTTAAACTAGAATCGGACCTCTTCGAACGATCTGTATGATTCTCAGCCTCATTAAAATTAATTAAATTCGATATATCTGATTTGGAATTCCAACAGAATACAGCACGACGAAACTCCTTAAGATGGTATAGCAAGTGCATAAATGCAGGGACAAAATCAACATTGAGTTGAGGTTTAAGAGTAGGAACAAATAAATTACTGCTAGACCAAATTAACCTGTCAATCAATGGTAAGTAAATGTTATTCTCTGGATTACTTGTATTTATTTGTGATAATGATGCACCATCTGTCTGAATTAATCCCTTATCAAAATACTTGGCATTACTTATAGAGTTTTCAGCTAAATCATGAAATGGGCAGAGTGAATTTCTTATATTACTGTGCTGATTATATAGATTTTGTTTCTTTTGCTTTACCATAGAAACTTCACCTTGAATAGGTACTGATGCACTTTTATAAGGAAGAATTCCCCAGACGTTCCAAGGACGACATTTTGGAGATCTCGACCATATCCGAGGAAAAGGTGGTTCAGCTCTACCTCTAATTAAAACAGTACCTTCTTCATCAATAAATCCAGTTGCCTTAGTAAGACGAGCGTGAGAAACCATCTTATGCCATCCACGACTCATAGCATCATGAGAAAATGTCCAGTGGGCCCATGATGTAATACTAGCCTTTGGATCTAAAAAATTCACTACTGAAAGCTGAAATCTTACATTTGGAAAAACCCAATCATCAGGATAAGATTCATGATGTAAAGCTTCTAAAAATACACTTAAGTAACTGCTTTCTGAGTCAGTAGTACTTCCACCACGTGGATGAACTAGTAATCTATAATAAAAACCTCTGCAATATCCAATTTGTGGTGATTCCATATCTATAGGACTTTTTGCTAATTTCCAAAAGTTCCTTATTGGGAAGTCAACATACATTTTATCCTCAGAAGAACATCCATTACTACCTACTGTACTCATATTTGATGCAATACTTGTGCCAGAATCATCCTCTATATATGAATTACAGATTCTATTGCGTCTGTTTGAAGAGAAGTTAGGAGTACGAGGTCCAACTGGGTATAAGCCACTGTATACTCTCCCAAACTGAGTTTGAAGTCGTATATTGTCAATATTGTCTTCATTATTTGAATTCTCAGTGCCCAGTGGCAAATTATTATCAATCTTTTGTTGATTCTCCCCTATGTAGTGTGAATCCTTAGGTATCCCAGCTATATATGGATCATCTGCTTCGTCCATAAGACCCTTTGGGAAAAATTCAACCTCTGGACAATCAATTCAAATAATTAAATTGTTGGTCAAGGTTTCCTAATATTTGCTTTATGTTCTCTTCCAGATACTTTGTTCCTCCCTTTGCAAAAATCCCGGTACCTACTATACAAAGGGGGGTGTCTTCTTGTCTACCGCCAGTTGCGACTCACTAGTAAAGTTTGTTTGAGACATTTTAGAAGAGTACAAGTAAGAAATGAAAGTGAGGATTGACCTAAGCAATAATCTATAAAGTTCCTATTTTGAGATCCTATTTATGTCATTCTATACCTATAAGGATTCTGTGGATTTTCTCCGCTAATGAGCCGTCATCTACATCTTCGTGTTCAATTGCCACGATATATTTATCTGGGTCACCTGTCCCAGTAATATTCATATCAAAATCATACATGTAGCCTATTTTAGGGAGCTCACTGAAGTATATTGCCTCCTTACAGGCTGGTGACAAATTTTCAAACGGTGTCCTTATAAGTGTATCTGTTGACTGATAGTAGAATGCATTAGGTACACATTGTAGTTTAGATGTCAATGTATACTTGAGCCTATTGAGGAAAAATTCAAATATCCTAGGTTTATCTTGGTAATGTCTGTAAATATCTGCTATCTTCTCTATAGTTGAATTTATTGTAAAATTGTATTCAGGCGATCCTATAGTAGGCTGGCAATCCACACTTAAGAATACATTAAGATCCCCAAGATCACATGAACCATCTTTAGGGCAATTTAAGTTCATTTGGATATTATTCAAAATGTACTCAATATAAATTCCTTCCTGCAATATTTTAGAACCAATAGGAATCCATGAATTCGATGCGAAGTCAAAGACATGTTTAGGGGGTATTGAGTAATTTGATATAGAATATGATTTGTCATTATACTCCGAGTAAAGTTTTTCTATTGGCAATTTTATATACTTGAAACTATATACATTTATTGAGTCTGACTGGTTAATATACTGATGATCAAATTGAGCTATGTCTCCATATACTTTATTGTTTCCATCTATATAAAATGACACATTAATATCTTTAGCTAAATAACCTTTGTTAACAATAAGAGTATATCGCATATTAAAGAAATTAGGATTACTATACTCATCATTAATAATCATACAGTTATCAGTCATATTACCTGGGGTAAGAATTTTCCATATAAAAAATTTATTTAGGTTAATATTCCTATTTAGGATGTTCTTATCTGGATAAATAGAATATAATTGAGAATGCCCAAAAGCAACTCCTTTATAGTAATTAAGTAAATTACTATATAAAGAAGTACTTCTTAATTGTAGTGATGTGTACCATTCTTTTTGTATTGCCGAAAATATACAGTTTTGTAAGTCATTAGAGTTTTCACAGTGGAGGCATACATATATTTTATTATTATCTTCTTCTATTGGACCAAGATGGCTTTTACAACCACATATTGAGCATAAATATAGCTGAGATTTGGTCTTATTATCTAATGATTGGTCTTCAATTATTAATTTATTGGATGTTGCTTCATAATTCTCGTTATAAGAGTCTATACTTGTTTTAAGTGCATAAGACACATAATAAAATAAACTACCTATAATATATATTATTGTTATGCATCTAATAATAGTAAACATTAGAGGCGTGAAGTACAAAAGTTTCTGTACCAAGTTTAGTTACTAAAATGTCATAAAATAACTACTAGAGCCAAAAAATCACGATACAAAGCGCGCATATTGAAAATAACACGGGTGGCATTTCAGAGTGCATAATCTGGCGGTTTATGGATTACTGGAATAGCTTTAGAAACTTCTATTGAGTTTAGTTTCCCCTGGATTATGGAAGTCCCAATAATAATACTTCTGGATTCTCGATACATTGCTTTATATTTTTAAGAAATAATACTGCCTCACGACCATCAATTAGTCTGTGATCATAAGTTAATGCTAGGTACATTATAGGTTTAATAACAACCTCTTTCTCACCACTTGTAGGATTTGTACAAGCTACAGGTTTATCACTAATTGAATGCATCCCTAAAATGCAACTCTGTGGTGGGTTGATAATTGGTGTACTAAATAGTGAACCAAATACACCACCATTAGTAATTGTCATAGATCCTCCAGACATGTCCTCAAGTGTTATATTCCCTTTACGAGCTTTTTCAGCCATCATTGCTAACTCCTTTTCAATCTCCCAAATTTCCTTTTTATCACAATCACGAATAACAGGAACAACAAGTCCATTTGGGGTTGCAACCGCGACACTAATATCTACATAATTACGTGTTGATAAAATAATACCTTTTCTCTCACCTGGATCTTCTATAATATAAGTGTTTACTTCAGGCATCTTTTTCAAAGATACAGTACATGCCTTCACAAATGTTGACATCATTCCAAACTTAATTCCATGTATCTTTGTAAATTCAGTAGAATACTTCGATTTCAGATCCAACAAATTACTCATATCACATTCTGTAAATGTAGTTAACATTGCCATCATATTCTGAGCTCCTTTCAAACGTTCAGCAATACGCTGACGCATTCGTGACATTGGTTGTCTTGTTTCACTACGATTGTGTTCCTTTATATCTATATCTATGTTATTTAAATAATCTGAACTATACTGAGAAACTGTTTCTGTTGGTCCTAATGCAGAATCAGTTTCAGTTTTATGTTCTATTTCTTCTTTAGTAATAAATATATCATCTTTTTTATCTATTATTTCTTCTTTATTAGTACTCTCATCTTTTATATTATCTGGATTAGATACTTTCTCTACAGGTTCGATATCATTTAATGATATCTCTAATATTGAGGCACCTACAGGTACTATATCTCCAGGATTTGCTAAAAATTGGGTTATTTTCCCAGTATTTGGTGCTAAGATATCAACACTGATCTTATCAGTATCAATTATTCCAACAACATCATCTTTCTGAACTTGTTCACCAAGTTTTTTAGACCATCGATTTAAAGTACCCTCTGTTATTGAATCACCCATTTGAGGTACTTTGACTATAATTTTGTCATTTGTTAAGTTAGAAAATAATTTCTTAGTACCATATAAATATCTATAGTATTTTACTCTATTATACAATCCTGTATTAAAAATAGTTACTGTTGATTCCCCACAATAAGGTCTATTTATTATCTTTGTAATCGTACATTTAGAAGCTGATGATAAAAAATTTAGTTTCATTGTTTAGTTTTTTTAATTATATTAACTAAGCTATTATTGCGCTCTTTGGAAAGGTTGTTTGTAGAGTTGCATCTCGCGCATGCATCAATGCAACTATTAATACGTACTACAATATATCTTAAGAATAACTCTAATTATAATACCCCCCATATAATTATAATAAGAATAAAGCGACTCTTTACTGTATGTTATTAAAGATTTAGCCTCTTAATCCTATATAATAGATAATCTATCAGACAATTACTCTAATTATTCCTTTTTAAAGATTACTTTTATTAGATAATAGTTTTATCAATCAGCCATATTTAGATACCCTAATATTATATATATATATATATATATAATGTATACATATATAGTCTTTTAATATATTTTAGTTGTAATAAAATTCTAAAATATATAATAATTCTAATATGGTAAAACAATTTCTTCAAATATGACATAATTTACTACATTATCACTTAAGAAATAATATAATATCCTAAATATATGTAATTTAGTATGGTACTTAAGTAATTTTGTAATAAACCAAACAAATTAGTTAAATATTCCATATAATATATAATAATTAATTAAATTAAAAAAAAATTTACTATATTAAAATTATATAATCTATTCAAAATCATCATTACCAGTTATATCTGCTAAGTCAAAATTTGTATTTGGCTCTTTATCATCATAGTATTGAAAATTCATATCAATAGCTAATAATACTTGTCCAATAGAATCTTCATCATCAGGTTTAAGACATACATAAGACACCATACTATAATCTTCTAGTAAATTTGCTAAAGCCATATTTAAAGGTTTTATATGGATTGGCATTGTTTTTTCTAAATCTGTGACAAGTGAAATGGCATCTTTCTGTAAAATTGTATATATTAATTGCTCATCTTCTACTAGATCACATTTTGTTAAGACATTGACATGAAATATTTCTAGTTGTACCATTGCACTCAAGGTAGCTACTGATCCTGCTACAAATTTACTTGCATCAGTTAAAAATCCAACATCTAGACAATAAATACCACAAACCCTAAAATCCCAATTTTTAAGTGATTCTATAAATATTTTCATTATTGGTAGGTGTGTAAATAGTTCAATTTGCCCAGGACAATCAAATAGAATATATTGATGATCCCCATAACCAATCTCAAGCTTTTCTTCAAGCCAATCTAAATTTTGAATAAAGTACTCCATTGCAAATATTTGTCCACCATTAGGTCCTAAATGAAGCTCTTCCATAACATCATCTAGACTAATTAATTCACGTATATCAATTGAACATGTATATCTAAAATCTTCAGCAGCTGGATCAAGGTTAACAATATGACAGGATCTACCTAATACTTCACAATGTTTTTGAATAATTGAACAATATGTAGATTTACCTGATCCAGCAGGACCTATAACTAGTTGGGCATATTTCATATTGAGAAATTTACGAATATAAATATACAATAAAAATGTTATACTTCAGGATATAAGAGTTACAAGTATAATGGAAATCACGGGACTATCTCGCGCTTAAATAAAATGTCTTTAAAAGATTAGTTAAGGAAGTCTAAATATTATTCTTTATATATATGACATATATTGACTATTCAAAGTGGGATAAAATTAAATTGGACAGTGATGATGAAGCTGATAAAAAATATACACAACCTTCTGTTACTCGTTTTGATAGTCCAAAGTTAATATCTTTAAAGGATGGTACATATTATATTGAAGAAAGTATAGAAAAGAATTTAACATCAAATTTGAAGTCAGATAGTTTGATATATCATGAAAAAACTTTAGAAATTGATGACTTACAGTATAATGGTGGGCATGATTTAGAAGGAAAGTACTATTGGAGTCAGACAAAGGTTGATATTAGGTTGTACGTTATAATTGATGATAAAATTGATTCAAAATATTTGGAAGTTATTATTAAAGAAGATAACATTACAATTAAATATAATGGCACTATTTTTTTTGAGAAAGAGTTTAGTTATAGTGTAGAAGATGATGAGGATATTATATTCTGGTCAGTTATTAAAGTAAAAGATAATAATACATGTAAACTTATTAGAATGATATGTATTGAACTTAAAAAGAAGAAACTTATACATGAAGTCAATATATGGTGGAGAAGCATGTTTAAAGATGGTGCTTCTATAGATATAAATGGTTTAGAAGATCGTAAAAATAACGAGACTCTTAATAAAAATAAGGAATTCTTAAAATCATGGAATGAAGCACATAGGAGATTTTTAGAGGGAATAAGAGAGAGGAAATCAAAGGGTGATTTACCTATATTACTTTAATAATAAATAATGATAGATGTATTTCTATTTTATAAGTAGAAATATAAAATCTTGTATTTGATAGTATATTGTTAATATTAATTATGATATGATATATAAAATATTAACTACTACTAGTAAATAAATGATGCTATAATAAATTTATTGCCTTGTTAACTATAGATGTATCATTTAACTATAATTATATTATTAATTATTGCTTATACACTGTATATGTAATTGTATACCTTATTCAATTAAAGATTTCTAATTAGAACAAATAGATTTATCAAATTTTTGAATAAGTATATCATACCACATAAGCGTTTTTTTATCGCTTGATGGTTTTGTTGACGATTTCTTTATAATAATTGATAAAGCAGAACTGAGACTGTCGAAATCTTGTCCCCATGATGAATTTAATTGATTTTTATTGCAAACACATAATATTTCAAATACACTACTAATATAACGAAGTTCTACAAATATTTGAAGTAATCCAAAGTAATTTAACTTATCCATAGCAATAATTTGACGACGATATGTATCTTCCATAATTTGAGCTATCTTATATACAATATTTGTAACTAGGCTATTTGTATCACTGTTTTTATAATTAGATATATTTGATTCCAAGGAAACTACAATACTTAATATATATTCACCTGATGTAACTACTGGAAGTGAAGGTTGGATACATAATTCCCTTATAAATTCTGTAATATCATTATCTGATAGGTCTGAATCATTTATAATTTTATGATTTAGTTGTTCATGAATACTAAAATCTAACTTTCCGGTCCATTGTTCTAAGTCACAATAATTTTCAAGAAGTGCCATTATAGGATATGAGCAACATTGTGCAATTATATCAATAAAATGACATTTAAATGCCCTTATTAAAGTTGAAGTATAAAATTGATCTATAACAATTCTTCCTAAGTCATTACTTCTCTTAGATATTAAATCAAAAATTATATTAGCAAGTCTTTCAGCTTCTACTACATTTACATCTCTAATTATATTAATATCTGCAATATTAATATCCATAGAAAGAGAGTTAACATATTGATCTATTTGTGAATTTTGATACTCAGATAATTGGTATATTTCCTGACAATGACTTAATAATTTCTTAAGTAAATTCCCAAATAATTGATCTATATCTAAAATACAAAAGTAGAATTTGATACATGCTTTCAATAGTTCTTTATCTAATAGATTAGGTGGACCATAATCCTGTAGATATTTCAATTTATATCCTAATTTTTTAACTAGATCAGAGTTGATAGATCTTATTGCATTTTGAAATGGATTCATACAACCTTGAATACAATAATGTAAATATTGCGTCAATATCTGATCTATAAAAACAATGAATTGTATTACACATCCATCCTTAGGGAATGGGGTAGGATAAATATTCTCATTCAAATTTGATTCTGAAAGAAAAGTCCTAGTTATTGTATCTACCAATATATTAAAATTTGCTAATACTTCCTCAGATAAAGAATATAAAGAATCTACTATATTATTACTTGTATTTAAAAAAGGACTTAATGATTGTGCTCCTCGAATTATTACCATTACATCACATTGAAATAGATAAAATAAAATATTTGTAGTTTTAAAAATAGTTTCATATATCTCATTAATAACCACAGAATTATTTTGGGATATATCTGTAACATCATTTAATAAATTGGAATTTGTACAATCTTGAATAATTTGCATTGATATTTCAAATGATTTATACATACGTTGACATACTGTACGAATATCATTAATTACAGATAATGTTAGCCCATCATATGTAATACTAAAAATATTATCTTGTTTCGTCTCAATACATGCTTCTAAACCATAATTAAAAGAAAAATTTGTAATAGTTTTAATTGGTTGGGTTATGAAGTTTATAAACTGTCTTAAACTGTGAATACACGTTTCAACCAAAGTACTATAAAATTTATGTAAAATTTTCATATAATTACCATCTTTAGTAAATAGATCCTTAAAAAAATTCCTTCTAGCTAAAATTAATTCATGAAACCATCGAAAATATTTAATCACTGCTTCATCTTCCCTAATACGATATATATCATGTCCAATTTCTGATATTTGTAAATCTTGTATAGGTTCAAAAATAATTAAATTATCCATACTTTTGTTTTTTGGAGAACTATATATATTCATATTATCATTTTCATCTTTTTCAAATTTCTGGGATCCATAGGATGTAAATGACCAAATTAGTTCCCATATTCTATGAGCTTGTGTAGTAAATATATTCATTAAAGCCTGTTCAAGCCTAGGATTTTGACCAAGATTCTCATATAATGATGATATAATAGTAATACTTTCAAAATTATCATATCTTATAAATTTTTCCTCAATATATTCATCAAAATAATGTAATATTTTATTCTCTAATGAATGAAATTTCTCAATTCTAATAAAGAATTCTGGGAGGCTCTCTAAACTACTAACTAGTAGTTTTAAAGAACAAAATTTATTAGTTATATCTTGTAATCCCTGCCCACCATTATTTATAATTAACTTTATATTTTCTTTATTCTTTAAGATCTCTTCTATATCAAGTAACATTGATTCAAATTTCGAACTGTTCCTAAGTAATTGTAAAGCTGTTTCTAGTCTTATTTTCTGATCATATAATATTAAAATATCATCAATAGACTCATTTTTATCATAAAATTCGCCACTACTTAAAATATCCTTTTTAAACTGATAAATTCGAGACTTTAAATTATCTAACATTGATATATTTTCATTATCAGATACTTTTATCTTTTCAAATGAGCTAGAAATAGTATCTAAATCCTTCTCAATATAATCATAGTATTTAGATAATAATTGATTGCAATTATTTGAAATATTTTTCAAAGTATCAGGTAATGAGATATTCCCATCTTTATTATGGAGTCTTATTGTATTATTTAACCAAGCTATTGCAGAGAACTCTGGATCTTGGAATTTCTTCAAATCAAATAAATCTTCTGGACACATTAATTGTTAATGTATTTATCAGTTTATTAATTTAAAGGTATCTTACCTAATATTAATATTATTAATACTCATAAGGTGCATACTGTTCAAGATTAAGAAAGCGCTGATTAGATGCACCATTAATAGGAGCGTGGCCATATTATTGGTACCTACTTTTGTAGTGATCTAAGCACAATGAATATCTATTATATTTTCTTTAATTCCTGTAACTTTGCTATTAAGGACTAAAAGAAATCATAATAATAAAGAAATTATCTCAATATACAAATAAACATGGATAATTTCTAAAAAAAAAAAAAAAAAAGAAATTAATAAGTAATTTAATAGAACTTACATGCTTATCTGATAAAAACTCTATATCATTGTTTCTATTATTTTGGAATTGTAACAAAAATGAAATGAGTTTTTCTTTATTAATGTATAGTATCTTATGAATGTTTTTTGATTTATTTGGATTGGCTACAAATAATTTGAATAGATGAAATGATTCAAAAGATATTGAAGAAAGTTTTGATATTAGTAATATCATAAATACTTTCAAGTATTTGTAATTAGATGCAAATTTAGTCATTATTTTTGACATCTCGGGTACGGATAATAATTGATTTAGTAATCTTAATCCTTGTCTTTTCGGAACATAGTCTGGTGACTGTATTAAATAACCAAAATAATAAGAAAAAAATTTATCTTGATTTGTTGTAATAAATTCATTCGTTAAATGTGGTGAAATAAATAGATAACACCGTAATGTTGATATTGAATCTGATGCAATGTCAAAACAATTACTACCAGATAATTTGATTAATCTATAAAATATCTGATTATTATAAATAATAGATTTTAATATATAGAAAGCTTTATTACGGAATATATTTAAAGGAATAAATTTCAAACTTGTTTTTATTATCTTTTTATCTTTTATTTCGGGACTTTGTACTATACCAAGTAATGATGACAAATCACGCATAATTTCTCCTATCTTATATGAAATAGATACATATTTATAATGGTGTAATAATATGGAATATAAATCTTCACAATGATCTTCTAACCATCTGAGGAGTAATAATTTTTCATCTTCAGAAAAATCCTTTATATATAAGTACTTGTTATCCTGTAATTCCATTTTATTACTATCTAAGGTTTCTTCATTAACATTAGATTTTACCTGAGAATCATTATTGAATATTTTACAAGCTTCATCAAATCTATTATATTGATTACTATATTCTATATCTTGTAATTCATTATCAAGTGCAATGTTTCTAGATTCCTTATTATTATCACTAAATATTGCAGAAATAAATTTAATATGATCATCCTCATCTATTATAATTGATGATCTATTTAATTTTGATTCACAATTTATTACTTCTTTATTATTAATATCTTTATTTAATGTATCTATTTCTGATACAAATGATCTAAATTGGCAATTTCTAATTTCACTGACCACTAATATAGATATTATATTTAATATTATAGTTTGTTCTGCAACCGATAAATAACCAAGGACTGTTATAAGATTTAAAATTATATCATTAGAGTGTAATATTTCTGATAATTTATATAAATAATTCATCATTTCTTTTTCATAATGAAGGTCTTCAGCATTTAAATTTAGGCAAATATCTATAAACCTTTTTTCAAATTCTTCTAAAGTTTTATTAAGTATTCTCCTTAAATTATCTAAGTGTATTTCTATTTTAGATTCAATATTTCTAGATTCAGCTATAGAACGGATAGTATTATCTTTAACATAATGTTTGATAAATTTTTCTCTATGTTCATTATCCAGTCTATTTATTTCATTATTAATTACAATATACTGGGAGGTTATCTTAAGTATTTCAGTATTTATTATATTGCATGTCTCTGAGAAAATATGTTGGTCTTTATTAGATTGGGTCATATAATTACTTGATATATCTTGTTCATTCCTATTAAATATTTTAGATATTAGCCAGCTAAACATTTTTAATCTTTTAATACATCACTAACTTTATGGAGTAATGTAATAGTTACAAATAATAATAAATAGATTCACTTTTTTGAAGGCAGTTTCTGCAAAAGCGGGGTTATTTATAATAATTTAATAAATAACATATATAAAACTATTCCAAAGTCATAGGGAATTAGATAATATTAAACAAGCTGTATAACCTTCTAAAATATTAATGAATATATCTTTAAAGTTACATTTTCAGCTGTTAGTATAATTAATTAATTATTTGGTATACATTCTAATTATTAGATTAGAGATTTGATAATAAAAAGATTACTGTAATATTTTATTTAATCTAAACTTGTAATATTAGAATTAGGTCCTGTTAAAAAAAAGTGAACAATTATTGCAAATTTCTAGATATAATATATAATATTTTATCAAAATAAAGAGGTATTTATAATTTAAAAGGTTATATATGTTGTTTATTCTGATAGTGTATAATTACCTATAAATGACATTATTAGTGCTCTAAAGCAAATTTTATACTTGAATAAAAAGTGGATAATCATGTTGTGAATTTCTATATATGAAATTTGTTATTGATGAGTATTTTAATATGAAAAAGACTAAATATAAATACTTCAATATCTCTACAGATTTATTTGAAAATTGTGATTATAATAGTATGACTTCTGAACTTAATGATTTATCTATAAAAAGAAATTAATACAGTATCTTCAACTATTTTCATATAAGGTCAAAATTTCCAAATAAATTCAATTATATTGAATGAAATAAAAAACAAGTATAATCTTTAATCAATTCTAAAGAAAAAAGTCTTAGGTATTAATATTTGAAATTGCTCATAAATAATTACAAATAATTATATAGTTTATATTATTAGAATATAGTTAAAGATGAAGAAATCCAACTTGTTACTTATATTCTTATATATGATTGTGTACTTTTTCTTTACTTTTGAATATTTTGAATACTTTAATAAATAAAGATGAATAAACAAATATTCAGTTGATGATATTCCAAAATTTATTCTTCTCAATTTAGTAATCTAATATAATATTATGTAACTTTTATATTATAACTAACCATATATTTAAAGGATCAATATATTATTTATAATCTAAAATATTTATTAATTTCTTAAAAATCTCTTTCAATACCTTTAAGAATTTTCATTCTATATGGTCAATTTGAATATTATGGTTGTAGTTAATTTCCGATTTAATTTCATCGGAAAGATGAATTTTTTGAGCGTGATATAATAGTATTTTACCACATGTAATGTCATCAAAACCAACTGATATTCTTAATGACTTAAAAAACTGAATTATATTTTCCATTGATTGGTCTATCAAAGCTGATTCAATAGCTTTAAGTAAAGCAATCGCAATTGAAAGTAATGAATGAATTCCATGAGCAATGATATGATCCCACAAAATAACAACTGTTTTTAATGGTAATGCAGATACAAATAGAGTTAGAAACCATGGATGTAGATATATAGCATCAATAATACCTTCTTTTTGGAAATGTCTCCAAAGTTTTGGGATATTTAAAGCAAATAAATTATTAAATACTTTAATATATTTATTTAAAAGTGGGAATTTTTCTCTATAAAATCCTGCTAGACCATATTTTTCTAAGATAATAATTAAAACAAAAAAACTCCCTTGTTCATCGAAATTACTAGTAATAAGTAATACTGCAGCAACAAAATTCATTCCTTGGCAATATCCTACATCAGGTATATGATTAGCCACTGCATTAAGTACCCTAAATAAACACTCTTGAGGTTCATGATCTTTAAATATATTCAATTCTGGAAAAGTTCGAGGTACGTCAATACTAATTAGTGGTGAATATTTATTTGGAACACCTGCTGCATATTCATAATAGTCTCTATACCATTGATTACATTGACTAAGTGGTTTGCCAATCTTACTAGTAGTAAACATATCAATATAGAATTTTGCGCTAGAAATACTTACATATATAAATTCACTATATATACCATCATTAGGGATAATATCTAAGAAAATTGTCCATATTAGCCATCTATACTTTTGAGGAGTTCCACGAGAAAGCCTACGTTTAAAAGTTTTATAATGGTGCTTTACAAAATATTGCAAGCCCTTATTATCCATTTTTTTCCATTTAGCAAAGCTTTTGCTGTTGTAAACTTCAGGAGCATCTGCTAAAAGTTCCTCACATTCTTTTATTGCCAAATCCATCCTAAAAAAGTATACTATCTCCTCTGAGTGAAAGTACACTTGCCAGTATTCCCAGCTTCTTTATAGTATACTGTTACTCATTTACAAAAATAGATAAAAATCTTCATAACTAATGTTAAACAGAAAGTTCATGAAGTCGCAATAGCGCTAGCGCCATATTCATGCAAATATGTGGGCCAGTATACTTTGTTGACTCTAATGTAATTAATTTTTTGTTTGATAACCAAAGGAATTTGGCTACTTTAAACAATAATTAGGATATATTTAAAAGCTTAAAGGTGTATATATGAAGCCAAATAGGACGAAATTTAATGTATCTGATGAAAATGGTGTAAATGTAAAAGTTATTGTCCGATGTCGTCCTTCGACTGAACAAGAAAAAAAAGATCCAAGTAACTTCAATATACTACAAACAAGACCAGAAACAAAAGAAATAGTAGTCTCACAGCAAGGTTTGGGGCGTAAAATAGATTCTTATTCTAGTAAAGTATTCTCCTTTGATGGGGTATGCGGTGCGTATACTTCTCAGAAGGAACTTTTTAAGCAATACATTGTTCCAATTGTTGATGAAGCACTTTTAGGGTTTAATTGTACAATATTTGCATATGGACAAACTGGGACTGGCAAGACTTATACAATGGAAGGTGATATGAAGGAGTACTTAGAGATATCTAACATTTCTTTATCTGATCATGCTGGTATAATACCAAGAGCAGTTCAACTCATATTTGAGAGATTAGAGAGCCAGTATACTGAATATGGTGTACGTGTATCTTATTTAGAGATTTATAATGAGGAACTATCTGACTTACTGAGTGATGAAAAGGTTTCACTCAAAATATACGATGACACTTCAGGAAAGAGAGGTCTAAATGTGGATAAATTAGAAGAGATGCCAGTGAATAAAGCTCAAGATATATTTAATATTTTATCAACAGCAGTAAGGAAAAGAAGAACAGCTGAGACGTTACTTAATAAATGTTCATCACGGAGCCATTGTATTTTCACAATAACTATACATACAAAGGAAACCAATATTGAAGGTGAAGATGTATTAAAAGTGGGTAAACTTAATTTGGTAGATCTAGCTGGTTCAGAAAATATTCAGAGAAGTGGTGCGAATGCAATTAAAGATCGTGCAAAAGAAGCAGGTATGATAAACCAAAGTTTACTTACATTAGGTCGTGTAATTAATGCTCTTGTTGATCATTCAAGCTATGTTCCATATAGAGATTCAAAACTAACAAGATTATTGCAAGATAGCTTGGGTGGACGCACAAAAACTTGTATTATAGCGACAGTTACATCATCTTCATTGTATCTTGAAGAAACATTGAATACACTCGATTATGCTCATAGAGCAAAAAATATTAAAAATATGCCTGTAGTAAATCAAAAGATGACTAAAAAGGTGATGATACGTGAAATGAATTGTGAAATTGAAAGACTTAAATTTGAATTACAGGCAAATCGTGAAAAAAATGGAGTATATTTACCTCTAGCTCAGTATACTGAGATGGAATGCAAGATTAATAGTCAAGCAAATGAAATATCAGAATTAGAAGGAGCATTACGAAGTCAAGCTGAGGTATTAAAACAAATCGAGACTAATTTAGAAACTATGACACAGGAACTAGATGATAGAAATGATCGGATAAATGCAGGTGATTATGCATCATTTCAAATTAAAAAACATGCTTTATTATATAATGAGAAATGCGATATTTTATATTCCTTACTAATGGAGTCTATTAAGAATATGTCCAAGCTTCAAAAAAAAATTATTCAATATCAAGAATATACTGGTGATATGTCAACTCAAATGCAGCTTTTACATGAAAGTATTACAAAAAATATACACGATATTTGTTTTAAAACAAGCAATTCATTTTATAAAATAGCTCATGAAATGAAGAATGGATTATTAAAGCAGTGGTTACAAAGGAGTAGTTTGGCAATAGAGGAAATTGAGAATATTGTAAAAACAGGTAAAGCATTGTGTCAAAATGTAACTTCTATACTAGATGATACATTGAATAGATCCTTAAATTCTGAAATATCAGCTGGAATTAGTAGTATTAAACAAACTGTATTAGATAAAATATATGGTGAAACATGCAGAATGACAACTTTATTAGAAGGAGATATAAACAAGCAGTTAACTGAATGTACTAATATAGCTGATGAAACAATTCTTTTTGAAGAGAGTGGGTTGATGGAGTTTAAAAAATTAAATGAAGAATATATTACTAAACTTTCAGAGTATGAAAGAGACATTCAGAAACACGATGAAAATATTCAAGTATTATTTAATCAAAAGTTAAATTTAATTAATGAAATTACAAATAAGAACTTGGAAAGTCTTGATAATAGAGTCAAGGATCAAATATCAAATCTTAAATCAAAAGCTAATATACTGAAGCAACAATTCAATCAATTCGTAGATTCATTTGTTGATGAGGCTACTAATGACTTAGTTACAACTACCAAAACAATATTTGAAGATATCAATTGCACACGAGATTCTACTATAGATAACTTGAAGCAGACTTTAAATGAGCATAAGATTTTTATGTGTGGAACACAAAGTTACCAAAAAATTTTGCATGAAATTCAAGATAACTTTATCAAAAAAGTTCAGAGTGAAAATCAGTTACATATGGAGAAGATAGCTGAAATTAAAAAAAGTATTGGAAACATTTCCTCACATGCCGGAATTGGTTTTCAACATATAATTTCAACAAATAATGAAGAATTTCAGAAGGGCACTTCTTTATTGCAAAAAATATCCACCTTATCTCAATCAAGTATAAAGAATGCAATTCAAGATATAAATTCTGTAATATCGATCCAATATAATTCATATGAAGAACTTTCATCATGCATATCAAATTATTTTAATTATTATCATAATGAATATTTAAGAGATACAAATATAACTATTGATGATATATTGGATGAGTTAGGAGCTATTCATAATATTGGAGACTCAACTGAAAATCACAGGGATACAATAATTAGGCGTTTGCAAAATAACATGGATAGTATGGGAAAATTACTTAAACGAGAACTCATACCTAGTGGATTAACTCCTAATAAAAATATGACTATTGCAATTCCAAAAATTGTATCTAGATGTTTATCTCCAAGTAAATATATTAACTATTATAGACAGACAGTACCAAGACCACCTTTTAACTTAGATCAAGTTCAAAGGATTACTGATCCTTTTTTCGAAAAACCTGCAGATTATTTAGAAGGTGATACTCAAGTTATAAGTTTGTTGGAATATATTAATAATGACGTGTCAACATCATCTAATACTTCAATTCCTTTAAATTCAACTGATATTACTCCCAATAGTATTGTTAGTAAAAGTACAACAAATAGAAGTACTCCAGTAATTGATATGTTACCACCTCCAATTAAAATGCCCAGTGAACCAAACTATTTAGATGAAAATGTAATTATTGAGGAAAATTTCAACTTAATGGATTTGAATATACAATCTCCAATTAGTGTATCACCAATATCTGTACCTATTTCATCCATTCCCAAACCAAAAAATACAAGAAGAGTAATCACTAATAAGAAGATAAATAAGTAATAATCTGAGGTTTCAAGGCATATATCTTCTACTAGGAGAATTCTCTCCCCAACCAAATATTCAATTAATTGTATATTTTAATTCACTACAAAGGAAAAGAAATGTGAATTAGTGGAAATTAGCAAGAAAATAATGAAGTTAGCACAAAATAGTTACAATAATTGATTATTCTAAACAGATGGTCTTCTTTCATTAGGAGCATCTAGAGATTTAGCCTTATTAAACTTTTGTAATTCATTTTCCAGTGCATCTTTACCTCCTAATAGTAATCCCATAGGGATTCTATGGCCAGGTGTTACACCTTTTAACTTAACAATTAGCTCATTTTGTTGTCTTATTGTTGAGAATACTCTCATAATTCTTGCAACACTTTGAACTTTCTTTCGCAAAGTATCTGCTCGTTCCCTACTAATACTGGAAGATGTACCAGATGGGCGTACAGTATGACTAGTTACTGTTGAGTCTTCAGTTAGTTTATTCTGATCATTTAGACAAAATATATCTATAACTTTTCGTACATCTTCAGGGACATCTTCATCTTCAATATTTTCTGTATCAGTAGAAGCTGCTACAGGTTGAAGAATTGCATATAACATCTCTGTTACTTTTTCTGATACAAATGGTAAAGACCAAGAAAAAATATCTAGAAAGTTAGGTAAATGATATGGATGAGGTGAAAAGTTGAATTGTTGAATATTCAAAGTATTGTTCTCAAACTTTAATATTGCACCTTTATTGTTATATACGTCACAATAGTTGGGAGCACTAAAAATCGTAATTACTGAAGGAAATCTGGTTTTCATATTTGGATTATGCATTTTAAACCCTTCAAGCTGTGCTTCATGTGCTCGTACTATAGACAACAGACCATTTTGATCCAGAAACTTGTTACTAGCTTGTGCAGCGAAGAAAAATGAACAGCCTCTAACATCATTTATAACAAATGGCTCAGGAGAAGATACTGTATTATCCTTATCATCAAATGGATCTGCCCATAAAATATCACAATATAAACCAGATCTAGGAGGCTCTTGAAATCTATTGATTGAAAGAATTTGATCTATAGATTTTAACTCAGGAGAGAGACCTCCATGTACACAAAAGAACTTTCCATTCACTACAGCAGCTATAGGAAATGTATCAAATGAGTCCATAAAATAGTGATGAATAGTAATATCATATTTATATTCGCATTCATCTCTGAAATTAAAAAAAGCCGTCATTTGTCTACACTCGTGATTTCCACGCAACATAAAGAAACTATCAGGATAATTAAGTTTTAAACAAAATAACAAAAGTAAAACTTCGACAGAAAATGAACCACGATCAACATAATCGCCAAGAAAAAGATATTGAGTTTTCTCAGGATCTCCTCCAACGTCCAATAATTTAACTAAGTCATAAAATTGACCATGGACATCTCCTACTACTGTAATGGGATCTCTAAGGCGTAGTAAGTTGGATTCACTCCCGGTAATAACTGAAACACGTCTTATTATCTCAATTACATCATCCTTATGAACTCTTCCCTCACGCAATAAATGTAGCTTCAATGTTTTCCAATCAGGTTTTCCCTCAAGGCCCTCAGGAAATAAAAGTTCTCTGGACAGTGGTAGTGGAGGAGGGGGTTCCACATCTTTAACAACACGGTCATTTAATGGATCTTTTAAAGGTTGCATCAAATTAATTCAACCAGTCCAAAACCTCAGACCTTAAATGTTTACATGAAAATATTCAAAATCGTTCCAGTATTTACTAGGAAAAATTTCATACAATAAGCGCCAACACTGGGCGCTGCAGCCACACTAGGTCTCCTAGAATTTTGGATAAGGAAGACATCAAGAGAGTATAGTAATTCAAAGTAAAGCACAATCTCTTTAGAGGACTCACTCATTAGAAATTTTATTAAATATCTAATACTCACTAGAAGTGATAAACTTCTGATGTTCAAATATGCCTATAATCTAGTATAGCTTATATTGCTAAGTATGATAATTAAGCATAAGTAGAAGTTGCCACATGTATACATAATTCTAACTATCATTTACACCTATTCATCTACAGGAATATGAATATTTGCAGCTTCTGGGAATATTCTTGATAGTGGCCCACGGCAACTAATGTATTTGCAACCTACACCATCAGGTATTATCCTCCCCTCAGCTTGATGTCTTAAGTATTCCTCCTTTGTAAACTTTGTAAAACCCCATTTGTCTGATACAACAACCTTCTGTCTTCCTGGAAACTTGTACTTTGCTCTCCTTAATGCCATAACTGCAGTTTGTGCCTTATCTTCCTTGCACCTAATTGACATTAATATCTGTCCAATATGTACACGAGCTGCTGTACCAGTCGGTTTGCCAAAAGCACCTCTCATACCTGTCTGGAGCCTATCGGCACCAGCACATGAAAGCATTTTATTAATTCTTAATACGTGGAATGGATGCACACGAATACGTAAGTGAAAATTATCTTTACCACAATACTTGATCATATACTTATTTGCTGAAATACGAGCTGCTTCCAAAGCTTCACTTGAAATTTGTTCATATTCATCAGATACTAAGTGTACAACAGCAGGGAACATATCACATTCAGCTTTCTTTCGTCCAACATCATATATTCTAATCTTAGGATCAGGTACACCACGGCAGAAGCGAGATTTTGGGTATGGCTTGCCTTTGCAATAACGGTAGCATCTAGCTGGACGACGAGCCATTTATTATTAAAACTTTTAAATTAGAGAATTATAACAAATAGTCTCAGTAATTCTGCAAAAATGTTTAATTAGCAGATTTATAGAACCCCTTCGGGACAGTATAAACATCATCTCTGCTAATAATATTAGTAAAGACGAGACAATAAGAGAGGCAGTACCGCCTAATATAGCAATAAGTGTAATTAAGACAAAGTGGATAGTCCTGTCTTTAGATAGTGGACTAGGTGTAATAAAATTAATGCGACAAACTGGAATGCCATATAACTCAATTTTATTTTACCGGTTTCCATTCCTTTTTATTTTAAGAAGGGTTTAGGAAGACTATAGGAAATTTTTTGTTTGAAATCTTATTTAGTAATATTTCAATACGTTTCTAAGTACTAAATGTCTACTGTTGCGGTAAGGATATTGTAAACGCACTTTCGATGAACCCTTAGCACATTAAATATATATGTAGAGACGTAGGATTGTCAGTGATATTAATAAAGTCAGAAAGGGATCCTATTCAGGCATTTTTGCAATGCCATTCGTGGAAAACATGATGTTCTGTCATGCAATTATAAATGGACCTGAGGGCACTGTTTGGGAAAGTGGTATGTTTTAGATTTGTAATGCAAAGTCTTTATATGTTAACTAAGTAATTTTATATTTCTAACTTTAAATATTACAATTAATATTTAGGAACCTTTCATTTAATAATTCACTTTACGGAGGAATATCCAACTAAATCTCCAGAAGTGAGATTTTTAAGTCGTATATACCACCCTAATATTTATCCAGATGGTCGTATATGCTTAGATATATTGCAAAATCAGTGGAGTGCATTATTTGATATATCTTCAATTCTAACCTCTATTCAGTCACTTCTTAATGATCCCAATCCAAACTCACCAGCAAATATAGAAGCTTCTGAAACCTTCCTTAAAAACCCAAATTATTATAATAGTATTGTACTTAAATGTGTAGAAGATAGTTGGTGTTGTCCTGATTACACTTTACCAAAAGATGTATAAAATTAATGTGATTACTCCGTTATCTCCAGTTTATATTAGGCAAATGTTTAGATTTTATAATATACTTAACTTCTCCCATTGATTGTACGCATTTGAAAGTATCAAAGATTCAATATGTCTGTGTAAACTTTCAGGTATTACAATGTAACTTGGATTGTTTAAACCTATATCAGATAAAATTAAGTGGGATTTAATCTCACGTAATTTATATTTACAATAAGGGTATTGTTTCTGCATAGAATATAGCAGAGATTTATAAAGACATGACCATAAATTTGTAATCATAATTGGTTTTATCGGGGAAGATATCATACTTTTATCTATACCAAATCCCTTATTTCCACCTAAAGATTTACCTTTACCTTTACCTTTATCTAGAGAACCAGGGAAGTTATCATTTGTATTATCCATCATAGAAAGTTCTTCTTCATAAAGAACAGACTTTACAAACTGCTTCACATATACACTCAGTAATTGATACATTGTTTTAGCAGCATTGTCACTAAAAAGTGTAGTTTTCATTTTCTTTGTTGAGGAAAGTAACAAATAACTTTCAGTAAAAAAATCTCCACCACCTTTAAAGGTCTTATAAGTATATTCCTTAATAATAATATTATTAGAATAAAGTTCCAATTTTCCTATCCATTTAGAAATGTCATTTGTATTATTTGAAGATAGTTTATTTGATATCTCAGGTATATCTATATTTAAGTAATTATTTGAAGGACCTGTTAAATCAACACCAACAATCGCAGGTACATTTCGTTTAAGTACATGGTTCAATATTTGCAGAAGTATATCCTCTTTAGCTTGCATGTTGTAATATCCTCCATGACGGCTTATTGTTTTTTTAGTATTATGCATATAAGATGTAGGTCCGGATGAAGTAATATTTTGATTAGTCATATCTTGCGATATCCCCACAGCTTGATTTGACAGAGTAGTGTCACTGATATATTGGTTACCATTCTTTGTAATAGTAGACGAGTAGTGAGATAAATATGGATATACAGTATTCTCTACCATTTCAACCAACTGAATATTTTTTAATAAATGCATTAAATGAAGTCTAAAATTATTTGGAGTGATATTGTTATTTAATACCGAAGAAACCAGATAAAGAGCTTTATCCAGGCTTTCCCCAGGTAAAATACGAGCCAATATTTCCCTTAATGAATTATTAATATGAAATATATTTGTGTTTACACTATATACAGTATTGTTACTAGAATTATTAGGATAATTGTTTGTCAAATGATTAACCTGATTAATAACATGGTTGCTAGTACTATTTCTAATAACATTACTAGAATTATTTAAATTGGATTGAATCTTACAACCTTCACTTCTGTAATTCATGCTTGCATAATTAGTGCCACAATTTCTTAAGTTATCTCCATCTTCCATACTTTAATTTAGAGGGTAAATTACTTTCTCAAACCTGTTTAATATAGTAAAAACTAATGCAGCGCAATAGCGCGATTATTTCCATATTGTTATTTTAAGAAGATTTGTAATACCTAAACATCATAGCAAAAATTAGAAAAATAATACATATTGCCATCTTTCTGTGTAATCTCGCTTATAAGCTTAATAAATGGATGATAAATGTAAATTTAGTAAAATACTGATTAGTTATGCTCTGTATAACTATTTGGGTCCTGTCTTTGATTTTCCACTGTTTTCAAGACTTTATCAATATCAATAACTTCATCTGTTCCACACAAACTGGTTATCCAAGTTTCTGCACTGACTTGATCTAATTTAGCTTTCCAAACCATTAGCAAATCACGAACAGCTTTTCTTGTAACCTGACTCTTATTCACTGTCCACTCATTATAAAATTGTATCAGATATTTTACTGTCTTTTCTGGATATTCACATCCTTCGCAAACCTTGTTAGCAGCCTCTATAGTCAGCTGAGAACCATAAGTAGCTTTCAAAGCTTCTAGAAGATCAATAGATGGTAAAAAAGTCTCAGTATCTGCTAAATCTCTAATAGTCATAGATATTTGGCTTACTAATACTTTTTCAGAACTATCTTTACAAGGTGTTTTCGACTTAATATTTGTATTGATCATAGGCTTATCACTTGCTTCTACATTTATTAAATTTGTAAGAAATTCAGTATAATTAAATCTATCACCCAGTGAAAATTTAGACAGAATTGCTTCTGCTTCTTCACGAGTTAAAATATCACCACCGATTGTTGTTAACCATAAAAATTGTTTCTTTGTAATCATACCATCCCCTTTTGAATCATAGTTCCTAAAGAAGGATGCCATATAATCTACGTGGTCTTCAGGATGAGTAATTGTCAGAGTCCATTTAACAAAATCATCTAATGTAACTTTACCACCTGTAGTACTCTCTAATTTCTCAATGTCTTGATTAGAAGGGGAAAGCCCTATTCTATGAACAAGGTGACTAGCTTGCTTAATGTTACAGATACCTCCTGATGCCACTTCACTAAACATCTCATTTATTAAATTTTCTTCTTTTTCTTCAATAACAGCATCAAAAACTTCAGATTCTACATCACTTTGCTCTTGAAATTTGGGTTCTGTATCATCTGAGTTAGATTGGGTCTCATCGTCATCTGAATAGTATCCTACAAATACTCCGTATTCAATACGCTCCGATTTCTTCAAGTCCCTCATAACCTCTCCACAACCTCTTGAGCATACTCCACAGCCCAAAGATTCAAAAAAATTTATCATCGACTATTTTCTCAGCTCAGAGTAATTCTTCTTTAAGTGTTACCTATAGACTAAATGAATACCTCTTGTCTGTCAATCTAGACAAAACATGCAGCTTTTTTAGCGCTTCATTATTCCCGCTTATATATATGCGCATTTTTTTTCTTTGAGATTACTAAAACTTTGTGAGGGAGGACACATCATTTATTATCAACTATAAGAAGTGATTCTAAGAAATTTCTTAAGATTATCAGCCAATTTTTATTATAACTAATAGTCAGAATGAAGTTGGTAAGCAAATATTTTATATATATAAATATTCACTACTTTCTAATAAAGTCTGAAATTTGTTCATTTTCTTCTTATTTCTATCATAATCATTAGAGTAGAGGTCTCATAGAAGCTTCTTTTAAAGATTCATCTGTAAGTAAATGGATATCTAACTAATTACTAGAAACAGATACAATACTTAATTACTTCAATATTTCATGTAGGGAGGAGGTACATCTATAATTAGTAAGAAAGCTGGAGAAATAGCTAGAAGTATGGTAGGATTCATTCGATACTCCTATATATATAGTTTTAATTTTTTTTCGTTCCAAATTTAACAGGGATTAGCACCTTCTGAGGCAGAAGTTACCCATTTTGTAAAGTCAGTTGGTCCCCAATGTGACTTGAATTCATTTGTGCGATTCTGTGATTCTATTAGCCATCCTGAAGATACCTATGAAAATCTAGTTCAATTTTTTCTTCTATATGATATAAAAGTAAGCTAAGACAATTCTTTAGTTTTTATTTCTCAATTTCAACTATCTTTAATAATATCCAGAATACGAAAACTATTACGAAAAAGTTGTTTACTTCATTATTTGCAAATACTGGGGAATGTTTACAAGAAAAGGATATAGAAGATCTACTAGTGTAAGTAATTATCTTTATTGATTCCAAATGATTATATTACTAAATATTTTATATTCAGTGACTTTGCATCACCCGATGGAAACTTTGATTATGACAAGTTCTTGAAAGAGTAAGTTCAAATATTGGTTGACCAATTACTGTATAGGATAGTTCATATATTGTACAACGAAATTTTTATTAGGATATTATGAATATTTAATGAAATAGATAATTCAAAAGTAGCTAGGAGATTTTACATAACAATGTATGATATCTGAAAAGTACTATATATAATATAATAGATTAAACATTAGGGGTTTATTAGAAAAAAAAAATTGTATAATTAATTTTTGACTTTTTTTTGATTCACTAATTTTTTTCATTAGATTGTGTGTAGCCTAGAGTGTGCACCATGACTAGTGTGTAGAAGAAGCCTTAAGGAAATTTAAAGAATTAAGATTCCAAAAAGAATATGGAGAAAGATAGGGGCTCTAACAAGGCTAAGATATCATTAAATTCTATTTATTTGATTTATATTCTTAATTATTATGTTGTTACCTAAAAACCTGCAGGGTAAAGCCTTATTGGGGGCTAAGGGTCCTCCAAAGATGAAAAATAGTGGTCCTCTTCTTAAATTAGCATCTAATTCAGCTAAAGTTGCTAAACCCACATTATCAACTCAAAAAGTAGATTTAAGCTTATCAGGTAAATCTTCTATAGTTTCAAAAGAAAATATACCCTTGAAACCTTTTGTTAAGGGATCTTTACTTGGAAAAAAATTGCCAAGAGAAAATTCAGCAACTTTAAAATTAGATCCAAAAATATCGAATAGAGATCCATTAAATCCGAAATTAAGTGGTAGTGCATCATTAGAAAAAAATCTAGAAACCAAGCCTAGTAGTGAAGTGCAGAAAGTTTCTATGTCTAGTACAAACATACTTCCGGGATATAATGATAGTAGCACACTATTGGAAGGAACTTTCCCATTTGATATTGGTCCAGCTCATAAGCTGATTTTTCAGGACAAAGTTCAAACTAATATGCCGTCAAATGATGCCTGGCAAAGTTTGAATATTTTAAAAAGAGAACAGGAAATGTTTCAGTTACATGTTAGCGTGTTGGACCCAAAATTATCAGAATCTGCAGAGCATTCACTAGCAGCTTTGAGCCAAAGTTTTAAGGAGCAACTAGCAGTAAGACATTTCACATTGACAACTGCTGAAAAAAACAATCTTTTGTTTGGAAAAGCATCTAAGGCACGACCGCAAACAGTTAGTGAAAAATTTGGAACAATGAGTGATTCTCTTTTACTATTACAACGTCTTGAAGATACAAGAAGTGAAGGGGAGATACATGAAATACAAAGGATATCTCGAAGGTTACGAACCTCAGCTATAGATTCATTTATGAAGTCTCAATATGCAGATGCTCTTCTAAAGGCTCTTCATTGTTATGAATTATGTAGAGCATTCCTGTCAAAGTTATTGGGACACCCATTAGAAGGCGTAATGGTTGTAGAATTGATTATAATTAGTAAATGTTGTGGTTTGGCAGGTGATTTAGCTAAAGGAGAAGTATACCTACGTGAATTACGATATCTTGTTGAGAATACAATAATGGTTGTGGCCAATGACATAAATAATGTAAATAATACTAAATCTATATCTGGAAATCCTCCAAATAATGTTACTGGTGTTTCTACACAATTATTGAGTGGAATGTCTGGTAATAATGCTTCAGTTCAAGGTCCTACTATATCATGTGAACCATCTGTATTATGTAGTCTTGTGTTAACTTTGGCAGATTTATGTAGTTTGTATAGAGATCATAATTCTGCGAAATTTTATTTTGAGAAATATTTGCTTCTAATGTATCAGATTTATGGTTCTGAAGATTTGGTGATGAGTGATGCCTATTTAACCGTAGCTAGCTACTATTTTAGAATTAAAGATTTCGATACATGTAAAAAACACATTTTAGCTTGTTTGGAGATCAGAATAGATATTCTTGGTGATCATGATAAAGTTCCACCCCATCCAAGAGTTGCTGATTGCTATTCAAATTTAGGACTTATATGTCGACTTACTGGTGAAATTAAACTTGCAATGCAATATGTTATGGTTGCATTAGATATGCAAATGAGGATAAATCGCAAAAGAGATTGTTTAGCTGTTCAAGATTGTATGTTGGCTTTAGGGTGTATTTTTCATCAAGCTGGAAATTTTAGATATGCTTTAGAAATATACAATGAAGTATATAGATTCCGTAGAGAATATCTTGGTTTTATGCATACAGATACTCGATTTGTATATCACCTTATTAGGCAGTTAGATGCTGATACACAGGTATATATATCTGAAAATTCCCAGAGTTATACTAGTTTAAATATGAAACAAGATATATTTGAACAAGCTGATGGAGAATTTCAGAATCCTATTTCATTAGCTGAAAATAGGTTAAGACATATAGTTAAAGAGGCAATTGGAAGAGCCCAGAAATTATCTTCAATAATGTATGAAGAGTCAGCACTTTTGGCAAGTTCTCTAGCACCTAGTATAGATCAATTTCGATATAAGCAATTGGAAACATTTCTCTATGATACAAAATATAAAAAGAGCTTAAAAAGTCAATCACTTTTTGATAAGAAACAGACATCACAAATTATGTCTGTTTCACGTATTCGTGCTTTATATGGAGAAACTTTCCAAAGTATGACTGTTAACTCAACGGTGATACTCCCTCATTTGCAAATAAGAATTACAGGTCCCGATTATTTAGCTGTTTCAACGATGCTTGCATTACCACCATTTGCAAAAGGAAGACGTAGGAGGCTTCCAATAGTCAATATACCAAAACTGCAAAAGGGGTTTGCTGTTATGGGAGAACAAGGTGTAACAATGACTCTAAATGAAGATGTAATTCCTATTCTGAGGGAGTGGGAAATACCTGAACCCTATGTTACCTTAGAAGGAAAAGTTACTATAGAGGAACAGAAAAATGCTAATATAAAAGTCCCCTATTTGTTACCTTTGGTTGACTCCCAAGGGACAAATGATATAAAAGCTTATTATAAAGAGACAATTTGGGTACCAAATCCAGTATATCCTCTATATGTAACTCGTATATTAGAAGAATCTGATCATATTTCAGATATTAATGATTTGAAAAATTCAACAGCTTTAAATCATTCAACTAATTCAGTTACATCAAGACTTGCAAAGTATTCTATGCCTTTACCCAGTAATACTGAGCTTGAAAATATTACTGGCATAAGACCTGGAATTGAAGATACAGACTCTGGACGTTTACCTTGTGTTGAATGTATCAATAGTCAAGGTAAAATAATTTTAAAGTTACCTTACTCACTAAGCTTAGAATCATTTGCATGTGCCTCTACAAGATTAACTTTAATGGCTGCAAATCAATGGAATTTACCACTCCAGCATTCTAATCAAACTTCTCCTGTTGTTCCAGGATCAGGATTAGAAGATCTATTAGGTTCAATGGCTCAGTACAAGCCCTTTAATGGTACTTCTTCTACTCCAAATTTCGATGGTATACCTACCGGTATTCCACTTGCAAATCTATTAGAGGGAATAGGTACTATCCAAGCACCTATTATAAAAACTGAATCAAAAGAAGTATCAAAAGCTAAATCTGATGCTAAATCACCACCAGCAAAAGGACCTGAAACAAAAGGAAAAGGTCCACCAGTAAAAGGTGCTCCATATGGAAAAGGTGCTCCTCCACTGGGAAAAGGGCCTCCTGGTTTGAAAGGTCCACCAAAGGGAAAAGGTACAAAAACTTTTGGAAAAGCAAAGAAGTTCTCTGGTCCACCTAGTAAAATAAAAAAGTTGCACTGGGACAAAGTTGAAAATATCCAAAATACTATTTGGGATGTCAAGGAACCTGTGAAATTAGATTTTGGAAATTTGGAAGAAATATTTGGTCTAGATACTAATAAATCTAAGAAAGCAGGTCTAGAAACAAAGAAACCTAAAGTATTACAAATATTACCAGATTCTAAGAGAGCATACAATATTAGCATTGCTCTTTCACGTTTCAACAATTATACATATCAACAATTAAGAGATGCCATACTAGATTTAGACGAACATATTTTAGATGTAGAAGCTACTGAGGCTTTAATATCAATGAGTCCAACACCAGAAGAAATGACTATAGTCAAAGAGTTTATTGATGCAGGTGGTGATTTAACACAGCTAGATAAACCTGAACAATTCATTGCTGCAATGATTGGTATTCCATTATTCACTCAAAGATTAAATGCGCAGCTGTATAAATTAACATTTAATAATACTTGGAACACTTTAGAAGGTCCCTTAGAAGATATGTTAGGAGCTTGTAATGAAATTCGTAGTAGCTTGAAACTAAAAAAAGTATTCTCAATTATTTTATCTATTGGTAATATAATGAACAGTAATACAGATAAGGGAGATGCTAAGGGCTTTAGAATAAGTTCTTTATCTAAACTAAGTGAAGTACGCTCTTCTACAAAGCCCGTCAGAACATTAATACAGTATATTGGAGATATTATATGGCGTGATAAACCCGAATTACTTAATTTAGCAGAATCTTTAAATTTACTAGAAAAGGTAACCAAGTGTGACTTGGGTATTATTGAAGGTGAAATTCAATCACTTTCTAATGGTCTGACTAAGCTACAAAATACTATGAAATTGGCTCAGAAAACAAATGAACAGGCTGGACCCTTGGGCGATAAAGACCCTATTGCAAAAATATTATCAGAATTTATTGCAGATGCAGAACCTAAAATAGATGATTTGAATGCCACACTCAAAACAACTAAAGAGCAACTAGGAAAAGTTGCATTATATTTAGGGGAACCACAAATAGCTATTTCAAAAATTGTATGGGCAGACTTCTTTAGTACTCTTTGGACATTTATTTCAACTCTTGATAATATAAGAAGGGCCAAAGAAGAAGAGCAAAAAAGGCAAAAACAAAAAGAGAATATTATACAAAGAGAAAAGAATTCTACATTAATAAAAATTAAGGCAACGGAGAAGAAGATTAGTGGGACTTCAAGACGCACAACTCTAGCAGCTAGACCAGTATTACAAAAACAACGTATGATTGTAACAATGGCCCCAAAAGCTAATGCTGTAAAGACAAGTAAGCTTGATGAAATGGCAAGCTGGTTTGCATCTAACCCAACTGAGACTCAAACCCCATCCTTCCTTCAAGATATTTCACAACAGCCTGCTGACATATCTACTGATTATACTCAATTAGATGTTGATGTTGATTTATGGTAGTATACTCTTAGTATAACTTTACCAGTGCAAATTATGAAATATAAAGCTTATAATAAATGTATATTTCTAATTCTATATCTGATATATAACTTCACAAATATAACTTTAATGGTTAATGTGTATTTACAAATTACTAAGGTATTAATAAATCTGACTTTTAACGTTTTATATCTACATGCAAAATTTGCATGCACATTCCCCACATAACGTAACAACACAACCTATGTAGGCGCTAAAACTTTGCAGCACTTAACCACATTATGTAACTAAGTCAAAAGGAGTATTTGCTAAGTTTTATTATTAATATAACTGTATTAGTTGGAATAATACATTTTACATGAGCAAACAGAGTCTAGATTAATGAATTCGGGTATTCCACATCAACTTGGTGCAAATTCAGCAAGGAGAGGAGGCGCAAACGACATTCTCCCAGCTTCTGCAACTCGTCCTACAACGGGTACTAATAAGGGACAGTCTCCAACCCACTATGCAACTACATCATTCTCTACTAAAGGCACTGGGTTAGCGGTAGGTGGAATATATAAAGGGGTATCAAATCAAAATATCCCAGTGAACTCTAATAACCGTGTAATGAAAAGTAATGTGAATTCAAATGCCACATTTATAAATTCAGGTAATAATTCTGGTAGTTATCAGAATATTTCTGTAAATTCTCTAACAGCATCCTCAAGAACAAGGAATTATAGTGATAATAAAAGAGAAGGACTAAAAACAATATTAACATTTTTGAGTAAAAGAGGTTATCATGGGCAAATTAATCCAAAATCTTTGAGTAGTCCAACAAGAACACTTTATTTAGAAGTTTTGCAGTTTATTATTAATCAATATGATCCAAAGATCAAACTGAGTAGACCAGATGAAGATATACCAAGATTTTTTAAGGATGTTGGATATCCATTTACAATAAATAAAACTACAATAATAGCACCTGGTGCACCTAATACATGGCCTCAACATATTGCAGCAATGTCTTGGCTATGTGAGCTACTAGATTATGAACAAGCTATATTTCCATATTTAAATTTTAGTAAAGAAGGTGAACTAAATTTTGTTCCGGACTTAACAGCTACGAGCACATTGGCAAATGCCTTTACTGGAACTACTGGTAGCATGAATGCAGATCATATGTCAATTGATTCGGCAAAGCTATTATCTCAGACTTTAAATAAAAGGCTTAGTGAAAGTTATAAACTATTTTTAGGTGGTCAAAGTGATGGTGGATTATTAGCTGAAACATTAGAAGCCTATTGTCGTGAAAGAAAAGGTCAAGCCCAACAAGCATTTGATAGGAAAAAACAAGATTTGGAGCAGATGCAAATGGAAATGCAAAAAATTCAGCATGAATTACAAGAAGGTGATCTGTTATTGCAAAAAAATCATACTTTATCGCAAGATATACTAAAAATGGAATATGCAGTGGGGCAGTGTTTAACAGCAATTAGACAGGCAGATAATTCCTATAGTGACAAAGAGAACATTATGCAAATAAAACGAAAGGAGTTACGTGTTATTGAAGATGAAGTAGAAAAGTTACAAAAAAGAATTGCTACACAAAGTATTCAGAGGGATGATGTATCGAGAGTATACCAAGACATGAAAGTAAAACGTCAAACAATCCGTAATCTAAGAAGTGATCGTGAAAAAGCAGAAAAGGAAAATTGGGCTTTAGAACTTCAAATAGAGGAATTATCAACAAAGCTTTATCAGTTAAGTAGATTGTGGAATAACAAATATCAAGAAATTATAAATATTACATCAAATGAAATAAGAAATTATGAAATTGGATCTTTTAATTCCTTGCAAAATTTATCTATGTCAATATTAAGCTCTGATGAGTTGAATAAGGAGACAAGAATAGATGATATTATTGGCCAAAGCTGGAGAAATATGAAACATAGCTGTAAAAAGTGCATAGTAGAGGTAGAAATGTGGAGAAGGAAGCTGAAAACACAGGAAATACAATTTAATGAGATAATAAAGAGTACAAAAGATACAATTATACAAAAGAAACAAGCATGTGATGCACTTGAAAAAAAGATAAGAAATTTAGATGGAGATATGACAGTTTGTGACAAACGTGAAATGAGACAATTAGAGCAAATACAAGAAAAAGTCAAAAAGTACAAAACTGAATTTGAGCAGAAAAAAGATGAAGCCTTAAAGAGACTAGAGACTGCTAGAAGTAGAGTAGCAAAATTGGAACAACAACTTATTGTTACTGAGAATCATGCAAAAAATGAGCTGCAACAATGCAAACAAGTTATAAATTCTGATGTTAGTCTACTACATAAACTTAAGAGCAATATATCACTATATATGTCTCAACTTCTTAATAATGTAGTTGAGATTAGCTATATGGAAGTAGAAAAGAATGAATTAAAGCTAACTGAATTAAAGTAAGGGTAAATACATAAATCTTAAATAGAACAATCACCGAATATATAATAGTGGGTACCAAGTTTTATACACTAATACATAAAAAGCTACTATAAATGTGCACATTACACGAGTAGCAATTATATAAATTGTCTTGTAATATTTCTGCATTATATAGCCTTTTATAATGAAATATAATTAATGCAAGATGCGAGGTACGCAACTGTCTCCAAGTCACCGCAAAAATAAATTATTGGTAATGGGCTTCTTTCTAGCAATTGAACAATATTATATTTATTCATTAGTATGAGTGCACAGCGTTTAATACTTGTTGATCAGAAGGATGAGTATATTTCTAGAGTACTGGACTACATAAGTAAGAGTGGAATTGTTGAATATATTGAAAATATAGAAAGTCTAATAAGTAACAATGAGTATGGTGAATTGTGGGTTGTTGGCTCTCCCGAATACATTTCATATATGACTTCATTTACATCTTTGCAATATATCTATAAAGTACTCCGACTCGGAGGAGTCGTGAAAATTATATGTTCGGTGGATCTTGGTATACAAGATATTAAGAAAAATGCTTTATTCTCGGGTTTTATAAATATGAATAGAACAGAGTCTAATATATTACTTGAGTATGGAGATATCAAATTAAATCAGATATTATCATTTACAAAACCGACATGGGAGTTAGGTGAAGCTCATGCAATAATAGATGATATAGCCTTTGAACAAACACTCCCAAGTATGGAGTCTTATATACAATTAGGTAAAGGCAAGGAAAGTTGTTCAAATAAGATAAGAGCTTGTAGTAATTGCACTTGTGGAAGATCCAAACTTGAAGAAGAAGTTGGAATTGAGGAAGCAAGGAGAATCTATTTAGAAAAAGCCAAAATAGGTACTGCTAGATCCAGTTGTGGGAATTGTTACAAAGGTGATGCATTTAGATGTAGTGGTTGTCCTTATAGAGGAATGCCTGCTTTTAAACCTGGTGAAAAGGTCCAGTTATTAGATAAATCCAAATTTCTAGATGTAGATATAGATCAATCTTCAGAAACTGTAATTGGAAATATAGCTTCAGGTGAAAAGATCAAATTAGGATAAAGTGGATAGTAATATATTAGAATGTCTAATGTAATATAAGGTGACAATCTTATTGAATTATTTAGAGAATTGATTTTTTTCTAGTGAAAATTACTTATCAGCCAACAATATTGAATCTGACACTTCATTAATATATCTATATGCAGTAGTAGTTCATCTTTAATATATTGAATAGGACAGAAGATAAGAGTCTTTTGGTTTTATATTTTTGAGGTGGTTCTCTTAACAATAATTTTTATTTTAACAATCTATTTGTTTTTATAAGTATATTTATGTTATATTCATATCTGATATGACTTGAGATATATTAATCAATATATTATTAAAGTCATTTATTCGTTTGACCAAATTCTTAACACTCATATCTGTATTTTCAGTATATTCCTCTGTTTTCAACAATTCGATTTCATCTCTCATTCCATTTGAAGTAGCTGTTGTTAGTAAATTTGGAATAGCTATTGGATCTTTGTATATTTTCTCATAGGGGAATATAGCTAAGTGATGTGATGCAGGGGTTAGTGTATCCTGAAATATACGTACACAAGCACATAAAGCTCCAATATCATTCAAATATTCTGGATAGGTTTGTTTAAATTGTTGACCAAGAGGTAATCTGTTAATACCATCTGATAGAGATCGAATATTAACTCCCATTTGAGAAATTAGACGAGACCAACTAGAATCATTCATCTTAGTTTATGCTTAGTGAATATTTATCTTTATAACTTAACACAATTGTAATAATAATTTTATGTACAATTAATATGATGAGTAATGAGTAATTAATAGTAAGGTACCATCTTTACTTTATTTCAGGAGACAGCAAAGATGTCATTGAAAATTATTTAAGCTTAATTATTATTAATAGGTGGCGGTGGGGTGCAGTAACTAATTGAATAATCCCAAATTTATATCTTCTTAGTACATAATTGACAACTTATATTTATTAAGTAATAGATATAATATTAATCAAAATCCTACTTTGAAAGTGTAATAGTATCCAAATTTAGTTTTTTCTCTTATAAGTACTTCTATATTCTTAAGTCGATTACATCATACTAATATACAATATTCTTTTTTAAATGAGTTGACATTAATTTATTAATAAAACAAGTCTATCGATAAAATTTACCTTAAATACCATACTGAAACTTAAGTAAATTTATCTGAATCCTTTAAAGTTTACAATCTATAAGTATTATGAAACAAGTTATAAAAAAAGAAAAAAGAAACTTCACACCAATTCTTAATAATTCATATTTAATTGGAATTTTTACTTTAGAAGTTTTCTTATATTCAAGTAGTTGTATGTAATAAGGGATTATGAAATCTTCAAATATATATCTACAAATATTTAAATTAAACTTTTTGACTTAATAATTTAATAAAATATATTCATTTTAGTATATTAATATTTTTGAAAACAAAATAAAATTTAAAAGTTTCACTAGTGAGAATTTATTTATTAATTTTAGCTTATCACTGATCCGATATTTCTAGTTTCATTATCTTTTGATTTTATCTTTAAAACATGACTATTGAAAGCATTGATATATCCATCAGCTAAGTTAGTTGAACCAAAATTACGATAACAATATTCATGAGCTAATTCATTTACATATTTTGCCAAGATCTCATTTGTATCTTTCCCTTTCTTTTTTGATACAAAACGATTTTGAGGATAAGCTTGTTGACGATATTTATCATTTGCATTACCTCTTACAGAGGTAATTAATCCTTCTAACATAGCAGATGCTGCTATAGCTCCACCACTAGATGATATTGATGAACCTAGTGAATTAGTACAATTGTCAGCTGTATTCAAAATACATGCTTGATTACTTATATTTTCTGTAGAACTTGATCCACTATGTTGATTACTTGTACTATTACCATCCAAATTGGGATTTTCACCACTAATTGCCGACCTAGATGATACTTTTCTCTTCATTCCACGTGTCGGATATTTAATTTTTCTTATATTTGTACTGGATGAATTATTGCAACTTGTAGTATAATCCATTGTTTCATTATAACCATGTGAATTTTCATTTAAATCTTCCATAATCCCAGTGCTTGATTCAACTCCAATATCAGCTTCACATGGACTATTATCATCAACAGTTGTTTCTTGTATTGTACAAGTTGTTGCAACTTGTTGATGAATTTGGCCATCAATATATTCATCCCCATGTTGTTGATGCATAAATCTTAAAACTAAATTTCTATAAGATTCTAATTTATCAATCAAACATTCTCTTTCCTCTCTTTCATCTTGATTTTCATAATGTTGAGAGGGGTATTCTGGTGATAGAAATAATCCTGTTGGAGGTACAATATGTGAAGATTGTTTATTCTCACGTTTTTTTCTTTGTTCTAATGCTGCAGTAGTCTGAATTGTTGATACTAATACTGGATCAACAACTTCCATTTCTAATAACTTTTTTTCCATATATGCTACTTCTGTAGCTATACTATTATTATTATTATTATTCTCATCAAGTGAATTACTTTGTATATTAGTACAATTAAATATATCTTCATTGTTATCACTACTTACAAATCTTATTTGATTAATATTTGGAACATGATTTGTCTTGATAGTTATTAATTGTAATCCACTAATTTTATGTGCTAATTCCTGCTGAGGTGATAATTTAACAAGAACTGAAGAAGAATCTAATTCTTTTTCTTTATTTTCATTACATATATTTTGTTCTGTAATTTCATCATTATTTGTTGCTTCACTTTGAGATCTAGTTGAATCTTCAATACTTTTACAAGGCTCTAAATTCAAATCTTGAGATTCAATTCTTTTAATTGGTATCTCTTTCCTTAGTAAACCAAAATAATCACCTGCTATTGAGAGTGGAATATGTATACCCCTTAAATCATTTGTAATATGAGAGGAATCCCACTTTATATAGTTATTTGTTGTATATCTCAATGAACCCCTACTATTCTTATTATTATTAATATTATTATCTGTAACAAAAACAGTCTTTAATGGACCCTTTCTAACATCCCATTGGGTCATTTTATCAACCCATTCTGCATATAATCCAACTAAAGAATGATCTTTACCAGGAGTATCTTTTTCTAAAACAAATATTGGAGTATTTGAAGAACCAGTTGTTACTATAGGTTCATGTTGATATGGTTCTAATAAAGATCCACGAGTTCTATAACCTATATTTGTAGAATTTGATAAATTATTATTATTTGCACGACGTCCTCTATGTGATGTTATATATGTCTTTGCATAGCGATTCCCTGTATTTGATCCACTTACATTATTTAATCCACCAGTAATATCTTCTTCACCTGATGATGAAACAATATATTTCACACCATTTCTACCTCTTCCTTTTCTTCCATATTCACATTCAGCCATATCATCATCACTTAAAAGTATATCATCATATCCATACCTTAAAGCAACAAAACGGCCTGATCTAGTTGTTGTTGTACTACCACTTCTCTTACCTCTTCCTGTTCCACTTGTTTCTGATTCTGAAATCTTGTAAGATCTTGATGAAATTCCTGTATTTATACTAATTGTATTTAATCTACTTCCATCATAACCATATTCTTCTTTCTTATATCCTTTTATTTGTCCATTAAATATTTGATCTTCATCTGATCTTATTAATAAATTTGATCCATTTGCACGAGTTGAATTACTTGATGTATTAGTTTGTTTCCTTTGACCTGCTTGACGATCACAATATTTTGCTAATGCATGCCTAACTGATACAAATGCACTCCACATTGCTTTTTCAATATTATCTATACTTAATTGTTTTGATGCATTCACATTTACAAATAATTCATCTTGATCTATTGGAATTAATCGTTTTTTTTGATAACCAAGTGAATCACGAACTTCTTCTATTTGATATACAGTAAATTTAAAGCAATATCTTCGACGATCCCATTCTAAACGTAAACGTATTGCTGATTTTGGAACAGAAGTTTCAAGTAATGTTTTAACTAAACTCTCTGCATGATTATGTAATTGTTCTAAGTCATCATCTAATAAAATTCCAGTTGAAGATGGTTCTATTTTTTGGGAATTTTGTGATATTATAGGGTTATTTCCTAGTAAATTAGATGTATCTATAATATGAGAATCTGTATTAGTTTGTATTGTTGATTGAAGATTTGTTGTTGGTGTTGGTGTTGTTGTTGTTGGTGTTGGTGTTGGTGTTGGTGTTGGTGTTGCTGCTGCTGCTGCTGCAGCTGCAGCTGCAGCTGCAATAGAAGGATTAAAGGCAAAATATAAAGATGGATTAGGTACAACTCTTGGTAACATAAAAAAGGGATTTAAATATCCTGGAACAATTCCAGATTGACCTGGTGGTGGTATCAATGCTGAAAGAGTAGGTGGAATTGTTGTATTAAGAGTTGATTTATTATTAATTACTGTTGATGATGAAGAATTATTCCCATTATTATCTGACTTTGGTATTGTAGATATTTGATTTGTTGTATTAGATGGAATATGAGTATTATTTATTGTATTATTTACACTTAAAGCAATAGACTGCTGTACTTGAAGCAGAGCAGGTATTAAAAATGGATGAATTGGAAATTGTTGATTAATATTACCAGATAGTGATCCTACTGTAGCCCTAGGTATTTGATTCATTGTACATGTATTATTATTCTTTGTGTTAGATAACATATTGTTCACTAATGCAGTTGATTGAAAAACTGTAGGATTTACAGTTTGTTTATTAATTATCATTGGATTCATAGATACATGCAAATTTTGTTGTTGATTTTGTTGTTGTTGATTTTGTTGTTGTTGATTTTGTTGTTGTTGATTTTGTTGTTGTTGATTTTGTTGTTGTTGAAGCTGTTGTAATTGAAATTGTAGTTGTTGTAATTGTGGTGACCCTAAATTTTGTTGTGAATGTAATTGAAATGGTTGAAGTTGTGGTATTTGTTGCGACTGTTGAGGTAGCTGCTGGGGAGAATGATTATTTGAATTATTTACTTTTGATTGTATTTGTTGACTTTGCTGATGTATTTGTGATTGTTGATTTGTTTGTTGTACTTGTTGAGAAAGATGTGAAAGTTGTGATTGTATCTGGCATTGTTGTTGTTGATTTTGTTGTTGCTGTTTGTGTTGTTGAAGGGCATGCAAAAATAACATCTGCTGTTGTTGCAGAGGATTCAATCCCATATTTTGAAGTGAACTTAACGATGCAAGATTCTGTACTTGATCGTAGGTTGATGAGTTTGGTATTATATGTAAGTTTGTATTATTCTCATTTATACGACTAAAGTTATGGTTCATTAATAATGGAACATTAGATTCAATATGGCCACTTTCATTACAAGGACTTGAACTTTGTGTATTTCCAGATATTTGAAGAGTAGAATTTTCAAATGAAGTACCCTCAGGTGTTTCACCCTCAAGAGGTTTTTTTTTATCGTAAGCTGACATTATTAGCCTACAAATTTAAAGATAAGCCCATCACTATATACAAAATAATATGTTCAGTTTTTGACTGTATAATGTGCGTTGCGCCCAGACTTAAGAGACAACACCGGACGGATAGTTACATACACTTCATCAAAGGGTGACAATTTTTGAAGACCTAGACGTATACCATTTTTATTAAGTGCCTACTTTCTGGAATATATTGACAACTAGTACTAGTACTATTAACTTGCCACTTAATGTGCATTCATTTTAATGTCATCTTAAAATATATATGGGAACCTCTAAATTTCCTATCAAATACTATACGGCCATTATTTCTTATTCATATTTCTAACCAAATTAAGTAGTTAACTAGATCTTCCTAATTGTATTAACACTCAATGTTTTTAGTTATTCTTGAAATTTTCAGTTATATTAATGTTAATATATAAATTATGTATCTAATATTTTCAAATTATAGATTTATAATTGTTTGTAATATCTCCAATAAATATTATCTGTGTTATCTTCCAAAATTTCCATAGTAATTATTATAGTTTTAAAGGTTTTTTAAACTTATTTCTTTAATATCATATCATATTTTTATAATATACTTATTTTCTTTTAATGTGTTTGGTCTGTTTAAATTTAATAATTATTTATACTTAAATATCAGGATATTATTTAATGTCTCTTACAAATTCTATAAAGATAGTTCTATATATATATGAGACAAATTAATATCCTAATTTAGTTCTAACTGAAATTATAAAGACATTAGTTTCTATTTTATAAATACACTTCTTGGGGGTTTAAAATATTATATTAATTATAAATATAATCTTAACTAAAAAAATTATATACTTATAGAGAGTGGATATCTTTATATAAATAATCAAGATAAATATTAAAGATATACTAAAAATGTGGAGTAATATTTTATCTACAAGCTTAATATAATAAATTTATCTATATTAACTTGAATATATATTTCAGGAATAATTTAAGTATAGCTATAATTTTAAGAACTATAACTTTTATTTTTTGGTGATATGGTATAAAAGTGTGGTTATATATTTCCTTATACTTAATAAATGTTATTACGAATTAGAGTTTAAATTATAAAAATTATTAATATAGCGGTATAATGGGGGATAATTAAAATTGTTTATAATATTAACACAGTTTTTGAGCTGGAGTGATACTAAGAATTTATATTTAATCTTGTTTATAAATATTTGGGAGGATTTAAATTAAAAAAAAAAGTTATTTTAATAATTTGAATGGAGGAGTTTATTGCAGGTAATTTAGTACTCCCCTTTTACTATTGTTCAGATAGAATATTTACATCATGTATATTCACAAGTGATAGAGGGGGGGGATTAAGATTATGTTATCATACTTTTAAGACAAATAACTTACAGGAAAGAAAGGGAACAGCTATTTTATCTCATGGTTATTCAAGCCATTCACTAGCTGAATTTTTAAATTTAGAGTTAAATAATAAAGAAAAAGATTCTGAGAATTCTCAAATAAAAAAAATAAATAGTATAAATAATGAAAAAAATAAACAAAAACAAATAAAAGATGATTTATCAATGAATAAAATTTCATTACCTATAAATCCACTAAATAATTGTAAATATGCAACTACATATAAAAATAGTTATATTGAACAATTGAATCTTAATGGATATGATGTAATTATGTTAGATATAGAAGGTCATGGATTTTCTCAAGGTGTAAGATATAATATTGAGAATTTAGATAACTGTTCTTATTCTATCATTCAAATGCTTCAAATGGAGATAATTAGATATAATAATTTAGATAGTAATCTTGAGAGTACAAGTGAAAATTATGACAAATTTGATATTGTATCTTTTACTTGGAATACTAATACTAATGATACAAATAATTTATATAAAGGTGAATATATATCAAATTTAACAAATATGACAAATTCTAAAAATTATATACCCTTAAATAATAGGATTTGTTGTCATTGTAACTCAAGAAATTGTTTAATTGAGAGGACATTTGGTGAAGAATTTATTCTTTGTGGGATATCAATGGGTGGTGCATTAGTTTTGAGGATATTTGAAATAATAGGGGAAACTTTAGGAGAATCCTCATCCTCATTTTTATCATGTTTTTCATCACGAATATGTTGTGGTATTTTATTATCACCAATGTTAAGTCTTGAGAAGGTTCAAAAGAAATTTTCAAATAGATTATTATTACCTTTATTACCATTGGCTAGTTATTTTTTGCCAAATTTACAAGTTGGATCTCATAATTCTAATCCAGTTTGTGAACATATATTTTCATTTTCTAGAGATGATCCACTAACATATAATAAGAGAGTAAAAGCTTTAATGTGTAGGACATTGTTAGAATTTGTGAAATTAGTAAAAGCAAAGTTGTGTTTTTATCCACTACACATACCTTTACTTATATGCCACTGTGTACATGATTCATTAACTGATTTTGATGGGAGCAGAAATACAATAAATACTCTACAGAGTATGTATAAGGAATATACTGATGAGAATTTTTCTAATAATAGAGGATTATCAATGAATGATATAAAGATACAAAAATCTAACTTTGCATTATGGCCAATAACTTCTAATAATATGTGGCATGTATTAACAAGAGAAGTAGGATATTTTGATTTACTTCAAGATATATTATCTTGGATAACAAGTAAATCTACAAGATCGAATACTAGATTAAATAAATTGAATATTGACAATACAAATAATATTTGTGATTCGCTTTATAATACACCTTCAACTGGAATAACTAGTGACTAGTTAACTATTTTCGTTAAGCTTTAAAATATTTATATGAAATATTTGACTAATTTATTTTATAATATTAAGATATATAATAAGATCATATTGAATATTAGTTTTATTTGAGAAGTTATTTTAATCTAAATTTCATGTTTTTTAAATATGAATATAGAGAATAATTAGATTTTATTCTGTAGTTACTTGATATCTTCCCTTTTTTGTGATTTTCATTTATATTGTAATTAGATTCAATACTTTGATCATAATTATTTTCAATAGATTGATTAGATGAGATAATACTATTAGTACCATATTTTAAGTTTGCATTTATTACTTCCAAATTACCTACATACAAACTATATGCTAACAATTGCTTTCTTTGTTTCTCTAATTTAGTTTTAAGGTTATTAATTTCTACTTGATACGCTGTTTCAGTCTGTGCTAATGTTAATTTTGTTTTTATTAGCTCTTTTTCTATTTCATCTATCTCATATTTATTTTTTGATGTATCTATACTCTTACAATATTGATCATTATCATTAGTAATATCAAATAATTTATTATCAACAATAATATTAGATTTTTTTCCTAAAAAGTTTGTTTGAGAACTTTCACAATAATTGGTTCCTCCAGTATTATAATCAATAGTTTGACTTGTTGCAGTTGCAAAAAAACTTGAATTACCATTTTGTGAAAAGAATTCTGCTTCTACTTCATCTTGAATATGGTCACTTTTTTGGATTTGTTGTATTTGTGACAATTGTTTGAGTAAATCTTCCATTTGATTTTCTAATTGCTTAATATGTCTTTCATAAACATATTTATCTGCTTCTCTTAGTCTTCTCAATTCATCACGGATTGCAGTAAGTTCGCTAACTTCTTGTTGAAGTAAGCAATAATCATTAAGATTAACAAATTTTTGATTTTTAGAATCGAAATTTTGTATATCTCCTAATATTTCGGATTTAGATTTATATAATTCATTCCCAAGATTTGTTTCTACTCTTAGCTGTTGTATTTCTTTCATTAAATCACTCTCTCTTTGTTTCCAAGATTTCTCTTGTTCAATATATATTTGTAATTGATAATTTAGTGAATTAATTTCCATATTACATTCTTCCAATTTTCTTTTATATTCTTCTTGTTCCATTTGTAACCTTTGAATTAACAATTCTTTAGATGATGGTGAAGAATTAGTTGCAGAATTTATGTTAATATCTATCCCTTTTGAGATTATATTTGGATCATTATAACTATTTAAATTATTTATTATATTTGGATTTCTCATATCTTGATTTATAGAAGTATTCATTATGTTATTAGAGTTAATAACAGGATTTGAATAATAAGGTTGTGTAGTTTTATACATGATCATAGGTTGAGCTTGAAATTTACAAATTACATCATTTTCATTAATAATTGATTCAGTCTCAGTTCTTTCTTCTGTTTCTTTATTTAAATGGTTCTCTATTTCTGTTTCTTCTTTAATTGAAAACATAGGTATACCTAATGCAGATTCATTTATCGATTCTTTTACTTCTGTTATTATATTAGAAGATGAGTTTTTGCTTATTGAATTTGTAGTTAAAATATATTTTGAAGGTTTAAAGTTTTCCGTTTGAATAGTTGTATTTCCAGTATCTGGGACATTAAGAGTACCTATTAGCAATGTTTCATTAGTTACAGTGGTAAAACCAGACATCATTGATGCCGTATCATCAAAATCATTTGATATTTGGCCTAATGATATGCAATTTATGTAAAATTCTATATAAGCATTTGGATCTGAACATTTAATCAGTGGAATCTCAACTCTTGTGGGGCTTATTAATTTAGAATCTAATCCTTTATAATTATTTACAAATGAAGATAGTTCTAAAGGAACTTCACCAATTACTACTGCTATTGGATTATCCTTGTATTTTGCATATATAATTAGTCTTGAATCTTTTGGAAGATACTCATCACTCCCTTTAGAAGTAAGTCTTCCAGATTTCTGTGGTAAATTTCGAAACAAAGTTACAATTAATACTAATGATTCATAAAATGGATGTATTGTACTACCATTGACACATAAAACGCTTTCCTTTCCAGACGTTCTCTTTGGCCCTCTAATCCAATCTATTTTTATTTCACACTCTTCAAGTAAAATAACACTTATATTCTCTACACGTAATTCATATCTAAATTTTTCACCATAGTGCCTGATATGTTTAGCTGCTCTTATAATTCTCATTATTTGTAATGAATCTTTTCAAATAATAATAATAATCCAAATATGGCGCTATAGGAGGGGGTTTACCAGGATTGACATTTAATTTTGTAACTTATTATTATTATTATTATTATTTTATCTAAAATTAACATATAGAAGAAATATGGCAGGTCAATCGGCAAAGAAAATTGCAAAGGAAACTTCAAAATACAGAATTATATACTTAATAATTTTATCATCTTGTATTTTATTCCACTTCTTATTTAAGAGACTTTACAGCTTATCTTATTATAAAAGTTGGGATTTTATTGGTATTTCAGTTATTGCAATAATATATATAGTAACTTATTCTGGAATTGTTTCCCGTCTTAAAGTTGGTGCTGGATACTCAATTTACCAAGATATATTTATTGTAAATACTATTGTTGCATTACTTTCCATATTTTCTAAATATGCGTGGTATATCTACTTAGTTATTCCAGGATATCTTATTTATAAAACACTGAAACTAATAATTACTTGGGTATTCACTCCAGAACCTGTAAGTTTTTGTAATAATATACTTTTTCAAATCTAATTTATTTTTTCTCCTTTAATATTTTCAGGAATTACAAATGCCAAGAAAAATTAAAGGTTCTCATGGTAATAGGAGAATGTGATATCTTTTTTTTTCAGAATATTACTGAAGTCATCCCCTATTTATCTCTTTCCCTAAGTATCACCTTTTTAAATTTTAGAGGAACTAAATAATAATAGTATTAAAACTATAATATAAATTAAATTTTAAAGTCCTAATTCATAAACTAAAGTTAAGTGTAATGGCATGCATGCATGTAGGTAATACCACACAATTACATGACATTTTCATTTAACATCATCTTTAATTTACTTAATGAATATAAAGTCATACTATCCTTTCCCTCAATTATCTCACTGAAAATCATCCCAATATCAAGGAATTCTTGAACAAATAGGATATTTTCAAATTTATCAAATTCCTTATTAGCCCATAGTAAGCTTACATGTTGTAATGTCTCAATAATATTATCTATAGTAATATGCGTAGATTTAAATTTAGTTAGTTTTTGAGTAAAGTGTGCATTGAAAGTATCACTCCAGTGATATAACATGAAATTAACCATACCTTCGAAATCCATCATACCGATACAGGATTTAGAATTAGACTCACTTGTTGCTAGTAGCTTTAAAGTACTTGACTTTACATTACAATATTTCCAGAAGTGTTCACTTTCCACTAATGGCTGATAGGCATTAGTAGAACTTGAAAGTTTTGAAGATGTAGATGCTATCGAAGATTTTTCACTTGTATGTTGGTTTGATGATTTCAAGATATGCATTAAGTATGGTACCATTATTTCAGAAAGCAATTGTTGACAAGATAATGCTATAGTTAGAGGAGAAAATGAATTCTTTGCTGTTAATAAATCTTGATTATATATATTAAGTGATACAATATTCATTTGAATATTGGTATTAAATGGGAAACATCGTTGAAAAACTTTATTAGTTTGGAAAGATTTACGAAGAGTACTATTTAAAATAATATCAGAGTCATCAATTCCTCCAATAAGGCTAGATTGTAAAATAACACGTTCATCAGGTCCCCATACACGCTTAAATAGTTCACATCCAATATTCCACTCAAGTAAAAGTAATAGAGAATCAACACTTCCAGGATATTTCGAGTGTATATTTATAACATTACTTGCAATCAAAAATGAAAAGAGGACTCTAGGACTTTCTAAATCAATTATATAGTATTCAGCTTGTAAATCATTATTTAGAGATATTCTCTGATCTTTAGTATATTCCAATATATATTTTGTAATATCCTTAAATTGATCTAGATTTGCAATAGGCGGAAACATAGGACTATATAATTGATCAATTTCTAAGGATTTGGACACTTTAGAAGCCTTATTTAAAAGAACTTTTTGTTCAATTTCATTTTTAGGAGTCATATTATCATTGATATCTTCAAATTTTGAACTTCCATTAGGTATATCTTTCATTATATCCGATAAATTATTTACAGATCTATTTGAATTTATTAAAATATTTTCTGAAAAAATAACTTTTGCTGAAACGATTCTAATTAAAGGTAGATTTTCAGGATCTATAACATGAAATATTACTTTTCCATCATTTAGATTTTCATAGTGACATGATACAATAAAAAGCTTAAGATTATGAAATCCATCACAAAATAGATGAGGATTTAGTCCTAATGGAAATTCCCACGAAAACTTTATTTTTCCTGCATATCCAAAAATACGATATAAGATTATACCTCTAAAATCTAAAGAAAAAAAGGAGTCACATCCAGCACCAAATTCAGCAAAACTATTTGATTCAATCACTTCTGGAGGAAATTCTATCCACTGGCCACCAAAAATCAAATTACTAAGTGAAAATGGAGCATTTGGACCATGTGAAATAGTATCATCAGTACAATCAGATAGATGAATACTTGGGACTATAGCAGATGAGAGAGTCGTAGATGGTAAAGTGCGACTTTTCATTAAATTTTTGGAACTTCCTTTCTTAAAAGGAGATAAAACTAAATGTAAGCTATAATTAGTACAGTTAACAATACGGATATATAAAGATCTTGGACATTTCCTTAGTCTTCTATACCAATCATTACCCATATTTAATCCATGATAAAATTTTATATCTTTTTTATTATTAATTTTGTGAAATCTATTATCTTTTTTTAATTGTTGAATATAATTAGATCCTAATTCAGTTTCATTTAAAGTTGCCCTAGTTATTATTCGCCTAGATGATTTCTGAGTATCATTGCATAATTCTAATGAAAATAGGTTACGAGAGTTACAACTATCAGCTTTATCAGCTCTCAGATATTTAAAAAGGTTTATTGGGATCTCAGAGCTACCTTCAATAAATATATCATCTTTTCCTATTGTACCAATTTGTAAAAGTACTTCACCAACACCAAGAATTTCAGACTCATATTCATATTTAATTACATACTCTATACTTTCAATAATTGCGGAATATTGAACAATACATCGCTTTACTGGTTGAGATGTTGTATTTGTACATGCATAAAATATCCGTTTCCCTGGTATTATTGATTCTGGAGGATGATATACCCAGTCTCCTCTATCCAAAATATGAATTCGTCGAAAAAATGTTACAGTTGTATCATTTTTGATAACTACTTCAAGTTGCTCCATAACTCTTATTTACATTATTGTAAAAGGTATATATAACTAGATATGCAAATTTGAGTATAACTTCATAAATTTAGGGAAATATAGATTTTTAAAAAATTCCACTTAGAATAATTGGGGGGTATTTAATAGGCGGTAAATATTCGATTTTTTTTTTTTCTTTTTAATTACACTTAAAATAGAGGCACTGTATATAAGTAACTAGGAGACATTTGGAAATCCGATAGTTAAATCATATGATAGATGAAAATCAGGAAACCAAAATAAATAAAATACAGAGAGATGATAGAATCAACTCAATAGAACGAATTCGTCATTTTTTAAAGACTATCTTAATATTGGATATAAACTATCCAAGTGACAATGGAAATAATAGAAGTCCAAATGGAATTTTATTAGAAAGTATCTATAGGACTGTAATAAATATTTGTAGCTATGGAGGATATAGCGACTTACTGAGATTATTGGAAGATGAATGTAATATAGCAATAGCCAATAATACGAAACTAATTTTGAATCATGATCTAGTAAAGAAAATAAATGGAAATATTTACAAAGAAAAAGGGGGAATTGAAGACTTTTTAAATAAGTTAATTGGAACGGAATATGATAAAGATTTTAAGATGCTATCCAAAGATTTCTTGGATATATTAATGAGAGTATGGCAATACCATCTCAGATCTATGGATTTGTTATGTAATGTATTCTTATACTTAGACTGTATGTATATACGATTTAATTCTAGATTATTGGGGATTTCTAAAATTAGTGATATAGGGGATATATGTTTTTCAAGGATAATTAATAATAAATATCCAGGTAACTTTGATTATTCATCATGCCTTATTGGAATTATAGCAACTACAATAAGTACAATCAATAATTATCGTGACATATTTGTAAATGGATCAAAAGGTGAAATTATATCTTTAAATCAGCTTAAATCGTTTATTTGTATTAGGAATATTTATGATTTACTAGTAAAACTAGGTTTCTTTATACCTAAATTTACTCCATTATATAAAATAATGACTGGACTATATTACAAATCTAAAATGAATATAAAACTAAAGGAAATGAAATTTTGTGAATATATCAGATTTGTTGATAGAGTTTGCCAATTTGAAATGAATTTATTGGGTTGTAAAAATAACAATCACAGTAATACTATACAGACTTTAGAAGAAATTGACTATTCATTAATAAATTTGAACAAAGTAAAATACTGTCTTGTAAAAGATGAAATCCAGAATTCAGCAAAAGATATATATGTAATTTTAATAAATACACTTATTCCCTGTGACTTAATAAAGATATTTGAAGATAAGCATGTTATAAATAATAATTTTAATGCAAACAACAGCTATATTTACAAAAATCCTTTATGTTACTTAATAGATAATGTTGATACTGATGCATTTTCTATTTTATATTTGACTTTTAAGAAAGTAGGAAAATTGAATATATTAAAGAAAGAAATGAATAGAGCTTTGATTGAAATGGGAAGGAAAATTTGCAACACATCATTGGATACTGATTTTAATGCTGATGTAGATATTAAATTATGTTTGGAAATGATAACTTTATTAGCACATTTATATAAGAATGTGGAGAAGATATGGGAAATTTCACTTTGTAAAGATGAAGATATTCATTACTCATGTATAAATGACTCATGGAATTATATTATGAATTTAGATGATGGAATATCCCAATATTTAGCCCACAATCTTGCACTATTCTTACATAACTCATTATTGGAATATTATTACATGGATATAGAACAAAAAAAAAGTTGTACTGTAAATATACAAAATATGGATATATCTTTATGGAATACAGCAGAAATTGAAAAAGAAATATTATGTGATGAGTCATATATTAGTACAAAGAATAAAATTAATGATGTAATATTACTATTCCGTTTTTCTAACTCTAAAGATGATTTTGAGATTTATTGTAGGAAATATTGGATGCGGAGATTATTAAATAATTGCATCATTTTAAGAGATGACTTTAATAAGAAAAATATAATGATGAATAAGAATAATTTTGATACTAACTATGACACAGTTAATAACTATATAAATGATATTAATAGTCAGAAATTACCAATATTAGAAATATATTTTCTTGAACAATTATACAAGGAATGTGGTATTGGATTTATTGGTAAACTAAATTTTATGTTAAAAGATTATGTTACATCTTCTGGTTTATTTAAATTTTTTTTAAAATATAAAGATATGATAGACTTAGACGATGATATCATAGTAAAAAGTGTGGATTCCTGGTTAAAATGTGATTCTATTGGATATAATATTAGTGATAATAATGATGAAAATGAGAGGATTCCAGTTAGAAAATATAGAAAAATAGAAAGGAATGATAATTTAACTAAATATTTTGAGTCTGATCTATTAAATTATAGAATACATGTAATTGCATCATCTAACTGGCTAATACCATCACAGTATATATCTATTGATAAAATATTAAGAAATAATGGAGAAGATTCAAATTATTTAATTTCTACTCTTAATAAATTTGAGACATTTTATAAATTAGTATATAATGGTAGAAATATTCAATGGTCTTCTATATTAGGAATTGCTACAATCGAAGTGAAGATTTTTGATCAATGTATAAAATCGAATTTGGGAAAAAAGAATCTTGATTATTTTAAAATTGAGATTATTACTACATTACAGCAAGCTTTAATATTATTAAATTTAAATGAAAAAGACAGTATAATAATTCCAGAAGAGGAAGAGAAATTATTGATTCGACATTTGCGTGGTTTACTAAAAACTTCAAAATTGTATTTAAATAAATGTAGAAGTGGGGGAACTTATGTAAATGATGAACAAATTAAGAATGATGAGATATTATTACCTCCAATATTAATTAATATAAAGGATACTAATAATTCTGAAGGTTTTAAAAAAGATGCTATTTATAGATTGAATGAAGAATTCACACTCGAATTAAGAAATTTATATACAAATCATAAATATGAAATGGGAGATTTCGTTTTAATTTATTCAGTAAGTCAACCATATAATTGTATTAGTAATAATTTACATATGTTTGAAAATTGTGATTTGAATGAAGAGCACGACATGTTAGATAAAGAAGATGAAAATAAAGAAGGTAAAGATAATAAAAGTTTGAAAATTAAAAATAGCATGAAAAGTACAGCACTTGAATTAAAGTCTGTTAGTCTCGAAAATAGACAACATAGAATAGAAGCAATTATTATCCGCTATATGAAGTTTAAGAATAAAGAAAATAAAAAGGATATTATTCAATATGTTATTGATAACTTATTCCAAAATAGTGAAAATTATGAACCTTCAGTTACAATTAAAAAGCAGGTAACTCAAGAAATAATTTCAAAATTAGATTTATTAGTACAGCGAGAATATCTACAACAAGATATATTAGACAATCAGATGTACATTTATCTACCTTAATTTAAGGAGATTTATTATTAGATCTTTTCTCATTGTAAATAATTTCGACTTATATAGAATTTTTTTTTAGAATACAATGAATTATGATCACTTTACCCTACTTTTATGAAATTTTAAATTATTTTGGTAATGGTTTTGGGGTTATCTTTATTTTTGGTAATATTTTTGGTTTTATATTAGTAGGTACTTTAATAGGTATCGTTTTTTCATAATGAATTTTACTTGGCTGATTTGTATCATTTGGATGCGGTAGAAGCACTGATCCTTTAGGTTTAATTGTAATTAATTCTTGCTTCTTTTTTACAATCAAGTGCGCCGGTACTTTAGGCTTTATTAATAAAGGAGTCTTTCCATCTATTAATGCTTTCTTTATTAAAGGTGGTGGTGACACTGGCAAGAATTTGGGTTGCTGAGGTTCCTGTTTAATAGCTGTTTGTACCTCTTTAATTGATTCTTTAGGTAATATTTTTTGTGAACCTAAAACAGATCCTTTTAAACTTTCAGATTTGTTCATATCAATACTTTTCTTCGTTGATAAAGATTTTAATTGCTTTATAGATTTTGATTCTGTTAATGCTTTAGATTTCATTGATGGTTCTGACTTTATTGGCTCCGTATACTTTGTAGAAACTGATTCTGAATTGACACTTGTATGTGATTCTGAAGTATTTGTCTCCGATACTGCTAATGAGCTCTTTGATTTGGGTAACTCTTTTGATATAGAAGTTAAATCTTTAGGTATTGACTTTTCTATCTTAACTACTGAATCTTTTTTATTTATACTTTCCTTTAATGTAATGGACTCTGATTTTTTAATACTCTCAATAGGTGGTTCTTTTACATCTTCTAAAGGCAATGACGAGTTATTTACTTCTATACTTTTATTTTTTATCAATAGCGATGAGACCTTTTTAGGTGGAGTTGGAGGACTTTTAATATCTTTTACTTTTGGAGATAATTCATTGCTTGTCTCATTTAAGACAGCCTTATTAGGTATATTATTAGCAGGAATTTCATGAATAGGCTTTATTTCATCTTGAGATGGTAAATTAGTTCGTGTTTTATTTAAATCATTCTTCACTATATGATGTAATTTTACTGTTTGAAGTGTATCATCCTTCACTGAAGATTTCTCTTTTAATAAATTTATTTCTTTAGATAATTTACTTTTTATTGGCGTCACTGGTTTAACTAAATTTTTAGTATTATTGACACCATTATCTAAATTCTCATTAACAGAATTATCAGCCTCTAGATCTGATTTTGTTTTGGATTTTGATTTTGCAACTTTTGCAATTATATAACGCCCTGCTGGGAGCATAGAATTTACTGGCTTTGGAATAATAGATACATATGCAACTCCTACAACTTTATTTTTCGTATTTAAAATTTCCCATGCATGATTTTCAACTAGTGTAACTGGATCAATAAATGTTTTTGTAGCAGTACCTATTGGTTTACTATTGTCCGACTCGTCCCATAAATCAATAACATATTTTGGTAATACTCCAGGACTTTTTGGTGGTAATTGATCAATATCAAGTGATATTTTAGAATCAATAGTAAATGTACCGTCACCTTTATCCTTAACATTTAGATATTCCGATTTTCTACCTTTATAATCTTTTGCTTGAATACTAGATTCATTATCATTCCTTATAACAATATATAATCTACTATTTTCATATGAATTATCTATATTCTGTATTGAATTTATCTTTATTTGAAACCCTTTTAATTTTACCTCTGGATCCCCCTTTAAATGTAATGAGTCTTTTGGTATAATAGCGTCAACCGATCCTCTATTATATACCGTCAATTCTATATTATTTGAATTTAATTTTTTATTTATTAAACCCAAATTAGGTATAGGTGATAAAGGAGATTTTGGTGTCGGATTAGATTCAATTGTGGCATTATCTAATTTTTTTGGTACATTAGCTTGATTTGATGAGGCTAATAGATTATCAGTATCTTTATTATCCTTAGAAATTTCAATTTTTGGTGGTTCCCATGTATCATAACCAGGAATTTTTGGAGGAGGTTCAACTGGTGGTGGTAATTCCTTAACTATACCCAACTTAAAATAATATATTGATCCATATAAAGAGTTTAATCGAATATCTAATCCACGACATGGATGTAAATATTCTAAAATTAATTCCAAAATTTCACTCCTATCCATTGGTTCATGGAATGTAACATAACTACAAACTCCAGCAAATGCTTGTATTAAAGTATCTAATTGGGTATATAGCATATCAATCCTTTCAATCGTTTCTGTTAAACTATTCGGATCACCACGTAAATCAACCAACTTTTCTTGTAATGAACCTATACACTGTATTTGATTCCTTATTGTATCTTGCAAAGTTTTATTTTCTTCTTGCAACCAATAACTCTGTCGTTCCAACTTTTCCCTGGCTTTACGTTCTTTAGTAAATAATATAAAGTAATTTCTAGCCTTATCTTCCAATTCATCAACTAAATCTTCTATTATTATAGGATCAGTATTGTTAGTCGCAGACTCATGACCATATAAATTAGCTTTTGGATTTACAAAGACCTCATTAATATCTTTAGAATTATCTTTTAAATTTGAAGTACCCTTAAATATTGAAAAGTATTTTTTAGATTCTATAGCCTTAGGTCTATCTTTAATATTATCTGAAGACTCAGGACTTATCTCAGATCTTGTACTAGCTGACATATTTTTATTATTTACAGCTCTTGACGAACTTAATATAGGTACTGCTATATTTTTTGATTTACTTAAGCTAACTTTACTATCTTTTTCATCTATTGGCATTATTTTTGTAACCATTAATTTCTTTTGATCTCCTACACTGCGAATATTAGACAACTCGTCTTTTTTATCTATTAACTTACTAGCATTATTTTTATCTATTCTTTTTGTAGTCAATTCATCCTTTAAAATTAGTAATCTACTTCTGTTTAGTGGACTTATAATTGATTTCTTATCATCCATGTCATTTTCTGACACTGATTTTGGATTAATAGATTGTAATCCATTCTTATTAAAAAGACTCTCCATTTTGCAATAATGAAAAGTTAAGAATACCTAATTGGCAAGTTAATCCCATAAAGTATTTATATTCGACATTTGTGTATATAAATTACCCATTACTCCTATTTAACACTTTAGATATCTCAAATATTGAGTGTACCTCAGCACACATATGGCGCTATATCTAATAATTTGCATCACTCCTAGCTCGTATTAAATAATTAGTCAAATTTCACTCTAAGACTAATTCCAGAAAAAAAATTTAGCTAGATTTTGTATATATTAATGTACTCTACTGACTATCTATTTTTAAATATTCAGTAAATAATAAGTAATTAGGTACTATTATATATTTAGATCTATATATTTAAAATATTTTAACTTTGATACCTCCTTTATTATCTAATTTATCATATAATTAGTTCAATGTACTTCCTTTATTCTGTCTGCAAAAAGTGTTGTCTATTTAATTCCAAATTTTGTATTGATTCCTTAAATATATTGGGACTAATATTATTCATTAAAGTGAAAAAAGGTGAACATATTGCATCTATAAAACCAATTTGCATTGTACCTAAGTCTATTTCACCTGTTTTATCACTTAATCCAAGAGATTTCTCTAAATTAATTTGCTGTTCAATTTCCTCGAAAATAAGAACAGTCCACTTTTTATATATATCATAATTTAATAGAGGATTTGAAATATCAGCAGCATGTAGTAGTGTAATTTCATATAATTGTTTTTTTGTAAATATATAGGAATCATAGGTAGTTTTTTTGTTATAAAAGCTATAATTAGGTAATTGAATACCAATATCAATTGAAATACTTTGATATGTACTATCTTGATTATCTTTTTGAAGGTGGTATGCATATAAACCTATAAAATCCTGAAGAGCTTCAATCAAAATATTATGGAAAGCCATATCAGTATACATAATTGCTCTTGTAATTATTCTTTTTGCAATTAAATAATATGGTGAATTCTTTGGAGGTATAATATTACAAGATTTTGAATTTAATATAGTTAATAATAGTGCTGAATGATGATTTTCTAGTGTAGAATATCTATTATATATTTCAAGTGTTGATAATATATTATTTATATAATTTTCACTAATAAATTTGTCTTGTAATTTATGGAGAAATTCATTATTTACTCCAGGATGATCAATATCATGACCTAAGGCTGCAATAACTAAACAATAAGCTTCAAATGAATTAAAAAGTAAACGAATTGATTCATCATCAAGCCATTGATTAAGTACTAACGCAACAGTAACGGCATGATATAAATTATGAAATGCATTTTTTTTATGATAGTATTTATCGAGAATGAAAACAAAGTTTTCTATTGTTGTAATGTTAATATTCCATTTTAGAATATCTTCATTTAATTCTGATTTATTATCTAATATTTTATTCCATCTATATATTAAGATATATTTAGCAATATTAGTTAACTCTTTATATTCCAAGCCTAATATATCTATATTTTCCCAAATAAGTGGTAATTCTATTTCTTCATTTTTAGAAAGTGCTAAGTCACTATAATTTGTTTGAATTTCAGGTTCATGTTGAATCTGAATCATTAAGTTAGTCAAGTCTACAAGTTCCAGATAAGACTTGTTATCAATGTTGACCAAATCAGATTTATGAATATTATCTATATTTATATCCTCATTCTTTAACTTTTTTTGAACTAAATTTTCATATGTTATTTTGTTAATAGGATCATTTAATAGCTCAATATCATATAGCTTGTTATTATCTCCCTTTATTATACATGTTCCAGTATTATTATAATTTACTAAGCTATCTTCTATTTTACTATAACAAAAGTTAGAAAGTGTATTCTGTTGAAAAACATTGTTACCTTTACTTGTGTTGTATTTAATAATCTTAGATAACTCAAATATTGAAATAGGACTTTCATACTCTCCAATACAGTTAAACAACTGAGTATCTGAAATATCTAAAATTATAATTTCAGATTTAAAATTCTCATGAATTTGATTATATTTATTAAATATCTTACTCGTAATATTAGGATATTCAGTTTGAATTTTTTTGAATGTTACAAATCCAAAAATCCAGATACCTTGCTTTTCTACAAATAATGAAGATAAATTATTATTCATATTAAAATAAAAAAAATCAATCTTTTCTAGTATTATCTTATTTTTATTTATATTTACAAAGCTTTTTACTGTATTCTCATCAATCCATGATAGACCACAATAATAAACTGCTATTTGATTCTCTAAACTCTCCTCATTAACTTCTAGTAATTCAATAGAATTATAACATATTGGTAATATTATAGTATTTCCAAGAAATTCACTATCTAGCGAAGTATTCATATATACCGACATTTTTCCACCAAAAACAAAACTACACACTCTATCACAATATAAATAATTAATATAATTAACCATTGTATTTTTAGTCTCTGGTAAAGAAAATCCTAAAGAAGACTTATTATGAATTTGAGAAATTTTATACTTATTATATCCATTCTTCCTTCTTAAAATGTCAATAATAAGGAACTGTGGTGTTTTTTTCTTATCTGTATTATGCATGTTACAGCAACTTAAAAATTTCAAACCTTCTATATCATTATTAGCTAAATTATCTAAAAATGTATCTAATACCCTATTAATTGGGGGTACTAGTTCACCTATAGAATTCATCATTGATCTTGGAATAAAACATTTATTTGATATATTCTCAATACTCCAAAATAAATACTTAGATTCTGGTATTATGTTTGAAACTATATTAATTAATTTATAAAATTCCTTTGGATTACCAAGTAATGGTATTTCATTTTGCATATTTTCTGATATTACATAAAAATCATCTTTTCCCTTCATATTCTGATTAAATATGTCTGATATTTTTGCAATACATTCATTATATCTACAGACAGTATCAAATTTATCTATACCGTCAACTGTACTAAATATAGTACAATATTCAATGCCTATAGAAACACAATTAATAAATTCATCTATTATTTTACAGATTTCTATTGCTATATTAGAAATATGTCCATTTAAGTCATATAATTTCATATCCTCTCTATTTTCTTCTTTTATATATATAAATTCATGAATACATATATTATATATTATTTTATACAACTCACAAACCGGTAAAAACTTCTCCTTTAAAATCTTAATATTAAACTCATCAATTTTTTTGATATTTCTAATTAGTTTATAAAGGTTTTTTTTACAATTTCTCTCTATAGATATTCGTTTCCTTTTTTGAAAAACATCTATTGTACCCAGAAATGTTACTAATAAACATATTATGGGAATTGTACTTATTATAATATAGTGAACTATACAAATCGATTTTAATTTATATAAAATTGATCTTCTTATATTATAATACTCCCCCTGTGTACTTTTTCTAAATAGCTTTATTGGTTCAACTATTTCAAATAATTGTATTGATATTTCTTGACTCTCACTAATTAAACTTTTAGTATTAATATTACATAAGTAATTTGCTGCAAGAAATGTACTTGATGTGCTATTTATTGAATGTATTAATTCATTTGTTGTTATACTCTCACGTTGTGATTTATATAGTGGAGGAGGATCAGGAGATAGAGGGCCAGGTTGTTCATTGTATGGTATATTATTAGGTATCAATTTTTGTAAAAAACTTACACCTCTTTTAATTATGTCATTTATTTGCTGAGTATAATCTAATTTAGTTACTGGTATACTAAGTACCATTACTTGTTCTAAAGAATTCCTTGCCATATATCTTTGGGTTAATATTTGATTTGCTAATGCTGTTCTTACTGATATATTATTTAATGATGGTCTAGATTGTTGTCTACAAAATGTAGCAATTGAAAATCCTAATTGACCAATGTTGTATCCAAATGAAGCTAAAATTTCATCAAACTCTGCCTCACTTATATATATATCATTAGATCCTAACAAAGGAACCATTTTGTACATAAATGATGCATATATAATCATCCAACCCCAGATGATTCCAATAAAAAAAAATATTACATAAAAATTCCATGTAAAATATTCGTGTTTACTATTACCTTTAGACAAACCTGAATAAGTTTCCCCAGTAGCAGCATCATAACTATAAAGACCTCTCATATTTATATTCAGATATAAATATTCTCTATTAACCAATTTTATTTGTATTTTTTATTTGTTACATATTTACACTATTATGAATACTCAATAATTATGTGGAATATGAAATTTATATTTGTAGTATCTCATGTGCATGCAACTTATAGCGCCATTATGTCAAGTAATTCGTATAGCTTTTAATGTATAAAAAAAACGAATTTTAAAATAATTAAGAACATCTTTACATAATCTAAAAAGATATCTACTGTCTCCTATCATATAGATATATTCTGGAGAAAAATTGTATTTTCATATTGATTCTGGTTGCAAATAATCAGATATATTCAAATGAACCTACAATTAACTGCCTTAATGCTATTTTTAACTACTTTTTATTTATCTAAGGCAAAGTTTGAGTGTATTAATAATGAAATACACTCCGACTATTTGTCAAACTCCTCTAGATTTGATGAATCCTACATGTTACAAGATAGTAATAAATATCAGAGAATTGTTGATAACAATACAAATCTAAATAGAACTAATAAACCAAAAAATATTGAAAAATTTTGGAATTCAGCATTATCCCCTATCAAGAAAAAAAAAACTGGTCATTATATTACTAGAACTAATTTATTTACTTGTGAAACATATATTGATGAAAGAAAAAATAATATAGAACAGAATTATGAAAATAAAAATATTATAATAAATCAATCTAGATTAAGTGAATATTCAATAAAACAAAATTTTAAATTGGAAAATTATAAAAAGAAAATATAAAATCTATTAATAATCCTAAATTTGTCTCATGGAGATGTTATACAAATACAGATATTTATTGGGTACCAAATGAAAAAGTATTGGAAAGAAAGTTTACAAGTTTAACTGATGAATTAGGAGTGGTATACAGTGTACCATATTTGACTAAAAGTTTATTAAGTTTATGTAGTGGTGGTTATACAGAATTTATTGGTAGAGGCAAGTTACCTAGTAATTTTACATTTGTAAAAATACATGATTGCATATCACTAGTAATACAATGAGTATTATATAGATTATTTCAATTTGCAAAGAATTCATAATAAAAAATTGAAATTTAATATTAGTAATAAATATAAAAAGAATATGAATTTTTATACTGATGTAAAGTTGACTATAGTATATTCTGAATTAAAAAAACTGCAATTATTTTGTTTAGTAGTTAACCTGTACAATTCTTTTTATTAGAACATTCCTGAGATAATTATATACATAATCAGATATCAATACAATAAATACAAAATTCAATTATTATGTACTAGTAATAAAGTACAAATTTGAATAACTATCTAAATAAATTACATTTTCAGTTATACTTTTCAAATGTTATGCTTATGCTTATAACTATTTAACTTCTATAAATAATATTTTCATTAAGATATATATCTTAGTATCTGAGTAATAATTCCCGAACTTCAGAATTTTTTAACCACTTTAAATAAGCTTTTTAATCATTCAAAACTTTCATTAGCTAATATATCATGTAAAGTTCATTATAATTCCCAACCCAATAAAAACCAAGTTGTTATCAAATACTTCACTATTTCACTTATTAGACTTTTAATTTCCATTACTCAATATAATTTATTGTCATTCAGTTTACCCCAAATCAAATCTTTGCCGTCGTGCTAGTCTTTCTTTTTCGATGTTTTTTTTTGTCTTTTTTTACTTTTATCACTTTTTTTGCGATTACTTGGCCTCATATCTGGTACTTCTTCTAGATCACTAGGTAACTTAGGTAAAACATCTGTTCCATCGTTGCTATCTTCCTCACTTCCACTTTCTACTTGACTTCCTCCACTCACCTTAGTGTCACTTTTTTTTCTCTCTAATTTGCCTGTTGAGTCCATATCTTTATCTGCACTATTACCTACACCAGTTCCAGCTGCTGTATCAATTTCAGGAAATGGATCAAATGGGCTTATACCAAGCATTACAGCTTTCTTGAAGTATTCATCTGGTAAATCTAGAGAATTATCACTTAATTCACCTCCACTATCTACACCAGGACTTTTTAAGAGTCCTTTTGATAGATCCTTTGATGCTTCAGAGTTCCCTTTATCACTTTTCTTAGTAGATGTACTAGATGGTCCTGGTAATGGTCCTGGTAATGGTGATGATGATGGCCCTGGTAATGATGATGATGGTCCTGGTAATGATGATGATGATGGTCCTGGTAATGATGATGATGATGATGATGGTCCTGGTAATGATGATGATGATGATGATGATGGTCCTGGTAATGATGTGATATGATGATGATGGCCCTGGTAATGATGATGATGATGATGATGATGATGATGATGATGATGATAATGATGATGATGATGGTCCTGGTAATGATGATGATGATGATGATGATGGTCCTGGTAATGATGATGATGATGATGATGATGGTCCTGGTAATGATGATGATGATGATGATGATGGTCCTGGTAATGATGATGATGATGATGATGATGGTCCTGGTAATGATGATGATGATGATGATGATGGTCCTGGTAATGATGATGATGATGATGATGATGGTCCTGGTAATGATGATGATGATGATGATGATGGTCCTGGTAATGATGATGATGATGATGATGATGGTCCTGGTAATGATGATGATGATGATGATGGTCCTGGTAATGGTGATGATGATGGTCCTGGTGACGATGATGATGATGGTCCTAGTAATAATGATGATGATGGTCCTGGTAATGGTGGTAATGATGATGGTCCTGATAGTGATAGTTGTGATGGTAGTACCACTCTTTTTGTTGGTTCCAGTTTTTTAAATAGCACTGTAGGATCTGTTTGACTTGTTGAACCTGATACTTCACCTCTTATACTTGGTTGAGCTGAAAGCTGTCTTGATAGTTTATTTTGAACGCTAGGTGCGGTTGGTGTAGAAGGAAGAGAATTGGATTTTTTCTTATTTCTTTCACTAAGAAAATTTGTAAGTTCATTAATAAGAGCAATTTGATTCACTTCGGGACTACCTTTTCCTTTATTTCCAGGTAATTTGCCAATAGATGGGTCGGAAGTTTCCTTTCCATTCTTTGATTTAAACTTTTTGGAAAATTTATTAGATATTCCTGCTAATATTGGTAATGATGATGGCCTTGATGATTGTTGTTGTTGCGGTGGTAGTGGTGATGGTGATGGTGGTGATGGTGATGGTGATGATGATGATGATCTTGGTGGTGGTGAAACCACTCTTTTTGTTGGTTCCAATTTTTTAAATAGCACTGTAGGATCTGTTTGACTTGTTGAACCTGATATTTCACCTCTTACACTTGGATGAGCTGAAAGCTGTCTTGATAGTTGTTTATTTTGAACTCTAGGTGCAGTTGGTGTAGAAGGAAGAGAATTGGATTTTTTCTTATTTCTTTCACTAAGAAAATTTGTAAGTTCATTAATAAGAGCAATTTGATTCATTTTGGGACTACCTTTTCCTTTATTTCCAGGTAATTTGCCAATAGATGGGTCGGAAGTTTCCTTTCCATTCTTTGATTTAAATTTTTTGGAAAATTTACTAGATATTCCTGCTAATATTGGTAATGATG